ATGCGGGGATCTACGAAATCTCACTCGGAGCAATGATCATTGATTTAGTATTCTCCCCTATAAGCAGCATATTAACTAAGCTATTTGTAGGTATAGCCATCAGTCCGATGTTATCCGTTGGGATACCGAAATGAGAAGGTGTGTGGTAAGTAGCAGTATGTGAGATTTATGTGTGTAGGTAAGAATGAGTGAGATAAGTATGTTTCGTTTTGTTTCTGATGTCACTTTATATTTTCTTTTTCTTTCAGCTCGAAGCGTGAATCTCGATATTCAACTTGTTGATTTACTGGAGACTTTTGTTCGATACTGCGACTGTTGACTTTGAATTGCTCAAAGTGGTTTAGTTATTTGGGATAAGTTCATACAATATTTGAGAGTGTATTAGACGGTGCCTAGGTACATGGGATACAGTTCGTGTAGCTTGAGATTGGAAATACGACAACCACACATTCAATCGTCAGTATATCTCCATTAATTCTCGGTTTCCTATACTATCAAATTAATATCTAATCAATCAATCCGCAGACCAAAATGCCTCTTCATCCTCAAGACGAAGTGCAATCTCAATCTCTCGCCGATCCCCAATCCTTCTGGGCAAAACAAGCTTCCCATTTGCACTGGCATAAACCACCAACCCAGATTCTGACTGAGAAAACAAAGACTTTGAAGTCAGGTACTTCGCATAAACATTGGGAATGGTTTGCGGATGGAGAAATAAATACTTGTTACAATTGTGTAGATAGACATGTTTTGGCAGGAAATGGAGAAGAAACGGCGATTTTATGGGATAGTCCCGTTACAGGATGTAAGGAGAAGATTAGCTATCAACGTTTGTTGAAGGAGATAGAAGTTTTTGCAGGGGTTTTGAGAGAGGAAGGGGTGGGGAAGGGGGATGTAGTTTTGGTCTACAGTAAGTTTCAAGGACATACATATGAAATTGACACATTCCAAGAACTAGTAGCTAATCAATTACAGTGCCCATGATTCCCGCAGCTCTCATAGGTACCCTCGCAATATCTCGTCTCGGTGCTATCCATGCCGTCGTATTTGGAGGATTTGCTCCAGCAAGTTTAGCGCAACGAATTGAAGCCTCTAAGCCAGTAGCTATTCTCACAGCCTCTTGTGGAATAGATGGAACCAAACCTCCTCTATCCTATCAACCGTTCATCCGAGAAGCCATTGCCCTCTCATCTCATAAACCCAATAAAACTATTATATGGCAACGCGAACAACTACGATGGGAAAATCCGAATAAGGAAAATGGTGAGAGGAATTGGCAAAGATTAGTCAAAAGTGCTGGTTCCAGAGGAGTTAAAGCAGATTGTGTACCTATAAAGAGTACGGATGGTCTCTACATCATCTACACATCCGGAACGACTGGTTTACCTAAAGGTGTATTACGAGAGGCGGGTGGTCATGCGGTCGGTTTAAATCTATCTATTCGTTATGTATTTGGTATTCATGGACCTGGAGATGTAATATTCTGTGCATCCGATATTGGGTGGGTAGTTGGTCACTCATATATTTTATACGCACCACTCTTAGCTGGTGCCACGACTGTCCTCTTTGAGGGAAAACCAGTAGGAACACCGAATGCGGGAACGTTTTGGAGGATCATCGACGAATATAAAGTCAATACCCTCTTTACAGCACCAACAGCTCTTCGAGCTATCCGCCGCGATGATCCGGAAAACAAGTTATTTAGGGAAATCGGAGAAAAGGGCGGACTTAAGAATTTCCGTGCGTTGTTCCTTGCTGGCGAAAGAAGTGAACCGAGTATTGTCACTATGTATCAAGAGCTTCTCACAAAATATGCGGCAAAGGGTGCTAGTGTAATTGATAATTGGTGGTCATCGGAATCGGGAAGTCCTATGACCGGAATTGCACTTTCGCCTCAAAGCGCATTATCACCTACTTATACCCATGAAACTAGACCAATCCTTCCCATTAAGCCTGGGACTGCTGGTAAACCTCTCCCTGGATTCGATGTCCGTATCGTAGATGATACTGGCAAGGAAGTTCCACGCGGGAAAATGGGCAATATAGTTCTTGGGATCCCTTTAGCACCAACAGGATTCAGAACGCTATGGAATGATGAAGAAAGATTCTATAAGGGATATATGAAGCGGTTTGATGGGAAATGGATTGACACGGGAGATGCGGGTGTTATAGATGAAGGAGGTTGGGTTAGTGTTATGAGTCGAAGTGATGATATTATTAATGTGGCAGCTCATCGTTTTAGTACTGGTTTGTCTCATATTTCTTTCAATCGCTCGCCTTGCTTCTTTCAATTGTTTTCTTTTCTGTTCCACGTATTCGACTCACTTACCATCAAAACATTCATATCAACAAAACTAATACCACAAAGGTGCAATCGAACAAGTAATTTCAACACATCCCCTCATAACTGAATGCTGCGTCGTCGGTATCCCTGATCCTCTCAAAGGACATATGCCATTTGCATTCATAACACTTTCCACGCCTCCTCATCCCGCATCTGCAATCCCAGATGCAGATTTGGAGAAAGAGATTCAGGGACTTGTGAGGAAACAAATCGGGGCGATTGCTAGTCTAGGAGGAATCATTCAGGGGAGAAATATGATCCCTAAAACACGAAGTGGTGAGTTTTTCTCGTCTTAGAGTTAATATGGGGATGGGTTGCGAGTTTTGAATGTGACTGACGAGATGGATTTCTAGGCAAAACTTTGAGGAGGGTTTTGAGGGAATTGTTGGAAAATGAGTATCATGGTGAGGGAGGAAAGAGTGTTAATGTTCCAGCGACGATTGAAGATGAGAGTGTAATGGAGGTTGCGAGAGGGAAAGTTCGAGAGTACTTTGAGATTAAGAGGGGAGGAAAGGGAGGGGCTGGGAAGGAGATTGAGAGGGCAAAATTGTAGGGTTGAGCTTGATGATTGTATTGTTGTATTATTGTATTAATTAATGAGATTTATTAATGAGATCAGATGCGAGTAGTAATTAATAAGTTTATTTATTGGGAATATAAGATGGAGTTCATAAATTTACTTTCTTAGTGGAGTATAAGAAATGAATTGGGCATGGCAGTAACTGGATTTCCAAGATTCCAGTAACCAACGGACATCATAATCTCAATAAAACGAGTTTAATAAAGTAGTGCATAGGAGAGTTTCTAAAACCAACTACTAGGCGAATCTTTGGCTTTTCCCATACTGATTCAAGAGGAGAAGATGAGATGAGAATATTCATCTCTTAGTTCTCTGAAAGTTTGTAAGAGTTATGGCCCTGGCTTATCGTACACTTAGCGAAAACACACCAAAAATCCTCATTTTTTCAACTTTTTAATTATATATTATTTTGATATATAAATGAATTGAATTATTGAAATTAATATAAATAATAGAAAATCAATGAAATAATTCAAAAAATGAACAAAATATTTTTAATAATTTTTTATAAAAAAATTATAGATTTTCAAAATTAAAATTTCTAAAAAATTGAAAAAAGTGATTTTTTTATATAAAAATAGTATTACATATTAAAGATTTTGAAAATTTTCAACTTTGAATATTTATAACTTTATTCAAAAAATTATTAAAAATTATATACTGATTTTTTAAGAAATTGATTATAATTAGTATTTATATAACCAATTTTCAAATTATATTTTTGATTCATTAAAGAATTAAAAAATAATTAATTTATATAGAAAAACGATATTTTTACAGGGATTTTGTTACGAAATTGAGTAGTGTGCGATAAGCCGGGGCCACAACTCTTACAAATAAGAGTATAGAATTACGAGAAGATATTAATTGGGTGGGATATATAGTGCTGGGATGTAGTTAATCGATTCTCGATGTTTAGTTATGGAAAGAGGCGAATAATACTGATTATTATACTTTTTTTGATTTCTTTATTTCTTTCTTTTTGTATGGTTTTATATACAATATAATATAGAATCTAGGTTCAGAAGTATTAGGCTGAGAAAAGCATAAATGATAAAGCATCTATAATGATGAGTCCCAATGATAATATTATATTCTATCTAAAGAGCTAGCTCATATATAGAAAGAAATGGTTCTGATATGCTTAAGGCTAGTTCTCTCGCTTAGTATACTATGGTAATTTAATAACTCAAGGTCCGTCCTTCTTACTCTCCAGGGCTCTTCTCCTGCAAAAGAAATTTTTGAAATGAGTACGAAATGTCTGTTCATTAAGCTGAACTATTAAAGACGAAGCTATTTTTAGTATTCCAATACTGCATATGAAAGTGATGAGCAGTTCATAGAATTGATAATGAAATACCCTTTTTTCATTCTTTCTAGAAGCAGCGGTTATGCTTACAAACGTAAACATAAATGAATTCTTCATTCACTCTCCTAACCTACTCAAGAATTTCTCAACCATTAAGTCAAGACATCCGCGACTGTATGCGTCTCCAATATAAAGAACGTTAGCAAAATAAACCTGGGAGATTTCGTTATTAGAAAGGAAAACCAACAAGTAGAGTGGAGTGATAAACATGGAGCAGAATCATGGGGTTTGATAAGATTCCGTTGCAAGCCAAGTAACCCAATTGAGTTCTGGTACGTTAGCTGTACAAGTGTCTGGCAGGAGCGACTACACTAGCAAAACTTGAGTTCTTATCAAAATGTTGAAGTTGACCTCCAGAAAATCGATCTGTAATCCAATCCCTCCATATTCTATGAGACCCTGTAACATCAGGGGTATGTAAGGTCTCTGGGAGGCGGAAAAGCTAAACGTTAGATGTAGGAGAGAGTTCAAGTGCAGCCTCAAGTTTTTTCATCGTGTTATTATATTCGACCATTGGATCATTGTCACCTTGGATCACAAGAAGAGGCCCAGAAATCTTCCGTCTACCATTTGCAGTCAGATTTTTTGTTTCAAAAGCCATTCATTAGATGCCCAATCTGGTTTTAGTAGGTTGTCAACGAGTGTGAGTAATATTGGTATGGTTGTAGAGGAAGCGCGATCAAGCTTGACGATTTTCTTCAACAGCTCTAGGCCTTCAGACGTAAGGAATTCATTGTAGTCGAATTATGGATACAATGACGCAATTCCCAGGAGCCAGCTATCAGGCTTCCGAAGGGCTCCGGGTTCTCGAGAACACTCGTCGCTGGACAGATGGCGATAGCACCGAGATAACCTGGAATGTTCGATATAGCATCTTTCTGGGCGACACCCCAAGCAATGCCCCCACCTGGACTATATCCAAGCACAATGAACGACTCAGAAAGTTGAGGAAAAGCTTTTCTTGCGGCTTGAACAGGATAGACAACGTCGCTAGCTACACTAGAAGAGGCGAAAAAATCTTGGGCAATCGACTGCTTATTCTGGTCTTTACCAACACGTAAACCAGCATAATCCGTGGCTACTACGACGTAACCCTGAAGAAGCAATTGATAAGGAGCAATAAAATGGTTCCAGAGATTCTCGAATCTGAAAGGGGCAGTCGAGACTGTTGTTCCTAATGTGCCATGAGCCCAGGCAACAACTTGATTTCCGCCGTTCGCATCCAGACAAAGTATGTAAAGCCACAAGACATAGCCAGAAACAGGACGACGCTCTCCAGATAGACTCTCCGATACATATATGAATCGCGATACCACAGTATTAGGTGGAAGAGTATAATTATGTGTCAAGTTTGCATTTTCTTGCACTTTGACCATTCGCTCTCAGTACAAGGCTTTTGCATATGAGATGAGTTAAACATTTTGATCTGCATCTTGTCGAGCTCCAGGCATTTCTTATAGTCATCATATTCAAACTTAGTTCTGAATTTAGCGCGAGAGGTTTTCAAGTGTCGGTTTCTGCAGCAAAGTATCGTTCAATGTCAGAACTGAAGGTCGAGAGCCAGTATGTAAACTGTGACTTGAACATTGGCGTCCCGACCTGTAATTCGAGCATCGAAGCCTTGAATCCCTGAGCTACAAAGGAGGACAACCATGCAGCTTCGATTTGCTCTGACCCCGTAGCAAGTGAATGGAAGAAAAGCTTGTCGTGTAACTCGGCACCATACCCTCAACTACAAACTTTCATTTCCGCAAATTCAGCTTATATCTTTATCTGACTCAATAAGAGCTGAAGATCAAAATTGGCAGATGTACTATAAAACAGTAATTACTCTTCGATGACAGCCTCTAGCTCGTTTGGGGATACCTAGCACTATTGATGTTCATAGTATCGTTTGTCCTCCTACCAGATGAAGCATTCCAGCTCGATCGATCGTGGAGTGATCTTCTTCCTGTCTCCTGTTCTAAACCGGCCATCTGGGGTGAAGGAAGCCGTTGCGGCTTACCTGTTGTTAACATAACCCTTGAATACGATGGGCCCACGAACTTCAAGAAGATCAAGTTCGTTTACTGAGGCATAGGCTTTTTCATCGCCAGCCTTAGGCATTCTAACTTGCATCTCTATTCTCGGTATACAGCGACCGAGAGAATAGAACTGCTGCATATTCAGAACATCGTATCTCGAGCAATCGAGATTATAGATAGACCCAGCGCATGTTTCTGACATACCACTGCAGCATTATTAGCTTATTTGTGTTATTTCAGTGGTATTTGAGCCTAATAGTAAGTTGATATCTGACTTACAAAGCTGTAGAGATCACATGTGATGGTGCTCCGTATTTTCCTAGATAATGGGCGAGAACATCACATGTCTCTACGATACTTCCCTCGCCACCGGAAACCAAAAAGCGGGGACAGCTTAGGTCTAGATTAAAGTTCGTGTCCAAAGAGGCTGTTTCCTCAATTTTCCCAGAAGAAATTCGGTGCAAATGCCCATCCCACACTGCCAGTGTAACATGAGATATTCACGCATTTCTAAATATTGTAGTGAATGAACACCCACCTTGAGAGGTGGAAGACAGTAGAGTCTATAAAATCTTTTGATGTGAAGAACTTCCTACTTTGTCCTTCAATACATACCGAGAATCAGTCTATAGCACGAAGATTAAGCTTTCTGCTCACAAGTCTTTGATTTGCCACGAGTCACATAAGCCAATAATCATCAACTTGTGGGCTATCTAGACAGCACGTAACCACCCAGCTTTCATGCTAGTAGAGAACCCATCCTCCCTTCTTTCGGCGTCTGGCCAAATCTGTTATGCCCATTCTTCGTAACAAGAATCTACTAACCCCTCTATTATCTCGTGTCGCCAAGCTTTCCATCAGGAAGAATCGGCATGGTAATACTCCAGGGCTCTCCTTGAAACTCCATCAAGGCGTACCACACAGCACACATGGTCAAATGCGCTTTCTATGCCTGATAATATCCTCGCTTATCTCGCATTACCATCTTTGGAAGAATCTAAATGCACTTGTAGTCCCTTATTTCACGACCGAAATTTGATCACGTACCCAATTCGACTTATCGTGCGGTCGCAAATCACAACCCTGTCTCTTGATATTAGTTTCATCAATGTCACTCCCGTGTACGACATCTTGAAGCCATTTGTCCATCTTGAGAGTTTTACTTACTGGCGGCCCTTCGATGATGATTCCCCTATGTCATTGGAGAATATTGTCGAAGCTTTATTAGTGTCGGAATCCTCCTATCTTAGCACTACATCAGATGGTAAGTGTGGTCTTGCAATTCAGCTTTTTAGTCCCCGGGAGTAATGAAGTCTGCGGTTTCTAAGGGCTATGATGCGGAAATACTATAGCAGAGATACATTTGCTTTCAGCCCATTTATCGATGGAAATATATCGAATAGGTGGCTCAGAGAGTATGCTTATCAGTTAATAAGGGGCTGTTTTTTCTTTGAACGGAGAATCATCAAAAATAGTGGGAATCGACGGAGACACGTCGTTGTCGACAAGAAGGGTTTGAGTATGGGCTAGGCAATCTCCACCCAGTCGTACCCTGAGTGATAGGCTTTAAGAAAGAGGAACCGCTGTATCACAGGCTATCGACAGAATCTAAATTTCGAGCGGAACTGATTGAGATATCTCTCGTCTGATTATGGAAACGCTGCCGTGGCCGTAGCAATAGGATACCGAGTTCTGCAAGAAGCGCGGGTAATATATGAAAAGCGTCCTATATGAAACTTCCTCGATATCCCAAAGTATGGTACCAGTAAGCGCATTACTGATGCATCAACATATACATGTGAGGTGAGATCGAGCAATAAACATTTCTTCTCTTCAACTTGCGGGAGAGAAGGCAAATGAATGGAAACATTTCCTGGAATTTATGTTTCTTCCCACCAATATAGAAAAGGGGATCAATTTTCCGTTATCTCTCAGGAAGTAGTAATGGCACACGCTCTGCTTTACATCTATTAAAAACCGCCACTTGTGATATCAAGTAATAGTCTCCATCTATATCGTACCCATTTGAGTATTAGAATCGTGGAACAATTGCTATTTCTAGGGTGGAAGAAAACCTGAAGATGGAGGGGTAGTAGATTATGGTACAGACGGGGGCGGTGGAAGAATGGTACATGCCGGTAGCTAGGGCGAAAGGGAGGCTTTTTGATTTATCATTATTTCCGGTTGTGAAACCTTTCTCTTCTTTTTTTTCACACGTATTCTTGACGAGGCAGGGAGAATAGGTTATTCGAGGTCGTACATGTATTTCTCTTTTGAGAAATGGGAAGTATGAGCACAAGACAGACAGATGGGGTATTCGGAGTGCTCTGCAGCTCTTTCGCACTATTAGCTAGGCCCACAGAAGCAGAAAGAGTGAGGGTGGAGGGGAATAGTAGGCGTACCTTTTCGTCGGATAGTAGGATCTAATTTGGCACTTCACCAACCATACGATGTGACTTTGACGCAGGATCGTTATTGTACGAGCGTAGATCTGGGACAATGTTCAAGTCAACTCCTATTTCGAATTTGGAAATGAAGGCGATATTTGCTCGATATTTGAGTATCAAGCTAATCCTTACCATGTCGCCAATCATACCCTCGTTCTTCAAAAGTGCATTTCCTGCTGTGAACATTGGGGGAGATGGACCGAATAAGAGACCCAATGGCTGTTATCGTGATTCTTTATATCGAGCATGAAGGACCTCTGTTAAAGGCAGCTACAATACGTTAACAGTGGAATTGTGTAATATTACAAGCATAATTGCTCTACAGCAAAGTAGTACAATCTTCTTATCCATCGCTAGAAGCACTTGGTGTATACAATCCCCATCTAAGTGTATATGATTTGAAGCCTTGCGAATGGAATGATCTCGAAAAACAAAGACATTTTGAAGAATTTCAAGGTATATTCGAGCTTCCTTTACTTGTTTCTGCTCATTTGTACCCTCCACCCTCCACCCAATTGCTATAATTCGCATGTCGCAGAGAAGTGAACCACCCCCCTCATCATATCTATCAAGTCTCGTTGAGCGACTGACCAGTCCTGCGAGATAACCAAAATTTGCACCCCCATGAAGATATCCATCCATAACCTAGCGAATCGACTACAGCACAAAAATAATATGCTAGATATGCTATCCCAAAAATCAAAAAGGGTTGCTACTTTGAGCCTTTATCAATTTGATATAATTTTAAACAAGATTGTTGTGAAAGAAGTGTTGGTGTATCCATGTGGATATATCGTTGTAGAGTTACATTGAACTACATCATACGATCTCTCTTCAACATCCATGCATCCACCCCCCACCCCATCCTCTTCCTTCTCCTCGCTTCCCTTCTCTCCCCCTTTTTCGTATGCACAATGCATATCTACTACATTCCTCTCCTCTTACCGCAATACTCACTCTCCAAGAAATATAACTAAATACGTATATCATTACTATCTTAATATATGTCATATCCCCATCCTCACCCTCACCCTCATCTTCATTCTCAGTCTAAAACCCCACCCCTCACCCCCTACCCCAAACTTCAACCCACAAATTCCACACATCAAATCATATATACGAGGTATAAATCTTCACCCTCCTTCTCTCTTCTCTATTTTTCTAAAAATACTGTACAACTATCCCAATAATACCATTCGATTCGTCTTTATTCAATTTGTTTCTAATTAATCGATCTCGGATTATTCCGCTTTCGATTTTTCCCGTAAAGTTCCATCCCATCTTGTGGACTTCCGATCGAATCAGATCAGTCCGATCAATTTAATTCGATCCAATGCAACTCACTTCAAACCCCGCAGAACACCCAAATGACTAAATAAATCTTCACATAACAATACAACAGTACATCATACCTCTTCTCCTTTCCTTCCCCTCTTCTCCCACACATCCCCACACATCCCAATCTAACCCCCAAATAAGTATATATAACTCTTCGTTTTAACCCCCCACACCATACCATACCATACCAAACCTTACTTTTTCCATTCACCCATGCTTCTCTACTGTGTCCCATCCCATCCTAATCCCCATCCCCCCACCCTTCAATTTTCCTTTACAACATTTACATCTCTCTTCCCTCTTCTCCCCTTCTCCCCTTCTCCCCTTCTTCCCTTCTTCCCTTCTCCCCTTCTTCCCTTCTCCCCTTTTCCCCTTTTCCTCTTTTCCCATCTCCTCCTCCCCCTTCCCTTCCCCCTTACCTCCCTACCTCCCTTAATATCACTCCCACACCCCATCACATTATATAAAACTCCACTACCTTAGATTACATTCAACTCAACTCAACTCAACTCCCTAGAACAAAACTAACTCAGAGAAGATGCTAGAGATATATAGGTGTAAGATGTCTGTATATATAACTACTAACTAGTATATATCCTCATTTTAATACTAGTACCCTGCCAAGACAGAGTCATTGTCCGAAGGAAGAAAGAGAGAAGGCTTATTCACTCACTCACTCACAAAATCACCAAAAAATCATAAAGTAATCGTATTAATTTTTTTCAATATTTCAATTCCATTGATTCTCCATCCTATCCCATCTGTCCATTCCATTATTCCCAACTACACAACTCGTATTGTACGTAGTCAAGTAACTAATTAGTGAATTCCACCTTCCAGTCCATCCTACGTATAGTATAGACAGTACACTTTCACCCCCGACCTTATCCTACTCAATAATTTTCCCGCGCATCCAGTACGGTATAGATGTCATCTCCAATCCCTCCCCCATCCATCCATTCTGAACCAATTCACCAAATTCATTTCCTCCCCATCTCATTTCCTCTTCCTTTCAACGTCTCTCTCATCTCTCAGGATTGCGTGAAGCATGACAAATAGATTAGGTAAAGGACTCAAGTAATACCCCAATCCCTTTCAAAAGACAAAGAACTAACCACACAGCTCCCATCCCAAAAAGTGAAATCAAGACAAGCAAAGTTTTAGTTGGCAAGCATGATTTTCGTAAACATATCAATATCAATGCTTACTCCCATCACAACCAAAACTACCAAAATATCAAGTATAACATGAACGTCATGAAAGCCCAGCCTTTGAAATATGAACAGATGACAATTCCATGTTACATGACTGAAATCGGAAAAGGGGAACCATTTCGTCATAAATGATGAGAGTGAAAAAGCAGAAAGCAGAAGAGTAAGAAGAGTAATAAAAGGGTCATATCAAGATCAAAATCCAAAAGAAGCACATCGCATTTAGGGGAAAAGATGATCGTCTCATTTGGAAATAAATCGCCATCTCGATTTCGTTGCGCCATAGACACCAAAAGTAAAGTTATCGTTTTTAAAGCGTATTTAACAAATTCGAGAGGAAATTCTTTCCTAATATAATATGTAGTGACGTATGTGACAAGGTGTCGATATTGAGATCGAATGGGGTTATTTTCCAAGAAAAAAATATTCATGAAAACGCCGTATGCCACTCTTTTTGGTACTCCATTCGCCGACCCAGCTAGGAATTTGATTGAGCAAACGCTGTCGAGGGAAGATGGTAGAGAGGTCTTGCTGAAAACGTAAAGGGGGGGATGAGTGAGGCTCATAAATTGCGGGTGTTAAAAAAAAGAGGCATTTAGCCAAAGGAATGTCGTAAAGGTCGTTGATAATCCATGCGAAAATATAAAAGCTTTGTGCTCAAAACATATCTTGAAGTGTGAGGAGATGGAATTTCTCATAGAATAACACAAGGTCCCTTCTTCTTGGGGCGATATTTTCTGGATTCATCTCGAACCATTCCATTGTCCATGGTGTTAGCACGGGGACTCTTTCCCGTACCCGAAGCTGAAGATCTCTGCTGACGTTGTCTGCGAAGTTGTCGTACTACATCATAGAATGCCTTTTCGACATTAACACAATTCTTCGCTGATGCTTCAACGAATTCGCAGCCCAACTCTCGCGCCAATGCATGACCTTCTTGTGTAGATACCTCACGTTCCGTAACCCTGTCGCATTTGTTTCCCACAAGCATAATCGGTACGGGTTCCGAAGGCGAGATAGGTGATATGGGAGAACCGGGATATATGGGAGAGGAGGATGATGATTCCTTTACTCGTTGAATTTGATTGTGAAATCTTTGAATGCGCGTAAAGGATGATCTCGATGATATACTGTAAACCAAAATGAAACCTTCACCATCACGAATCCATTGATCTCTTAACGCAGTATATTCTTCTTGGCCGGCAGTATCGAGGACTTCCAACATGCATGATTGACCGTCTATTGCGACTTGTTTTCGATATGAATCTTCGATGGTAGGATCGTACTGTGCCAGAGTAAGCATGTGATAATAATCAATCGGAATGGCAGGTGGGATCACTTACAGTCTCGACGAAATGTTGTAATGTTAATTGAATTGTCAAAGCAGTTTTACCCACACCTCCATCACCAAGTACCACCAATTTGTACAAGACCATTTGTTTGGAAGACATCTCTGAAGACGGGGAGCTTTGGCTTCTTTGTGACCTTCGTTTGTGACGTATTGAAGTTATATCGAGAACAAATTATGAATTGGGAAGGAGATAAGACTATGGACTATGGACTATGAACTATTGAGTGGTATTGAGTGGTATCGAGTGAAAGACAATAGGATGTAGACGGGTAGGTAGGATGTAGAATTTAGACTTTGGACGTTAGACTGGAGACTGTCGACCATAGACTAGATCTGTTGAAGTAATAAATGAGGGAGGCAAGGTAAGTGGGTTGTTGGTATGTTGGGTGTGGGTTAGAAGAAAACAATTCGTCAAAAGATGCAAGATCCTTAGTTCTTTTTGCTGTGCTGTGCTGTCTGACTGTCGGTGGGAAAGATAGATTTGGGTAGGTATGGGTTTACTTTGGTCCTGGGCTGCAAGTGGAGTGGAGATTCCTTTCTGGTCTGGTCTGGGAGGTACTGGAGTGGGCATAGAAAGAGAAAGCTCGGACGTCTTTCCGCTTTATTACTATGGATTGTGTTATGTACGAGTGTGTGTTAGGTTTGGTATTTATATATATATGTGCGTGTATATTGAATATATATACCTAGAGAGGTATATTTTGTGTCAATTTTATACGTTGATGGAATTATAGATGGAAGGATGGGGATAGGGTTGAAAACTAGTGACCTAGGTACCTAGTAGATGGAGAGAAGTAGGTAGGTAGGTAGGTAGGTAGGTAGGTAGGTAAGATCTGATCTTGTTATCATCTCCCCATCTACGATAGTAGTAGGTAAGAGGGAGTAATCATAAGGTGCCAAGATAGAGAAAGAGGTAAGAATCAATCCCATTATATACCTACTTACTCTCTCTCTCTCACATACTTCACTCCCGTACGTACTCCATCATTCAATTTCATAGGCTCATTAATTGACGACGACGACGACGACGACGACGACGATATAACAGAAGTTGACCGACCTTAGTTGACCTTATAAGTTGACCTCTTTTGCCGCTACCCGTTATTTTTTTTAGAGAATTGCTTTTGATTTCCCTGGTTGGATGTGAAGCTACCGGCCGTATCAAGGGAATACGAATAGGGTATGTTTGCTTTTCTTTGGATGAATAAGAATAAGAATGAAAGGAAATCCATCCAGGGCTTTTGATCTCCATCTCCAAGGGTATTTTCCCTATTGAAGAGTTTTCTTGTTGTTGGTGTTTTTGTTTGGCTTTTGATCAAGGGTTCTATTCCGTTTTGGATGAAGTGGAGTGATTACAGCAAGAGTAGGAGCAGGTATGCAGATATGTATGTAGGTACTAGGTACTCTGGAAGCTGTAGATGTAGATACCTAGGTACCTAGCTGGAGGTACTTGATGGCCGAGACTGCGAGACTGATGACTTGGGATGGTAGATTGGTAGATTGGGATGATTTCAGAGATTGAATTTCATTTTATTTTTACTACCAAGTCTTCTTACTACTCCCTCCCTTAAATAGATAGGTATAGGTATAACTTACTAAAGAATTCTTCCTTCTTCTACCAGTACTTATCCCACTCAAATCATCATCACCATCTTTCAACAGTCACCAAACAATGAAGGATCCATACATTCCACATATTCCATAGGTATATATAGATATTCACGTACTCACTCACCATAAACCCTTTTCCCATCAGTGGCACTCATCCACCACTCATCCTCCACTCAACCCCCCCCACTATTACCGACCATAAAGCACAACAAAGCTAGGGTATCTACCCATATCAAATCAAATCAAATTAAATCAATAAAATAAAATAAATAAACTCTCCGCAAACACAACTTTGGAAATACTGAGCCACGCTCTAGAATGACATCTCTGTAGAATAAAATAAAATAAAATAAAAATATCTAGTACCTAGGTATCTATTGTATCAATCTGTACGTGTCTATCAATTTGCCGACGAATCGAACTTCCTTCGACTGCGACTGCGACTGCGATTGGGATTGGGATCTGCAGATGCTGAGATGTGGGAAATGCCCTTGTGGGATGGATGTTATGATATGATGTGATTACTAAACAGGCAACCTTGTGGTTTTCCGGTACGTGCCAGAGAATCAATTGATGGATGGGATGGGATGGACTTCTCAGCATAAAATCTCAGGTCTATATATCCCAACCCCAACCCAACCCCAACAACTAGATGGAGCCGGATGTGGAATTGTAGAAGTGGGATGGGATGGGATGGGATGGGATGGGATGGGATAGGTTGGAGAAAGTAAAGATCTTATGGGTAGGTATGTAATTGGGTAGATGTGGTTTTGATACCTGATGTTTTATATCATTATTACAATCATTAGAAAATAGAGACACAAGTATCAGACAGAGGAGATTCAACACCATATTCTACCAGGACAATCTATCAGGAAACTTTCACGTTCCCATTGCGCCCCTCCTATCCCCTCCACATGCAGAGAAGGGATACAATATACATGTAGATTTAAAGTAGCGATCATCTAGAGCTCCTTTCCTCTTCTGTTCGTTGAGATCACAATCATTGATTGTGGGTTGATCATGTTGATGTTGATGTTGATGTTAATTCAATCCTCTTTTGATTACTAGGTAGTCAATTCAATCATTCCGTCGGCCATTCATTCATCCATTCAATTAATACTCGGGTATAGATATCAAGTATTGTTGTACTGATCAATACCAATACCAATACCAATATATCTACCAAGATAGTACCATACTAATCCATTCACACCTCCTCCCTCCTCTCCACTTTATCTACTATTACTATCTACTATCTACTATCTACTATTTACTATCTACTATTTACTATTTATTATTTACTATTTATTATTTACTATTTACTATCTATTATCTACTATCCTACTATTTATTATCTACTATTATTACTTATTATCTACTATTATTACTTACTATCTACTATTTATTACTTATTACCTACTATCTACTAATATCTATTTCTATTTCCATTTCTTTTCCTTCCTTCTCTCTCTCTCTCTCTTTCTCTCCCTCTCTCTTCCCCCAAAAATCCGGTAGCGAGACCCCAATTCCCAATTCTCCAATTCCCAATCCCAAAAATCCAAAAGAAAAAACCCCCAAGAGCCACCAACCAGCCACTGCAAATCACCTACCACGAATCCCCAATCCCAAGTTGCGAATTGCGAATTGCGAACCACCAATAAAATTAGTAAACTTCCCACCTACCTACTTCCCCAACTACCTACTTCCCACCTACTACCTACCCGAGCTACCCACCAACTACCTACCTATAAACTTCTTCGCAGAATAAGAACTACCTACCTAGGTACACCATTACCTACCTACCTACCTACCTAGGTATCTACCTAGCATGAACCAATGCATAAATGAACACGAAAATGAACAAATGCATAATTGCATAAAACACACAACCACCTAATGCCTTCCCAAGTTCCTTGAACTACCTCTCTATCTACCAACCTACTCTATAGACTATAATATACCGAGCCAGGTAAACCCAGACCCCAACACAAGACAAGACAAGTCAAGATATTATAATATATTATGCTATACCTATATGCCATACCATGAACAAATAACAAATAAAAAATCATCACCTCGGCAGTCTATCTATCTAATAAGTATCCAAATGTCTGCCGCTTTAACATTTCCACTTCCAAGAGACGGATTTCCGTGATGAAATCACCATTTCAGTTCATTTCATCCTCTTCCCCTTCCCTTCCCTCCATTTCCCTCCTGTAGTATCACCAGAAATTATTCTCAACATACAATTTACACTATACACATACAACATACAAGCCACCCCTTCTCTCAGAAATAAATTAGGTATTCGCACATACTATAAAAAAGCATCACATGCACACATTCAATCGTCCCGCTTCATTTTACATGCTCTAAAATTGTTGAATAGATTCATTGGTATTGACATCGTCTATGAGATCTTGAGAAATAGGTAAGCAAGTACCAAGATAGGATGATATAAAAAACATATCCCTAGAGAAATAGTAAAAATAAAAGATCATTGCCAATCATAAAATACCCCCCTTGAACACCCTACCACACCAGTTGTAACCATCAAAATGGGGATCCGCCCCTCCTCCAAGTCTATAGAGGATTGAAAGAAACAAGTAAACCAAATCGTAACCAGACGGGTGACCTCCTATGTCAAAATGCCTTCCCAAAAGAAATATATCCTGTCAAAAGATGACCCTCTATTCCTTTACTTCATGTTGGTCTGAGAATACATCTCCGTGCGACTTTTTCGTTGCATCTTGTGTCATGGCTGATAAACTACCATCCAATTTTCGACCAGTGTCGGGAGGATCACTAAAGGGTCCTTGGGGTGTGATTGGGGTGCCATCTTCGATTAAGGTGATAGCATTAGAGTCTCGGGGAAATAATGATGATGGGACTCCTTTCGCTTTTGTAGGTTCAGGTGAAGTTGCTTTTGACAAGCTAGAGTTAACTCGAATGACTTGTGGTTTGGTCATTGTCGCAGCACTAGCAGCATTCAAGAATGTACTGCCTACAGAGAACGCTGGACTAGGTGGGTTTTCAGAGTATTTTTTGAAGTCGATGCTTGGAACTGGAGGTGTGATGGTGCCACCTGATGAACTTCCTCCTGCTTTGTTTACACTGACAACAGCTGCTTTTCCTCGAATGACTGTCTGCGCTGGAACTGGTGAGACGATAGCTTGTTTTCCGTAGATAGTAGATGCCACACTATTTCGTGCGTACGAGTTTCGTTCCCCAATTCCACTAATTCCACTATATGTTGAGTCACGTAGATCTCCTGGCATGAAGAAATGTTCTTGCTCATATCTTGGCGATCCAGATGAGTTTGATAAAGCAATTGGGATCGGAGGAACTGGAGGAACAAGAAGACCTGGAGTGGATGGAGTGGATCTGTTGGTAACACCTGGGATGTATGCGATCTGAATGATGTTCGATGCTCGTGTAAGCACTGTAGATGCAATTGATCCAACGGTGTGTGTAGAAGCTCTTGCGTCCCTTCGCATTGCGAAATCTTTCTCTGCATTGGCCTGCTCTTGGTTCTCTATCCAATCATCTTGCTCGAATTGTTGTCGCTTCGTCTTGATGCAAAACCTCCATACAAGATAAGTAACAGCTGCGACAGCTAAAACACCTCCGATAACTCCTCCCGCAATAGCGCCTGAATTTGGACCGGATTTCGATGACGAAGAGGAACTAACAGTCGTCGAAGGTGCAGCAGAAGAAGCGACACACACTGTCTGTTGACATGCTGTACAAGTTGGTGGGACGAGGGAACAAATCTCATCATCGGCACAACTCGGACATGCTGGACTGGCTCCATCGCATTCGACACATCTTCGAAAAAGAGTAGGGAAGGATGCTGCAATTGATTAGCAACATATCGTTACCTTCCGAAGAATTTCACCTACATTCGTAATACGCCATCTTTTCCGGTGCTAATTGCGATATGCTGTTGTGCCGTATTGAAAAAATTGAGAGTGAACCAGTCAAGGTTGGTTTGGGATAAATCCAGGAAATCGAAAGGTGTTGGTAATTGAAGGCTTGGCCTGTCTATAGTTGTTGGTTGAAGACAACAGAAGAGAGCCGGCTCGAGAAAGGTGAGTGGTGGGAAAATAAAATAAAATGTCGAATTGGGTATAAGCTACGAGAGCGATGAAATGAAAAATCGTAAAAGTAAAGATGAATTGATCGAAACTCAAATGGTTATTGCCGGCGCTGAAAGAACGAGGTGATACAATAGGATACGGTACGGTTGCGATGTGAAGTTGGAAAGTAAAGTAGGCAAGATTTAAAACGAATGTTGGTTTGAGCGAACTCTTATTATTGCGGTCGTAAACAAGGTCGATTACGACTCCATCTACATTGACGACTGAAATCTAGACCGACGATGAGGGGAATTAAACGGTCAAACTGGTAGTCGTGATGATCATTTGCGATGAAAAGTGATGGTGTAGATGAGATTGGGTTGAATTGATGGAGATCAATCTATCATTAGTAAGTAGCACATTGTATGTTCGACGAGTAGTAGTTGGAGTTGGTCAGGAATCAAAGAAGCAAACTCAGGCAGATTTTCCTGGAATTTGGCGGTTGAGGGCGAGAATAGCGAGGAAAAATGGATCTAATTTACTTTTGGTTTAGAGTGTTGGGGGGGGGGGGGGGGGGTAGGGGGGCCTAGGCTTGATGGTTTGATAGGCTTGTAAAGTGTATGGGAATGGGAAGGGGAATGAATGGGTTCTCCTTCATAAGATGGATGGAATATATGGGTTATATGGGACGCTCTGTGTCATTACGTTTGATGCCAGGGGGAAGAAGGAGACTTATTACAAAATGTGAGAGAAAAAAAACTAATCTCCAATGTTTTATATATCAGATGAAACGGGACAAAACCTTTGTGAAAGTTGGCTAGGTAACATATCATTGTATCATTATATACCTATCTATATATGAATGCACCATAGATTTCGAAGGAAATTCAAGAAACCTCCTTGCGTGGTCCAAATTTGAGCAACGGTGTTATGGTATAGTCTTCATAGAGGTCAATAGAGGTATCACCGTGTCCGTTGCTGTGCCATTTAATATCTATTCACACCATGCCATGTCTAGAGCTAGCTACTCAGGTACCTAGATGATAAATATCGCTTGCTCTCCTGCTTCAATCAGCAACAATGACAACCTCATACTGATAGGTAGAGATCTTTGATTGTCCTGATCTGATTCAGTGAGAGTAAATTATATTGAGGAAGCATACGCGGTATGTGTTCAATGAAATCTATAACCGTTGGCAAATTATACGGATAATTTTAATCATGTTCCTCGCGGCCCGCGTCTTGGTAATGTAGATCAATAGCTCTGGAATTTCAGATCTTTAATATCTACAGTGAGCAAACAACAAGTCAGCTAGAAAGGTCTGCGGTTCCATCGTGCTACGTAGAAGCTAGAGTATCGTTGTTTGTAAGATTTGTGTGAATTTTGGAAGAATGAAACACCACAGACGTAAATAAGGTACCTGAGCTTTGCGAACAAGAGATCAGACGTTTTCAGGAGTCATTGACGTATTAATGCTTCGGCATTGCTATTGATATTGTATGGATTTGTCAACTGGAAATCGAATGAAGGTTGTTTTCTCCCAAACTCTGAAGCAGCTAATGAATGCTTAAAGGGTGCTTCGGTAAAGATTACCATCAGACAACAGTAACCCGTGCGGGCTGACGAGAAATTGCAACACACTGGATTTTCAATAATTTAGTAAGGATGTCCGCTCATAATGGATACCCAGTATTCCATAGGCATTCTCGAAGCATTCAAGCAATCTTCTTCATTTTCGATGATCAGGCAAAGCAGAATTTTCATCCTACTAAGTTGTGTGGAAGCGTGGGAGCACCTTAAAACCCAGGCCACAATCCCCCCTGAATTTTAGTTGCCGTTGAATTGGCTTTTAAGTTCTCCTTCCCTACTCGCTATTTGGGATGTTTCCACTTTACACCTGTAGATGAGGCATCATCCATCATGAATGAGATATAATCAGTCAGTGAACAAACATGGAATGAAGCTGTTGTCAACATCCACAACACTACGTACTGACAGTCTGCAGCTAAATACTCTACTGTATACACCATTTTGGATGTATCCATATCCATATCCTTATCCTTATCCTAATAAGAGCTTTCATTCCCACCGTCCACAGATTCAGGAACTTTCCTTGGTCCGTCTAGTATTTTACCCCATTTCATTAGCTTCTTCTAGAATAGTACAGAGTCTATTAATAGACAGAGCAATACCTGACATTCGGGAAGTAGCCGCGGCGGTGGCGCTGAATAATGTACAGAGCAACTCTGTCAGACGCTGCCAACGACTTGTTTGTTTGGATGCTAGAAGGTAATGATGACTTCTTTGAATTTATAGTAAGTTTAAGGATAAGACCTTGTGTATGATTGATGACCATTCCTCTCCAATGAGAAAAGCCCTTCATATTATACGATGATGTACAAGACTTGTGATGTGGTTGATCCAACATTTCATAGGCAGGTGAGCTATAACAGCTGAAACCGAAGCGCAAAAATAACCAATGATCTCAAATGATTATCAGACCAAAACGCTGGTTAAAGGGGTTAAGCTTGTACCCCATAGCATTGCATTCTGTAAACGCGACTTTTCCAAGGAGGTAGTTAATATTACACGACATGCCATATGCCATGAATTCGTTGTGAAGTACGAATCAGTGCAGCGGCAAAAAGATCTTCGGAGAGGAGCTTCGAAAAAGATCCAAGCCTTCCTCGTCCTTCAACATGTTTACAGTAATACGAGATAGTTGTAGATATGTACACGCAATGCTGAACTTCGAGAATGAAGATTGGATAATTGAAAATGAGCCGCAGCATAGGGATGGGTAATGATGATGCATATGGATAGATTTACAATTGGATTCAATAAACTTTTAGGGTTGAGGCGCAGTTAATATGCCTATTGCATATTAGTCTTTTCTCGACCCCACTACAGCTAAATATAATAATAAGCTTATCAACACTCTTATAAGTTTCTTGATTTTTAAGATCTATTCTATATTTATATTACATAGCTTTTAGAATTCTTAAAATTATTCGAATTATTAATATCTCTTCAATTATTCAAATCTCTTAAATCTTTAAAATTCTCTCGATTATTTAACACGTTTCAACTGCTTGATAATTTGAATCCTTACAATTATTTAAATTTCTTAAACATATTAAATTACTTAAACCTATTTATTTCTTAAAAGCGTTTTGATTATTCAAATTATCTCAACTATTTATATCATTTAATTATTTTCAAATCATTTAAATATTTAAAATCAATTAAATATTTGAAATGATTTGAATCTTTGAAATAATTTGAATCTTTGAAGTTATATAAATATTTATCATTTTTTGAATATTTAAATCTCTTAAAATATTTAAATTATTTACTTCTTCTAAACCATTTAGATTATTCGAATCTTTAAAATCATTCAAACTATTTAAACATTTAAATCCTTGAAATCGTTTGAATATCTAAGTTATTTAAAATTATCAAAAGGTAATCATTAATTATGTTCATATAACTTAGATATGAATAACATTTGGAAATATGTATATTAGAGCGTTTTCTATGTCGCTATTCATAATTATATCATTTGTATAGCTCACTGATTCACTATTGTTTCATTGGTTCAAATTTCCCTATTCTACTTCATTTCGCCTTACCAGCACTCAAAAATTGGTAAAGAATGCTTTCAGGGTTCTGAATAACCCAAGAATAATTGAAGGGATCTGAAAATAGCGGAGACCAAGACAACAAACTAAATCATAAGGAATCCATTCCATCCCTCCTATTTTTTTATTGACTTCAAGAATCTGAAACAGGGTTGCTTTTTTATTACCCTTTCTGAGCCTTTCTTCATATCTTCACCACTTCACCACTTCATATTCTGAGAGGAGAAGATTAATCCATCATTCTTTTCTTCTTTGACTTCTTCTTCTTATTCCATCTTCAATACTGAGGTACCATCACTGGTATCTTACATTTTTGACTGATTCCTTTATTTCTGAATCAAAAGAAAGAATTCTGAGTTGAACTACATTCGCTCTTTTACTTAGGTTGCCAAGGAGAGGGTCGATTCGATCTATCTGACCGTCCGTTCCTGAAGCCCACGGATTGACACCGCCATACGAGAGTATACCTCTGAATCTTGGACACAACCAACATTCCTCTTTAGATCTATTTCTCATTCATCAAGTATTGATAAAATCTCAAAGATTTTGTCAGTATTAATATTACACTTACCATTTGTATAATCTCGATCACTTAACAAAGAGTTCTTGATCATTTTCCACAACCATGGCATACTCTGGAAACGGAGGCTATGATGAGCACAAGCTCCAGGACCTTCCACCTGGAGGGGGTAACGTAAGTTTTGAGACTTCTTTCATCTCGCAGATTGTAGGAAAGCCTTCTCTAACCACAGTTTTTGCAGTACCATCATCCTCAAGATGAAGAGGAAGGTGCTTTGCCTTTACTCGATTCTGGAGGACACGGCGGCCCGTTCAATAGCCCTTATGACTCTCACTCTCAAGGAGGTCTTCGAGCGAACACTCCTCCCGTTAGACCTGTTTCTGCCTACAGTCTTACAGAAACGTATGCGAACGATCCACAACCATACAGCAGCGATTACAATTCATCCCACACATACAATGAGCAATTAGAAGATAACCCATACCCACGAACCGAAACCCCTTTGTCACGAGCTGAGACGACCTCCACAGAGGCATGGAGACAACGACAAGCCCCTCAAGCTGGAGGCCTCAAACGTTATGCTACAAGAAAAGTGAAGCTTGTACAAGGAAGCGTTTTGAGTGTTGATCATCCAGTACCCAGTGCTATCAAAAATGCCATTCAGCAAAAATACAGAAACGATTTGGAAGGTGGCAGCGAGGAATTCACACATATGCGTTACACCGCTGCAACTTGCGATCCCGATGAGTTTACTTTGAAAAATGGTTACAATCTGAGACCTGCCATGTACAATCGTCATACTGAGTTGCTCATCGCCGTTACCTATTACAACGAAGATAAACAGTTGACTGCACGTACTCTTCACGGTGTCATGCAAAATATCCGCGATATTGTCAACCTCAAAAAATCTGATTTCTGGAATGTTGGTGGACCAGCATGGCAAAAAATTGTTGTCTGCCTTGTTTTCGATGGTATCGACCCTTGCGACAAAGATACACTTGATGTTCTTGCTACTATTGGTATTTACCAAGATGGTGTCATGAAGAAAGATGTCGATGGAAAGGAGACCGTTGCTCATGTTTTCGAATATACAACACAACTGTCGGTCACGGCTAGTCAACAACTTATCCGCCCAACCGAGGGTGACGCCAACTGCCTTCCTCCGGTACAAATGATGTTTTGCTTGAAAGCAAAGAACACAAAGAAGATCAACTCCCATAGATGGTTGTTCAATGCGTTTGGTCGTCTTCTTAACCCGGAAGTCTGCATCCTTTTGGATGCCGGTACCAAGCCAGGACCTAAATCACTTTTGTCTTTGTGGGAAGGGTTCTACAACGACAAAGATCTAGGAGGTGCTTGCGGAGAGATACACGCTATGCTCGGGAAAGGTAAAATGCGGTTTATTGAATTCTAATGCAGCCAGATGTGCTAATTCAAACATAGGGGGCAAAAAGCTTCTCAACCCGCTTGTTGCGGGTCAAAACTTCGAGTACAAGATCAGTAATATTCTTGACAAGCCTCTAGAGAGTTCTTTCGGATACGTCAGTGTGTTGCCGGGAGCTTTCTCTGCATATCGATTCCGAGCTATCATGGGACGACCTCTTGAACAATACTTCCACGGAGATCACACTTTGTCCAAGATTCTTGGAAAGAAGGGTATTGAGGGAATGAACATTTTCAAGAAGAACATGTTCTTGGCTGAGGACAGAATTCTCTGTTTCGAGCTTGTAGCCAAGGCTGGTAGCAAGTGGCATTTGACTTATATCAAGGCAGCTAAAGGAGAAACTGATGTACCCGAAGGAGCTGCCGAATTTATCGGTCAACGTAGAAGATGGCTTAACGGTTCTTTTGCAGCAGGAATGTATTCCATCATGCATTTCGGCAGAATGTAAGTTTCTACGTGAGGGCGTACTTTGAGTGTCAATAACTAACATCTTTTATAGGTACAAGAGTGGACACAATATTGTCCGCATGTTCTTCTTGCATATTCAATTCTTATACAACGTCTTCTCCAACATTCTCAGTTGGTTCATGTTATCTTCTTTCTGGCTCACAACTACTGTTATTATGGATCTCGTCGGTACCCCTACCGCCGCTTCGGACACTACTGCCCTTCACCATGGCTGGCCTTTCGGTGATACTGCTACCCCCATCGTCAACACGATTCTGAAATATCTCTACCTGGGATTCCTACTCGTTCAATTCATTCTGGCTCTTGGTAATCGACCTAAAGGATCTAAGGTTACTTATATCGTATCCTTTATCGTCTTTGGTGTTATCAATCTCTATGTTCTTGTCCTATCCATGTATCTGGTCGTTCGTGCTTTCTCGTCAGGAGAAAGTCTTGATACTAGTAACGCGAAAGATTTCTTTGAGAGTTTCTTCGGAAGTAGTTCGAGTTCCGGAGCTGGTATCATTATTCTCGCTTTAGCTGCTACATTTGGATTGTACTTCGTTGCATCCTTCATGTATATGGATCCATGGCACATGTTTCATTCCTTCGGGCCATACTTGTTACTCATGTCATCTTATATCAACATTCTCATGGTATACGCTTTCAGTAATTGGCACGATGTTTCTTGGGGTACCAAGGGATCTGATAAGGCAGAGGCTCTTCCGTCAGCTAAAACTACGAAGGTTGATGGTAAAGCAGCAGTTATTGAAGAAATTGACAGACCGCAAGAGGATATTGATAGTCAGTTTGAGGCAACCGTCAAGCGTGCTCTTAAGCCATTCGTTCCTGAAGTTGAAGATGAGAGCAAGACCTTGGAGGATTCTTACAAATCTTTCAGAACCAAGCTTTTGATCTCTTGGGTATTCTCAAACGCTTTGTTGGCTGTTGCTATCACGAGTGACAGTGTTGATAGATTTGGTTTCGGAGTGAGTTATTATATGCCGACAATAGTTTGAATCTCTCAGCTAACATTATCTTCAGAATACTGCATCAATTAGAACTGCCAAGTTCTTCGAAGTCCTGCTTTACTCAACGGCTTTCTTGGCGCTTGTTCGTTTCCTCGGGTGTTCTTACTTCTTGTTCAAGTCTGGTATCATGTGCTGCTTCATGAGACGCTAGACGAGACTAAAACCATATATACTCTAGAAACGAATATTGGTATTAGTACCACTAAAAGGTCACGAGTAATAAATGTTTCTTTTTCAAAAAATTGGGGGGCGGAGAGGAGGATGGGCCCTTTCTACGGCGGAGCGTGAGCACCTATCATTGGAAAGGAATCAGCGCTTGAATCTACAGCAAGTAACCATTTTTTGCATTTTTGTTTGCACATATGGGAGCTTTGAGACTTTTTTCTTCTTCCTAGGCGGTCTCTCTATATTGCATGTTTGAGTAGGCGTTTCCGTTTAATACTATTGAATACCCTTATGAATGAATAACCATTCGTATCTATTGAGTTAGATGTTATCTCATCAAAAATCCAATGTGCACTGTAGCAAACTATAAGAGAATGAGCAATTTGATACAGAACCTACATGTGGCACAAAACGGGTTGGCCACTCGCGTGACGCTTTTGATAAGAAATCAAACCCCGCCAGCCCGCCAGTTCACCAGCCCGCCTCAAATCTTTCGGCAAGGCGTCAGCAACCAAAATTCCTACTGTAGCAGCCGTATTATTGTATATTTGACAAGGCACAACATTCTATAACATCGTTTTGATACAAGAGACTGGAACTATTCACTTTCTCCAAGTTCATATACTTTTATAACTGGGTACAAAAAGACCCTCTCGCTTACTCTTCTCTCATTGTTAAACGTCATTTCTCAAACATTATTTCAATACCTACAATATAAATCTCAACTTCCCAACTCCAGAATCGCACTCTCAACACTTCAGTTGAAAAGTCACCAATAGTCAAGATGTTGAAGATATGGTCTATGGTATGTGCGCATCAGAACTGGAATTTCGGGTACGATGTGGAACGCGTTCGGAATACTGATATTGCTCGCAGAAACAAAAACAGCAGCAGGAGGCAAATGCCGATGCTGCTGCGGGTATTAAGAAGAAGAAGGTTACGGCCGCACAACTTAGATTGCAGAAAGGTAAGAGGAATAGATTCCAAGCTCTTGAGTGTACACGGAAGGGCACAGAATGAGATTGTACTGGGCATGCATGTGTGAGGACTAACATCGTGCGCTGTCAGATATTGCTGAAATGTCGCTGCCCTCTACTATGCGCACCGATTTTCCCGACGAAGACGATATTCTCAACTTCTTTCTATACATCGAACCAGATGAAGGCATGTACAAGGGTGGAATCTTCAAATTCAAATTCGCTGTTCCGGAAACGTTCCCACACGAACCGCCCAAGGTCAACTGTGAACAGAAGATCTATCACCCAAACATCGATGTCGAGGGAAAAATTTGTTTGAATATTCTTAGGGAGGACTGGAAACCAGTGCTGAACTTACAAGCGATTGTTATAGGATTGCAGGTATGATTTTGGAAGCGGTTTTCATGGATATATATGATGTCTCTGATCTGCGAAATTACTTCATACTAACGACTGGATGAACAGTTCCTTTTTCTCGAACCAAACGCTTCGGATCCACTTAATAAGGAAGCTGCAGAGGATTTGAGATCAAACCGAGAGGGATTCAAGCGGAACGTAAGATCTGCTATGGGAGGTGGATCTGTAAAGAATGATACATTCGATAGAGTATTGAAGGTTTGAAGGGGAGAAGGCATACGATTAAACATTTACTATGCTTTCAATATGCATTATGCAACAATACAAACGATGTCAAGATAGGGTTATTCGATCCGGACAAGTACTACATTTCCAGCACCACGCACCAATGTGTAAGGTCGCAACATGAGGACGGGGGCATAACGGGCGTTATTTTTCTACTTGGAGATCGAGGACCTTTCATGTAGCCTTTTTGGCTGCTGATCTTATATCAGGCTTTGTGTTGTGGCTGTAGAAAGGATACATTGTGTTTGGGCCGGAGAGTAAGGGGGAAGTAGTCATTATTAGGGTTGATACAATGATTGAATGAATACATATAAACAGAGATCTCTCCAATCCAAGTAAAGGGGGGTGAGACGTCCAGAGCAATGACCAGCGGAGGACTACCGGAGCGTCATTTCATGAGTACATCTGATTCTGATGTCAACCCCTAGAGTATACCAACAAGTATTACGATCTCTCCGGTTTATGGAGGTATAGTGAAGGAGTCATATTTGCAAATGGGAACATTCTACTTGGTAACTTCGTCTATCTATCTCCACTACTGTTGTGAATTCATATATCGGGGTGTACTAGGCAAGTCGCAGCACGCGAGGCCAGTTTCTTGTAGTCAATCAATTGTAAACTAATACGAGCTATTTCACGGCTTGGACCGTGGCCGGAACAATACCGGAGGTTCATCTATCTATCCTTTCCTTTCAGACAGATGATCTAGATTGTCAGATTTGATATATATAATTTCGAAACGTAACTACCTACCCTCTACCAGTGCCTACGTACTAGATATTCATGGAATGGGTTGTGAATAGCTACCTATGTACGTGGGCATCTGTAGAAAGAATTATAACAATATAACAATATTTACAGATATTTAGAGCTTCTGTTATTTAGAGTTTTTTAAAAGTTGATAATTTGCCAAATTGAGTTCAGTTTTAAGACGCTTGTGCACACAAACTATCTTCACTTTCTACACGTCAAAATCAACAATTTTGTTGGACGATATTCACATTGAAATACAACCCGCACTGTTGGCTTGCCAAGACTTTCCCACCCACAGAAAGTGCGATACTGGAGAATACCCCTGTCAAAGGTACCTCCGGAACCGGGCAGGAAAATTTCCTAGCTACTGTTGCCCACAACAAAAAGACGAAGAGTCACATCTACAACTTTTTGACTTAAACCTCAAAATACCCTTTTGTTAATCTTCCTTTTTTTTTGAACTCCACTCACTTCTTCCTTCAAAATGGCTGCCCGTACATTTTCCAGAGTCGCTAGACCAGTTGCACGTCAATTGACTGCCCCAGCACGCAGAACCTTTGTCTCTGCTATCAATGCCTCAGCCAGACCTTCTGCTGCCCGTGCTGTTGTTGGAGCTTCCCAACAAGTCAGAGGTGTAAAGACCATTGACTTTGCTGGCACAAAGGAGAAGGTTTACGGTATGATTTCAGATTCAAATTTGGATATTAATGGAAACTGACAACTTCAACAGAGAGAGCCGACTGGCCAGTTGAGAGACTCCAGGTATGATTTACAACTTACAACCTTTGGCATTGACTTTTGCTAATATCTATCTTCCAGGAATACTTCAAGAATGACACAATGGCCATTATTGGTTACGGTTCCCAAGGACATGCTCAATCTTTGAACATGCGTGATAACGGTCTTAACGTCGTAGTCGGTGTACGAAAGAACGGTCAATCATGGAAGGATGCTCAACAAGATGGTTGGGTTCCAGGAAAGAACCTCTTCGAGGTTGATGAGGCTATCTCCAAGGGTACCATCATCATGAACTTGCTTTCTGATGCTGCTCAAAGTGAAACTTGGCCAGCACTTAAGCCCCAGATCACCAAGGGAAAGGTATGGACATATATTCAAGTCTCCAATGTTCAAAACTGACTTCTGCAGACTCTCTACTTCTCCCACGGTTTCTCCCCAGTCTTCAAGGACCAAACCAAGGTCGATGTCCCAACTGACGTTGATGTCATCCTCGTTGCACCAAAGGGATCTGGACGCACCGTCCGAACTCTCTTCCGTGAGGGTCGTGGTATCAACTCTTCCATCGCCGTTTTCCAAGATGTTACGGGTAAGGCACAAGAGAAGGCTATCGCTCTCGGTGTCGGTGTTGGATCTGGATACCTTTACGAGACCACCTTCGAGAAGGAGGTCTACTCCGACTTGTATGGTGAGCGTGGTTGCTTGATGGGTGGTATTCACGGTATGTTCCTCGCACAATACGAGGTTCTCCGTGAGCAAGGTCACAGCCCAAGTGAAGCTTTCAATGAGACTGTTGAGGAGGCTACTCAATCTTTGTACCCATTGATTGGTGCCAACGGTATGGACTGGATGTACGAGGCTTGCTCTACCACTGCTCGTCGTGGTGCTATCGATTGGTCCGGAAAGTTCAAGGATGCTTTGAAGCCAGTCTTCAACGACTTGTATGACTCCGTCAAGACCGGAAAAGAGACTCAAAGATCCCTTGAGTTCAACTCCCAAAAGGATTACCGTGAGAAGTATGAGGCTGAGATGAAGGAGATCCGTGATTTGGAGATCTGGAGAGCTGGAAAGGCTGTTCGGTAAGTTACAATCATTCATCACTACGTTATGTATAACCACTAATATTTCTATTAGTTCCCTCCGTCCTGAAAACAACTAAATGGATAGTTAATGGGGCCGTGGGGCTGGAGTTGCATATTTGAAATTGGGCCAATTGTATCATACTCTCATGACTTTCCGTTTTTTTTATCAACGGTATCTGGAATTAAAAGTTTAAGCCATTGAATTCATAAAAATTATATTTCCAATTGTTTAATAATTGACTATACTTGTGCACTTGTTCATACTTCCCTGTTCAGCCGAGATCGGCATGAATTTCACCAAACCAAATCATCCGGGCAATGCCCCGCCCCCACCATATCAATTATGCTATATGGTTAGCAACTGCACCCTTCCTTGACATTGCAATTTATTTCCAATTCATGTTAACACATTTACAAGTGTATTCCATTTAGATCAGAACTCACAATGGCAGATCCCAAGGCTCGCCTCCCTCTTAATCGCCAATCGGTTCTGGATGCCCACGAACTGATTAAATCGCATATCCACTATACCCCAGTCTTGACAAATAGGACAATTGACGAAATAGCTAGTTCGCCACAGACTGCGGAGGCATTGAAAGGAACAGAATGGGAAGGAAAGGAACCCGCGAGGCCAAAAATTAGAATATGGTTTAAATGTGAAAATCTACAGAGGGTGGGCGCATTCAAAGTTAGAGGGGCTTTTCATGCCCTGAAGAGGTTAGAGGAGGCAGAAGGCGGGGTCGAAGCTGGACATGGAGAAGGAGGTTGGAGACAGAGGGGTGTGGTAACACATAGTAGTGGTTTGTTCACTAATCTTTTTGATTTCTTCTTGGCTTGTGAATTATTCTTTTGCTATTATTCTCATCTCTGACTCTCTTCTAATCTGCCAACGAGTTCTGGGGCTAAAGATGCTAACATAAAATCCGATAACAGGAAACCACGCACAAGCCCTCGCACTCGCAGCCCGTGAGCTCGGCATCCCAGCCCATATCGTCATGCCCACTATTTCGACACCCTCTAAAATAACAGCGACAAAAGGTTACGGCGCAAATGTTAGATTCAGCGGGTCAACGTCAGTAGAGCGAGAAGCGATGGTTGAAGAAGTTGTGAAAGAAACAGGTGCAAAACTCGTGCCGCCATACGATCATCCGGATATTATTGCTGGGCAAGGAACTATGGGCTTGGAATTAGCAGAACAGGTTAGACAATTACAAAGTGAAAGAGGCATAGCCAATCAAGATGGCCAGGAGGTAAAAGGATTAGATGCGATTATTACTCCTTGTGGAGGAGGAGGTATGCTATCGGGTGTTGCGCTTTCGTGCGAAGGAAGAGAAATCCGCGTTTTTGGCGCGGAACCCGAGTTTCAGGGCGCGGATGATGGACGGCGTGGATTCGAGCAGGGGAAGAGAATTGAGAGTGTGAAGAGTCTCACGATTGCGGATGGACTGCGCACGCCGGTGGGAAAGATTCCGTGGAGTGTTATTTTTGAGAGGAGATTGGTGGAGAGTATGTTTAGTGTGACGGAGGAGCAGATTAAGAAGGCGATGAGGTTGGTGCTGGAGAGGATGAAGGTTGTGGTGGAACCGAGTGCGTGTGTGGGGCTTGCGACGGTGTTGTTTCATGAGGGGTTTAGGGCGCTGGTGGAGAGGGAGGCGGGGGAGAGGGGGTGGGATGTAGGTGTGGTTTTTAGTGGGGGGAATGTGGGGATTGAGGCTTTAGGCGGGTTGTTTGGGGAGGGGGGTATTGGGAAGGAAGGGGAGAGGGCGGAGGGGAAGGTCGGGATGGATGGGGTGAGGGTTGCGGAGAATGTGGCGGGTTAGGGGGGTGTTGATGTATGGTTAATTATGAGTCAATGTATTATATGCAAGACATACACCATATAAAAAAATTCATGGAAGTGAAACATATCATTTTGCAAATCCCGCATAGTATCTCATATACATAGCGTGATGTCCAGTAGAGACTTGAGGAGCTAGTATGGATAGTACAATTAGTCAGTATGGATTCATAATAATCAATAAGAATAGAAGATCACTTTAAAAGAATACATGGAAGGATACCTGAAAGGATAGACTTGGAGAAGAATATCAAAGATTATCCACTCCTCCTCCCTTTTTGCTTCTTATTAAACGCTTGTGATAACTCTGGAATGGTGGGTTCGGGAGTTAGTATTTTGAAAGATCGTTGTTGGGTTTCTGATTCGCTTGTTTTTTATATTTTTGTGTTTTTGTGTTTTTATGTGGAGAGAGATATGAATATATACATAACGTGGTTTATTATCGAGTAAGTTATATTATCGAGTGGGCCATCATTTTTACATACAAAATTCGTCTAGTTAGTCTATAATAAATTTACCTCCTTCTACGCGCGTTGGGTGCTATGGTAACTACCTGCCTACCTACCCTCCTGGTAGAATCTACAATTGCAGATTAGTATGTATGAAGGAACCTGGAATCTATACAAGGAGGGGTGCCAAAAAAATTACAATTGGAAGTTAGAAACTGTGATGAAAGATGAAAGATGAAAGAGAAGAATCTATGAACGTATCCGAGATAAATTGTATATCTAAATGGATAGGTAGCTTGTAGGCCTTACGGGAGGAAAAAGTTGAATATTTCGATAATATAGGAATAGTACTTGGCCTTTTAGTGATGTGATGTATGAGAGCAATTTACCGTTTATTGTAAGGTTGCGAGGATTAAGTGTATTTATTTAAGAGATCAAGATTAGATTAGGAGATGGAATTAGTCACTGAACTGAGTACTATAAATCCCGATAAATTCAATACCAAAGTGACTATCTAGGTACATGGAAGTATACATCAAGCGGCTATACATATATATCCAGATTAGTACTCCACATCACAACTCCATATTACTACTCCAAGCCCAGTATCAAGATTGATAAGTGAATCTTTCTTTTCAAGTGTCCCAAACATCAACAATACACTCCTATAAACCCCCTCAATGACACCATCCCTTGTAGAAACTTCAACCCCCCATACCCCGATCAGAAGCCATCATGAAAAGTTTACCGTGCCATCGTCGCGATATGCCCGCAGCTTTCTGATTCGTGTCAGTCGTCTTTTATTACCGCGATACCTATCATGATAGGGAGGGGACCTAGGAGTTATTTTTGGAGATGGTAATGGTTTGTCTGGCTCTGGCTCTGGTTCAGGCTCCGGCTCTGGCTCCGGTCCACCTTCTTTCCCCTGATATTCCCACTCAGATCCACTTGGTATTTCTTCTAATGGGCTTTCCTCACGACGCCTCCTCTGCATTTCTATAGCCATCTCCACATATGCCATCCCTCCTCCTAGGGAATCGATTACACCGTACATTCCGGGTAAGAAACGCCACACTTCTTGATCTATCGGTTCGCCTATATCCCCTATTACGCTCAAATCATTCGGCCTCCAATACCACTCCACGTCTTGCATCCAGCTATGCATTAATCTGTCTATACTCAAATCTATGAGGTCTGCATCGCGAGTGCGTTCAAAGATTGGACCTTGCTTTTGGCTAAGGTGTGTCCTGGCGTACCGACGGATAGTTCGCCTCATTCTATATTGTTCAATTAACCCCCATCACATACGTGATTCATGGAAAGACCAACTTGTTAAAATAGGGTCCGCCCTCGTAGTACGGAGATGTTACCCAGCCTACAAATCATCAATTAGTTTATGAAGTTTCCCTAAAGTTGGTAATGGCGAGTGAAGATTTGATCCCTTCGAATTATAATGCTACGTAGAGGACTCAATTACTACCGAATGCATTTCGAGATTGAAAGCTTCCAGTGTTGCGTTATACTCTGGGTCATTGATGATAAACTCAAAACTCCCAATAGATTTAGTGATTTAAGCATATTCAATGCGGAGGGTTCAGAAATGAAAATCCAGCCTTGCGGGATTGCATCATCAACAATCTACCAGTACGCGATTTCGGGTGTAGAATAATGTAAAGGCTCTTTACTTACTATCCAGCCAAAGTGGTGACATAACAGCCAAGTCCGGCATGGCAGCACTAAAGCAAGCTGCCACAATATCTTTGTATAGGCGACAAGAACAGAAAAATGTTCGCTGTGTGAGTATTTTGTATGCTTGGGGATGCTCTAGTACTGTATGGCCAAGTGAAGTGATGAATAATTTCTCGAGATCGGTGAAACCCGGATCCTGAAAGTACACTTTACTTGGTGGAATATTGAATTTTTGCCCTGCAAAATGTTATACATGTGTTTCGCGAGAGGGGTTAGGAGGACGGATGAATTAGAAATCCAAAAGCAAAATACTTACTCAAAATATCAATCCAACATTCAAAGCCAACCACTTGAGAAAGATGGTGAAGATCTATGTCTTGTTCTTCATTTCGCGAACCGTAATATTTATCATACTTGTAAGAACTATTTGGGCCACCCTGTATCGATCCAACACCCATGGATAACGCTGAATCCACTACTAGCTTCAAAGGAAATATCGTCTTTTCTAGCCATTCTTTTTGAACGGCGTGAAATCCTGATGCTTTCCACCTGCGAGTCATTTCCGCATGTATAGCTAACATACCCGCAAGCTTTTCAGCTTCAGTCTTTTCCCTAGGATGGGACATCTCGGACACTAATTGAAAAGATTAAATCTTTGAATGGTTTCTCCAACGCCGAATTATGTTTACTGTGTATTCTGGGTAATATAGAAGGAAAAGGCACAAGAGGAACGACCTTGTACTAAAATCAAGGATCGGATAGAATAGCCAAGTTCTAGATCAACAAAAGAAATCAAATGAAGTGGAATTTTGAAAGAAGTTGACAACAATACCCAAATCCGGCACTTATTCATGACAAAGGTACTTTGACCTCTTGCACTCCAGCATAGAACTTTGAGCCAAAGTATAGGAATAAACAATAGAGCATCAGCCAATTGACTTTCATTATCTGTTAGGAAGAGAATAAATCTCCCTTTCTTTCACCAGAATGGCAATGCGTCCATCAAATTTCACACAAACATTCATAACGATCACAGTTTTTAAAACTTCAGTGTCAATAAAATGTAGTAGATAAATAGTCACATCCAAGAAGCATTTTACTTGCAGGTTCAATGACAAGACCATGTCGGTACTTCAAGAAAGAATACACCCTGCCAGGACGGAAGCTACCATTGAATACAAAAAACATCCTGTGCATATTAACTCTGAACAAGTGGATGTATTGCTAGTTTCCTGTACATAGCAATGACAATAAGGAAGACTTTAATCTTGAAAAAGAATAGGAAATAGAGCAGTACGAAGACTTGCCATTTTGAAGACATTGAGATGATTGTTTGAGAGGAAACATCCACTAAGACAGTTTTTTTAATGATTCCTTGTGAAAGGCAAACTCCACAACAAGTTTTAGTTTGTGAAGTAAAAGTTGACTTGAATAGCAGCCCTTTAACTGCATCATGTTATTATGCCATTCAAACTTGTTTGTACATTCTTCTCAAATCTGCAACCCCTTCTGTCAGGATTCAAAAGTCCGTAACCCTACCATTATAACTCCAATCGCCCCTCTCACCTGAACTTCCCCACCTCAAAGGTTCATTCTTTGGACCGCCAACCTCACCAGTCTTCGGGTTAATGTCCCCTTCGAATTCTGGCCTCGCACCTCTGCGAATATCCGGGTGCAATTCCTCTCCTTTTCCTGTAGCAGATACCCTGGCGTTCACAGCAGCCAATTCTATATCCTCCTTCTCGGCAGCAGTGGTTGCAGGTGATTGATTTATTTGTGGTCTTGTTCGCGTCGATGACTTCAATGTATTGGTAACGACTTCAGTTTTCGGGGTACTAAATGCACCAGTAGAGGAGCGTTGCAGACGTTCAAATTCTTCTTGTTCCTTTGGTGGCAAGCGTGGCGGGGCTGGACCCGTTGCGAATGCTGTTCGAGAAGTAGTTTGTGAGAAGAAGCGACGGGAGGGAAGGAGAAATCTTGATGGTAAAAGTCGAGACATTTTTAATTGTTGTTGAATTGGGAAGTTCGAGAACTGAATGATAGGAGGAATTAAATATCGATTCCAGTGTAATGCGTTTGAATCGGTTGTTCACGGACAATTGTTTTCTTTATCAGCCGGATTATGTTGTGGCAAGGAGAAGGAGATTAATATTGATTGATACCCGAGGAGGTCATGACGAAATTAAATGTTCAACTGGCAAGAGAATGCGAGATTTTGCCAAGGCGGTGGCTTAATTGAGCGATAACTAGTGAGGGGCGACGGTTTTGACTCACTTTTTTGGTTGATCAATAAGAATTATATATACAAGAAAGGAATCCTACTTGGAGACTATTTTAAGAATTCGTTCATATATCAATCATCATTCCCCCTCCTTCTCTTACACTTTCTTCTTCCCATAACACTTCTTTACATACATATCAATTTAGAATTCAAAATGGATCATCTAAAGAGGACATTTGCACAATGCAAGAAGGAAGGAAGATCCGCATTGGTAACATACATCACTGCTGGCTTTCCTCAAGCAAATGATACTGTTGATATCCTCTTGGGGATGGAGGCTGGTGGTGCCGGTAAGTGATACCTCAACTCCAATTGACTGTGTGAAAGTTGACAATTGTTCGCAGATGTTATTGAATTAGGTATTCCATTCACAGATCCCACTGCGGATGGACCCACGATTCAAAAAGCAAATACTCAAGCTTTGAAGAATGGTATAACAGTTACTTCGGTTTTGCAAATGGTACGGGATGCAAGAAAGAAGGGATTAAGAGCCCCAGTTCTTTTCATGGGTTATTACAATCCTTTTCTGAGTTACGGAGAGGAAAGATTATTGAAGGATTGCCGAGAAGCTGGTGTCAATGGATTCATCGTTTGCGATCTTCCACCAGAAGAAGCTGTGAGCTTCAGAAAGTTTTGCACAAGCGGAGGGTGAGTATTTGGGAGACAATCTATACGTCGCATTTGAACATATGGCTTACAATTTTTGTTCAATAGATTATCCTACGTTCCTCTCATCGCTCCTTCGACTTCCGAATCCCGAATGAAGCTTCTTTGCAAGCTCGCAGACTCTTTCATATATGTTGTTTCAAGAATGGGTGTTACTGGAGCCACAGGAGGTTCAATGGATGCTGGTTTGGAAGGTTTATTGAAAAGAGTCAAAGAATACTCAGGAAATGTTCCAGCGGCTGTAGGATTTGGTGTTAGCACAAGAGAACATTTCTTACAGGTCGCCAAAATCGCCGATGGAGTCGTTATCGGAAGCCAAATTATCAACACCGTCAATCAATCACCTGCCGGAAACATCGCAAAAAGTGTCGAAGAATACTGTGCGGAAGTTTGCGGGAGAAGGGGTGCTCCAAGCGAGGGTGAGGGTCTGACTAGAGAGGTTGGAATGGCCGAGACAATGGGTGTTGCCCAAGAGCCTAGCGGAGAAAATGTTACTGTCGATGCCGTCGTTAGGGATGAGGACAGATCAGGTCCCGGTTTAGCTGATCAGATCGAGGCCTTAAATACCAATGGCCCCATAGATCCGAAAATTGCATCTCAAAAGTTCGGAGAATTTGGTGGACAATACGTACCAGAGGCGCTCATGGATTGTTTATCAGAGCTTGAAGCAGGATTCAATGCAATCAAGGACGATCCAGCATTCTGGGAAGAATACCGAACATATTACCCATGGATGGGACGACCAGGTCAATTACATGAGGCCGAAAGACTTACTGAACACGCTGGTGGTGCAAAGATCTGGTTGAAGAGAGAAGATCTAAACCATACCGGAAGTCACAAGATCAACAATGCTTTGGGACAAATCCTTCTTGCTCGACGATTAGGAAAGACCGAGATTATCGCAGAGACTGGTGCAGGACAGCACGGTGTGGCCACAGCGACTGTGTGCGCCAAGTTTGGTATGAAATGTACCATTTATATGGGAGCTGTAAGTTTGAACTGCCTTTTTTCGCTTCTGTTAGGTCTTCTCTTGGCTCCTTCGTTACAGCACTAATAACATTCACAGGAAGATGTAAGAAGACAAGCTCTCAATGTTTTCCGAATTAAGCTTCTCGGTGCATCTGTTGTCGCCGTCGAAGCTGGTTCGCGTACACTTCGGGATGCTGTCAATGAAGCTATGCGCTCTTGGGTCGTCAAGCTTGACACTACTCATTACATCATTGGCTCAGCAATTGGTCCTCACCCATTCCCAACTATCGTCAGAACATTTCAATCTGTCATCGGCAACGAAACTCGAGCTCAAATGCTAGAGAAACGCGGTAAACTCCCTGATGCTGTCGTTGCATGCGTTGGAGGTGGTAGTAATGCCGTTGGCATGTTCTACCCATTCTCAAAAGACCCAAGTGTTAAATTAGTTGGTGTTGAGGCCGGTGGCGATGGTTTAGATACAGATCGCCACTCCGCTACCCTGTCTGGTGGTACAAAGGGTGTTCTACATGGTGTCCGTACATACGTCCTCCAGGACAAACATGGACAAATTTCAGAGACTCATTCCGTATCTGCTGGTTTAGACTATCCTGGTGTTGGACCAGAATTAAGTAATTGGAAAGATACTGAGCGTGCGATGTTCATTGCGGCCACTGATGCCGAGGCATTCAAAGGATTCAGACTGATAAGCGAAAAAGAGGGTATCATTCCTGCGTTGGAAACTGCGCATGCAGTATGGGGAGCAGTAGAATTGGCAAAGACCATGAGGAAAGATCAAGATATCGTTATTTGTTTGAGTGGTAGGGGTGACAAGGATGTGCAGAGTGTTGCAGAGGAATTACCCAAGTTGGGCCCAACAATCGGATGGGATTTGAGATTTTAGATATGAATTATGAGGGACGAGCGGTCGAGTTAAGGTGAATAGGCGTTGCAGGGTCTTGTAAATATTTCGAAAATTATGAGAATGAATAGATCTTTAGAATGAAAAGTTCCTTATTTACAATGAATAAATACAGTTAATAGGCGAGGCTATATAGCACCTAGTTTCCAATCATTTACTAGCAACGCTCTCAAGCCTTTGCTTTCCACCTGATGGATACCTCTCGGGACTCCCGCTGGGCAACCTCGTCTTAGTCCTCGAACTTCTTGAAAACAGTCGATATGCCAACCTTCGACAAGCCGTCTGAGATGTGATGATATACACAATCACGTTCCAAACACCCTGTAGCGACAACATTAATGATTCAATGTAGTTTAACGGGAAATTAACCGTCGAAGGATCCGCCATTTGCCAAATTCTATTGATGCTCGCGGGAACCCAAGTAATAATCATAGCAAGAAAGAAAAGGATAGCCACTCGTGCATACAGCCAAGCCTCGGGATTCGTTCCAGACTCCGCAACCTCCCTGGTCAAACTTCTCATTTTTCGCATCTGATACACCTGGGATTCTTGTTGTTTTTGTTGAGGTGTCGCTTGGATATCTACTTCATATTGATCCGAGTGCAATACGCTTTCAGAAATGCCTTGATCGCCGGCATCTTTGACGATGGATCGTTCTTCGTAGGTGATTTCGATTTCAGTCGTGATGGTATTTGCGAATGGGTTCTCGTTCATGGGGTTGAGGAAGCCGCTTAGATGTTCACGTTTGGACCAGATTACTTTGGCGGCCATAACGTATACAATGAAAGCGAAGAGGATAGTAATCCTATGTTCATCGGATCAGTAAACGTGATCAAACTTGAGAACCTTAGAAGCTCGGATCGCACTACTCACCAGACAATAACATATAAGAAAACCAACCGTATCCAATCCCAATCCTTGCTAATCCAGCACCAAACAATAGCTGATCCGTAAATACGACCTCGCGATTTTGTCGATACAAATAAGAATACAAAAGCGGGTATGAAGGAAAGCCCATAGCATGCAACCAAGTACCAAATATCCAACTTTCTTAATTGATGTGTGGTATATCCTTTGAAGAAAATGAGGTATACGTTGATGGCCATGAAGAACGCCCAGTAACAATCAACTCCACGGAACATCTGCACCAAAAAACCTTGGACCTGACATATTCCGGAGGCATCGAATTTTGCTTCTTCCATCAATGATGCCCGGCCAAGCTCAGATATCAGGCACGAGATACTCGAACCAATATTTCCCCATGATGCGAAGAAAATGAGTCGATTGATTGGTTTGTCGAAGGATGAACAAAAAAAGTATGTGAGAACTATGAATAGATTACCAACGATAGAAACGGCTGACGTAACTCTCTCTGTGATATCAACCGCATTGTATTGCTCGTATGTTAGAGACATGGCGGACTCCTTAGGCAAATGGATATGTCGAAAGGAGTGAAGAGTCAGGAGACTACCAGACCTTCTATAATGTGGTTCAACGACGATCTTCAGGAGTCAATTTGGAGGATTCAAAGCGGAAACAACTAAGGAATGACATAATTGAAGTAAACTTTTATGTTGTGGAGATTATGTAAATAACATATATCCCAAAGTGATTCCTTTTGGAGGAATAAGAGGATCCCCATTTGACCATCCCATCTTGAAGAGTTCGTTAGACAAGGGGATGCATTTAATTTGAACGTTTAGAGTTCATAAAAAACTCTAAATCATAACATGCCGGTAAGATACCGATGAGCACCCGGTAGAATCCCCAATGACAGGCTTTTGAGGCACTGTAAATCTTCGGTACAGTGCTGGCGACATGTTTCACTTCCCCGGACAGAATAGCAACCACACGCGTCGACAAGGTTGGAATCGGTATTTTTCAAGCGATCTTTCTTCTTATAGGAAGTTGCCCCGGATTCATCCCCCCCAAACGACTACGTTTGGAATGAAAGTTTTGGACTTGGTACCCTGAACAAATGAAGAAGGTTACACAGTTCGTTATAATTAGGTATAACGTGGTTTATCAGTGAGTGGGTTAACCGATATCCCTGCATCGTGCACGACCCTGTATCTTGCACGCTTTAATTTATTGAATTAAAAATTGATTATAAATCCAAAACTGTTTATAATAATATTAAAATTTATAAAAAACAGATTGAAGATTAGCTAAATATAATAATAAGTTTTTGATAAATTTGAAATATCAAATAGAATATTAATTGATTTTAAAAAATAATATTTTAAAATATTAATAATTTAATAAAAATTTATATTAGAATAAATTTATATTATTAAAAATAAGTTTTTTAAATTAATTTATATTATTATTATTGAAAAAAAGCTTGGAATTCTGAAAAATATAAAAAATTAAGTTTTAAATATAATTTCAAAAATATGTATAATATTCAAAAAAATAAAAAGAATTTAAAAATTCTTTTTAAAATATTTTAAAATGTTTTTTTATAGATTTTAAGAATTTGAAATTATTATTGGATTTTAATTAGAAAATAGAATTTTTATATATTAGAAAATATATAATATAATAATAATAAAATTATAAAAAAATAATAAATAATTAAAAACTATAACTTATTATATTATAAATTAATATATAAAACGAAAAAATAAGAAATGAAATAAAACATTCTAATTTTTTAATAAATAAATCTATTATTTTTTTAAAAAAAACTAAAAGATATTATAAATCTATTTTTAAAAGAATTTATGTTTTAAAAAAAATCCTCAAATTTTATAATATTTCTAATAATTTTACAGATTAAATATAATTATAATTATATTATAATATATTCTATTTTTTATTAATATTCAAATTAATTCCGTTTTTAAAAATTTTAAAAAAAATCTTTTTTAGAAATATCTTATTATTAAGTTATATAATCCTAATATTTAATTTTATAATTTTTTTAATAATTGATAATATATATATATATATTTTAATAAAATATAGTTATTTTAGTTTTCTAATCAAAATTAATCTATTAATACTATTATATAATTGAAAAAACTAAAATTATCATAAAATACTTGATTTATAATCAATTTTTTTTAAAAAAAAAGATTATTTATGAAAACTTAAATAATATGTTGAATAATATCAAACTTATAATATAAAAACTTGATTTTTTTATTTCTTTATGTTAACAATATATTCAAATTTATAAAAAAGAAATTGAAAATCAATTTTCGTTATTTCTATTAATAAATAAATTAATATATAATATTTTTGTATTAATAATTTTAATATTGAAATTATATTATATATAATAATTATTTTTATATTTTGATTACTTTATAAGAAATAAATAGTAATATAATATATTATATATAATTATTAATAGAACTCAATGATTGATTAATTATATATTGAATTTAGAATATCTTTTTTAAAAGAAATAAAAGTGTGCACGATACAGGGGCGTGCACGATGTAGGGATATCGGTTATATCAACGAATAAATCATTTTCACCTTAATTCATTTTTTCAAATCTATATTATTCAATAACAATTGAATCAATTAATTGAAATTATTAAAAATTTAATAATTTAGAATCTGTTATGTTATTTTGATAGATTTTTATATTATAATCTATTCTTTTGTATTTACTGTAGTATTAATTAAAAATATTTTTTTATTAGATTTCTTTCTTTTTAATATTCATTGTATTGAATCTAAATATTAGTTTTTCATTGAGATAACATATTAAGAGTTTTTTATTTAGTAAGTATTCTTTTTTAATATAATTAGGTTTTTTTTGTATATTAATATTTACTTAATATTTTATTTGCTTTTCAAAATATATAAAATTTTATAATCAGAAGTATATTTTTATAAATTAATTTCTTTATATTTTTAATTAAAGTTAATATAATTTCAAATGCAGGTATAGGAGAGTTTAATTGATAATAAATTATTTGAGATTTAGTTAATATTGATTAAAAAAAAGCTTTAATTGAATCATAAAAGATTTAAGAGATTCATTAATTTAGATTAAAAGAAGAGGGGGGAAATGTATAAATTTGAATATCTAATTTAGAAAATATAGTTTTAAGATTAAATAGAATTAAATCTGTTTTTTGCAATTCTGATTTTATATTCTGAAGAATAATTAATTTTTTTGTATATAGTTTTAAAAGCTATAAAAAATTCAATTTTTGAAATATAATTAATATGTGTTTTAATAAACTTATTAATTTGATTATTATATAAATGTTTCAGATTATTAAATAGTTTATATCTGTCGTAGGTCATAGGCTAGTAGTATAGTATGGAAGCTGGCTCAGGTTAACGACTAAAATGGATTATATAAGCAGTGTGACACGTGATATTAAAGAATCTGTATTTAATAGTGATCGCTCTTATTCTACATTCAAGGGGAAAAGGTCTCTTTTTATGCTTTTTCTTTCTAATTCAGTATTTCCGTTTTCATAAATCTCTTGTAGATCTCTTCCTAATCCGTCCATTCTTTCGAAATAAAGCCCTTTTTCATATTCTTTATTTTATATCCGTTTTCGGATTTATGGCCGTTTTTCGACTTAATGGTCGTTTTCGGATTAATGGTCGCTTTCGTAAGCTTTATAAGCGATGATCATGTGATCTGATTATATAATATGCCTATACTTGATTGAATGCTTATTAAAAAGGTGTATATATTATATTATTTTTAATTAAAACAATAATATCAAATAATTGAATTAAATAATTTGAATATAATAATATATCTAAATATATAATATTTTTCTCTTTATAATATATTTGAAAAACTCTTAATTTGTAGTTTTTATATCTATTTAATATTAATATTCGATATTTATTCTTTCTTTAATTTTTATTATATTTATTAAAATACTTCAATTATTCTAAATCTATTTTGTTATTTATTCATTTATTAAATATAGATTTAATAATCTAATCCATAGGAAAATTAGTTTTAGCATATCAATTGAAGAGATAAATCTATTTTTAAATTACTAGAAATAAAAAAATAGTTTTATTCTCTTTATTTCCATATATTATTGTTATAGCTCATTCTCGATTATCTAATTATATTGATTTACTTCTATTATATCTCTCAATATTAATAATAATTATTATTATATATATAATCCCTATTATAAAGCTTGTTTTATTCAAATTATAGAAATCATTATTCAAAATGCTATAACGTGTTTTATTAGTGTATAGATTATATCAATATGCGGGTCACTTATTTTACATACAAAATTTGTCTGTGCGTAACCATACACTTTCTTTATTTATAGATATAATTTTCTGAAAATTTGATACAAAATATTTGAATATATAAAAATTTTAAAAATCTAATTAATTTTAAGAAATTCGAATTTATAAAGTTGTTATTATAAAAATAGTTTTTTTGTAATAAAAATCGTAACAATTTCCTTTTTCTTTTAAAAAACAATGAAATTATTTTATAAAAATTAGATCAATAGAAAACCTAGATTTTAATTTTTTTCTTAAAATCTTTTATTCAAGAAAATAATGATTGATTATTAAAATACTAATATTTTAAAAAGCTTGATTTAGATGGTTTTCGAAATGACCCGCATATTGATATAACCCGCACACTAATAAAACACGTTATTTCGTTTATATATTTATAATCAATCAAAATCACTTTTCAATAAATTTAGGATTTCTATAAAAAAACTCTTTGAAAATTATAAATATAATTAAAATATATCTTTAATTTGATTTAATACTTTATAAATTAATATATTCAAAACTTTCTAATATTCTTTATATTCTTCGATTTAGGAATATAATTTATTATATCTTTTATTGTTGGTTCGAGAAGGATACGAAAGACGTAGCACCCACGTATTGTAGGTCCTGTATGTCTAATTATACTCTATCTAAAGAGCTAGCTATGTAGGAAAGTAGTAGGCCTTATATAGGCACTATTGAAAGAGCTAGTCTCTTTCGCATTCGCTTAATCCCTTTGATACAGTAGCCATTGTATTGAAGTCATTCCTTTGAAGTGAATACTCTTGTTCACACATTTATATTCTTAAATTTAAATAAAAGATCTTTCGAATTTATATCGATTATATATTTAGAAATTATCACGCTAAAAGTGACGCCACCAATAGCCTTAGACTAATTGGGTTTATATAGGCTTAATTCTCTCGTGATAGAAATAATATTCTCTTCTAATTCTAAAAGATTATAAGATTTAGATCGATATTTGGAGTGAGGGGTAAAACCTTTGATTTTATATTATAATATTATATTTGGAACATTATATATCTTTACAGTTTTTCGAATACTTATTTTTTTTATCTTTCTGAATAGCTTTGATAATAAGAAGTAGATAAGCTTCTTGATTATTCGAATTTATTATAAACTATTAATAAAATGTATATTGAAAGAAGAGAAAAGAAATTGAGGTGAAAGTAATCCATTTACTGATATAACTCACTTACTAATAAACCACGTTATATGCATGATTATAAGGACTGAAGCATCAAATGATATCATTATGCTATTGACAATTGACAAAGATTACTAAAAGGACGAACCGTGTGGGTGGTGTAAAGGTGTCGAATATATGGGTCCGTATATGTATGCCCTGTATGTCCACCCCTAAGCGAGAATGCGAACTGGGTAAGCCCTGGCCTTGTAAACGGATTACTCCGTATCTAGTTGCACCAGAATACGCAGCAACTGTTTTTACTTTTCTTTATCCCATGTGGCAGGCCGCTAATCTATATTAATTTTTCCCGCTTCGCATGCTTCTAGATTTCATATCGCAACTCAATCTTTTATACAAGCCTTTTGACATGCGATGTACTCGTGCCACCAGGAAGTATATATGCGACACTTCGCATAAATGCACATACCACAAGATGGTAGACTACAAGAGGACTAACCCGATTTCGAAGGTGGGGTGTTGCATGCTTTCTGGCCGCACGAGCACTATAATAACTCCGACATGTTATCACCTGAATATTAAAAAGGGATGATCTCGTAATTTTTGGTCATCATAGCTTTCTTGAAGACGTCGTGAGAATACCTATGAAGCTCAAAAAATTTTAAGGGTTGTAGCTTCATTAAAGGCCGAAAATGGATCAGTTTCATGCATCAGATTTACAGAATCCATAGAATCGTGATGAGGTTACGTTCTCAACTATCACTAGGGTGAGGGTAGATTGAACCTTGATATATACATGACGCACTTATTAATTTATCAAAAAAGTTAATTCCTACTTACAGTTCAATCGCAACATTTTCCAATCACCATAGAGTACTATGCGGTAACGATACGGTGAAAGAACGACCATTGCATCGGGTGTTTTTGGATGAACTGAGTCAGAGTTCAGTTCATAGGATAGATTGACTATGGATCCCTAGACTTTGTGGAGATTGCTGCTTATCCCCCTCTTTCTGAATTCCCTAGGTCATATCTACATAGCAGTTGCTCCTGCTAATTTACCCGACATAGTGGCATCGCAAGTCATCCGAAATTGAACCCATTTCAAGACTCAGCAGGGATTTTGTGATAACGGCCCAGCGATTTTTCCTCAAGTCAAGGCCACCATGTATTTCATGCTCTGTTGCGGTAGTCTGCTCAAGTTTCTCCTGATAATCGTTCCCCGATATTCGTTGTTCGACGGGTTCTTTGGCCGGAATTTGTTGCACCCGAAAAGCTTTCGAGGCGGGAACGAATTGCAGCTCTTTGTTTGTCTTAAAAGAGATTCATGGTGTTCTAGTAATCTATCGCCCCCTCCCCCCCGCTCATTACTCCCTGGAAGATATGTTGTGATTCTAATTCAGAAGCCCCCAGTACTTGCACTTTAGAAGCATTTTCCTGGGAAACACTTTGAAAGCTAGAGCCGCCGCTGACGACCACTCAATTTTCAAGTACAGAAACGGCATAATCCTAGTGTAGTACAAGTTTAACTTGAAAGTTGAAAGTTAACCATCACCTCAATCATATACAATGCTAGAAAGCTCAAGGTCATCATGTAGGCAATAGTATCAACTTGTCTTCAAGCTCATTTGATATATCTATGTCATCAGCGATTTGCATACCAGTTGAAATTTTGTGTAAGCTGTCGATACACTTTGCGACGAAGGTCATACAATTGGTTTTCTCATACACTTCTAATATTCTTGATATCTTTGATATCGTTTGCAATTGATTAATGTGGCGTTCAAGCGTGCAAAAAGTAAAAAGCTGATCTATCAGACGTAAAGAGAAAACTCCTATTGGCTAGCACATCACAGTCGATGCGGTATCGGAGGAAATGTAAGGCTTTCTAATTGTAAAACATCTTTTTCGTCATTCTCACACACTTAGCAGGGTGAAGCATGGTACAAAATCCTTCGGAAAGTTCTATCTACGTACAGATCAGGTACGGGCACCGTCTCTATAAATTACTTTACCACATATCAAAATCGTCTAATCACCAAAAGAGCAGAGACGTCGCTAATTTTTATCAAAAAGACACGCCAAGTCCTATGTGTTCCCCTAAACTAAAATAAATGAGGCTCTGAATCAGCCAGACGAAGACGGACAAAGATGGACGAAGACGTTCCATTGGCTGCCCTATTTATTATCATTGTTCAAGTTGGAGTCTCTGGAAGAATTTCGCTTTGGTCGATCAGTCCTGGATAGATAGCTACTCAGATTCTATCTTTAGATGCTTCTGCTTTGTGGTGATTGTCGGTATGATTTCAATTTTGCGAGGATTGGTAGTCAAAGTGACATTCTTCACAAACTCGTAATCACATAACTTGATAGTTGCCATGGATGGTCTAGGTGATGAGCATACTTCAAGTTTGATTGTCATTTGGGTGCTTTGATTGCACACGACTAATTGTGATAACATAGGAAACTCGGGCCTCGATACCCCAAGCGCCTCCTCATGAACAGTTCACCACCGACGAAGTTATCGATCGTTCTGCTGAGCAAATTCTGTAGTTTCTTATGAGAGAAACGTGTGGAGATTGTGACGAAATAGATAGAAAAGTTCGCGAAATATGAAAATTGTGCCTAGACGTTTGATACATTGTGAGTATGAACAATATCCCATATGAGTTGAGATACTAAAGTCTTCTATGCCCCTTAGATCTACCCCTTATTGGCGATCATTCGTGCTGGGCACTGCATCATAATGATATTCATGAGCCGTTCGAACCCAATCGTTTAAGATTTGACAGTGTATCTGCAAAGGGAATGGCACTGATTGGTTGTGACTGAGCAATAGGATTTGGGATGCTTTACTATACACGAGTCGAAAGAAATGCAGACTGGGGCATGTGGTTGAGGTGGTATGATAGATTTTGAACGAAAGGGTTGAAATGTTGTTACGATTCCTTGTGAAGGAATCGGTTCATCCGTGTATGACAGAAGCGAGAATTTCTGAAGTAAAAGAGTGGTCTTCGTTGCCTTCAGATATGTATTATTTCACATTTCAAACTCGCACAGAGAGCCGTCAAGTTTTTACTTTGATAGGAAAATTACGCGCTTGTTATCAAACTTTGAGTCAGAAGAAAAAAAAATCATTGTCGCAAACTGTAGCAGAATCGGAGTCAACACATGGAGTCAAACGGGTTTGCAATATGACAGACAGCCAACACGTCTCTCCTGTTTCCTTCTTTCCTTCTTCTTTTCTTCCTTTTAACTCTGGTTCTCTTCTCTCAACAAAAGACTTCACAAATGCAGCGCAACAAAAAACATAAGAATAACCTATAATCATTCAGTGACATTTCAAATATCTGCCATCATCGACCAGTCTGCCTTTACACGTCGAAAAGACTTTCATACTTCGAATACCCGTTCTGCAAGTCTCATTCGATAGTCCACGTCCAGGAACTTCTCATCATCAGCATCAAAGAAGCCCGCTGAGATTTCTAACGCTATCAGCCAGTCACTCGATCAGCAGCGACAGTTATGGCTCAACTCTATCAGAACTGTTGTATTCAGCAAAGAAGATGAAGCGTCATGCGGTACAACGGAAGAGAAAATCCATCACAACCTCCTTGACTACTTCCGCCAATGGTTTGGTCACACCATGCAAACAATAAAGGTTCCAGACTACCAGCAGCTTATCGGCCTCGAGTTTCAAACCGGTAGATATTCACGCAAGGAGCAATCCCCAGGCGAACCATTCCCAAAATATGTCAATCAGCTTCAAGAGACTCTTGATGGTAACAGCCGTAGGAAGTCAATTTTCTTTTCCTTCGAGGGAGGTGGAGAACACAACGATGGGGGTGCATTTATGAATCATCTCAAGAGCCTGAAACACAAAAGTGGGCGCACGGATAAAGGGTTTATGATTCTGGGCGATAATCTAGAGCGTGAAGTTGTGTATCGCACATACATACCCGGTGGACAGAACTTTCCAGAATTGAGTGGACAATATAAACGCAGTGAGGTGGGTGGAAAGGTTATGGGTGGATAGAATTTTGATTCTGAGATTCCATATCACGCCGTCGTGTTGGAGAAGGTCGATGTAAATGGTGATGATGAGACAAATTTGTACGATTTAATGTTTATGAGGATGAATAGGGGTGGTGGCATGAAAGAGGTGGCGGAAATGTTGAAGTCAATGGAGCCACGGTAAAACTGGTAGCGTTCCATTGAATACGGGAAGTCATTGAATAATCTTGTACCGACCTGGAACAGCTAGGTAATCAATAATACAGCATGGATTTGTACTTACTTTGAGTAGCGTACTTTGTGAAGGGAAAGTTCGAGTCTTCTATCATTTGATGTTCTTTGGTCTTACAACAGAGCCAAGAAATGTAGCCTATCTAGCTCCTACTTCTTGCCTAATGATCTGAGCGAGCGGAGACTGACTTGATGTTTGAAACAATCTATGCGGCTTTGTGCTAGTGAAGAATATAGAATGTGTGACAATCATCTCAGGCAGTTGTTCCCATATTGATTACCGCCACCACAAGCAAGTAAACGAACAAACAGACCAAGTTTGTCAAATATGACCTTAACATGTGATTCCGCGAGGTCAAACGCGTTCACCTTCCGGCAATACATTATACCTACTCCTCTATCATAAACAAACAGTAATCTTCCCCTCTTATTCCCAAGAGACCAAGCTGTCTCAACATCGCACCGTAATCCATAGCATCGACCATGGCGCCCGAAGCTATTCCCCTTCGAACCCTCACTACCCTCCTTAACTACGAACGTCTAGTCAGTGATCCCCGCTACAAACAGACCAGTCTCCACAGCAGCACCATCTCAGACCAAACCATGCTTCCTCGTCTGAAAGGAAACGCACTTATCAGAAAGCGACCCGCAAGCATTCAAAAAAATCAACGTTCACACTTTCCACCACGATGCTTCTACTCCCGATTCTACTCAAGATCAAGCTCTAGAAACTTCCACCACTCAAGCGATAAGTACCATCCATCCTTCATGCGATATAGCAACCCGTTCACTTTCCCCCACTCAACTCGAAAACATCTTCTACGAATCTCGAAGCCATGACGCTTGTCACAAAGCTCTAATCCTCTTTAAAAAAAAATTCGCCTTCTGTTCCTCAGACCAACAACTATCCATCCAGATCAAAAACGAAGACGCAGTTCTCATTGACCCTTTCCCACTCTCCATCATAGAGTACAAATTGACCGGTCTCAAACTCATGAGTGTCCAATCTTTAAAGTTGGGGAATGGCGGCGCGACATATATTACGGGAGGAGAAAACGAGGGATTCCATTCTATCCTCGGGTTTCCTAAACCAGGAACGAGTGTAGGTCAGATAGTAAACTTGGATGACTTTTTCGTGGTAGATATGACGCGTATGCAATGGGGCAAGCGAGGAATATTCGACGAGCCTTATTTTCTCGGCAAGGGAAGAGATTGGCAGGATGCTATGGATACTATCTGTGATGATATGAAGGAATTGGGAATTGGAGCATCATGGATATTGGAGAATCAGCATACAGAATTGATGAGAAAGTGCCAAAAAGGGCATGGGATCACTGGAACGATCGAGAAAACGCAGGCTGGTGTGATTACTGTGGTGTGGGAGGAAAGTTGAGTGCATGCGCTGAGTGTAAGAAAGGGGACAAGAAAATTTGGTATTGTGGAGTTGAACATCAGAGGAAAGGGTGGAAGTTACATAAGTTTACTTGTGGGAAGAAGACGACTGCGAATTTGGGGAAGAAGTGAAGATACCAAATCCTCAAGGATATTATTCTTCTACTTTTACTTCCTGATTTGAGGTTTGATATCCCTGTCAGAATTTAGCTTCTCATGCACTTCCGCACAAGAAAAAAGCTAGTATTACAATGAAATTCACCTTACTCACAACTACTCACTCCAAATTCCAAACTCCCACCCAAGAATCCCCTACCCACTCCAAGATTTCCCCACCTATCCAGCGACACAAACTCCCGACCTCTACATCCCCTTCCCAAATCCTCGCTAAACCCCTAATAATGCCCCCAAAATCCATTTTGCATACCATACACAACTCTAACAACCACACAATCCCAAAATTCGCATAGCCTATTAAATCCATCAACCCATCAAACCCATCAAACCCATCAAACCCATCAAACTTCAAACTCCAAACCCTACAATCACAAACTATTCACCACCTCACCTAACCCACTAATCTCCACAACCGTCTACAATAAGAATCACTAAACTCCATCGAAAAAGCGACAAGTAGATTAAGGATCTTCTCTGCTTGAAATTCTAGAACGCAAAACCTAATGTATGTCGTGCGGAGATTCAAATTCCGGACTATCTATAAGTATGTAGGTATTGATGCATATAATACTGAAATCCACAACCCTTCCTCTAGCTCAGTGCTATACTATATCCACGAGACCGAAGCTGATTCCATGTATTTTTCTTTACACATGCTCGAGCGTCTACTATTATATGCTGAGAATCTATCTCGCGCATGGATAACTTGACACCTCATTACTATTGTCATTGAACTTAGGTCTGTATATTAATACGAGCCCAAATAGTGACAACTGAAGCAGCGGCTATCAGCGAAAACTGGCATCGCATCACATGAATAGCAAAAAGGGAAAGATAGCAATGCAAACTTCAAACATCGTAAGCTTCATTTGTATCATGAGTTAATCATGAAGGATATCTCTACATACTATATAGCTTTTTATCAGCCAGTCGTATATCTATAAACGCCTTTTGTTGAAAATGCAACCCTAACACGTTGAATGTGCTTTTACCGCCCTCATATTAACTAACTTGTTGAAACGCTAATCGACATACAAAACTAAAAAAAATGTGAGAATATATTCTTAAAAGAGACCATCAATTTCTCCAGTCTCAGTGTCGACATCGACATTGAGATAGCCTGGTGCGGTAGGAAGACCAGGAATGGTTTGAATATCTGCAGCAAGTGCATACCTAGAATCATATTAGAGAAAGCAATGAAAATATCATGCAAAAGAACTTACAGATAACCAGCTCCAGCAGCCAATCTCACGTCCCTAATTGGAACAGTGAATCCAGTTGGTGCACCCTTGAGATCTGGGTCATGCGACAAAGAGTATTGAGTCTTTGCAATACAAATTGGCAAGTTTCCGAAACCTTGTTTAGTGTATGTATCAACCTTCTTTTGAGCGATCTCACTGAACTCGACCTTGTCAGCTCCATACATCTCTTTACCGATGGCTTCAATGCGGGTCTGGACATCTCCGTCAAGGCTGTAAAGAAGCTTGAAGTTCTTCTCCTTTTCACTTGCAGCGATGACACCCTTGGCAAGGTCAACAGCTCCCTTACCACCTTCGGCCCAGTGATTGGCTGGGATAGCATCTTCAGCACCAGCAGCGATGGCCTCCTCGCGGATAACCTCGATCTCGGCGTCAGTGTCAGTTTCAAACTTGTTGATAGCGACAACAACTGGGACACCATAAGATCTGGCATTAGAGATGTGCTTCTTGAGGTTGACGCAACCTTTGCGAAGAATCTCAACATTCTCCTCTCTGTAGATTTGGTGGAGTGCGGCGCCTGGAGCGATTGGTGGGCCACCACCGTGAACCTTGAGTGCTCGAACAGTTGCAACAACAACGACAACATCTGGAATGAGTCCTGATGATCTACACTTGATGTTGAAGAAACGCTCTCCTCCCATGGTGAAATCGAAACCTGCTTCAGTAATAACAAAACCAGCCTTCTCGTTGTGATTCTCGTCAGGCTCAGTACCAGCGAGCTTAAGAGCAAGCTTATCCGCAAGAACTGAGCTAGCACCGATACTAATGTTTGCGAATGGTCCGGCATGGACGAAAACAGGTGTTCCTTCCAATGTTTGCATCAAGTTAGGCTTGATAGCATCCTTCATTAATGCTGTCAAAGCACCACCTGCACCAAGATCATCACAAGTGACAGGGTCACCATTTCTGGATGATCCAATGACCATGCGACCGAGTCTTTCTCTCATGTCGTTCAAGTCGTTACTGAGTGCAAGAATGGCCATACACTCACTAGCGACAGAGATGTCAAAACCAGTTTCTCTAGTTTGTCCCTTCTCGGTACCAGCAGTACCGACGGTGATACCTCTCAGATGACGATCATTGACATCAAGAACACGTCTCCAGGTGATTGTCGAAGGATCAATGTCTAATCTTGCAAAACGATGAATCTCGTCCTCGGTAAGCTCGTCGGGGTTGGTTTTAGTGATACCAAGCTTCTTAAGTCTGCGGAACATAATAGGCTGGAACTCACGCTTGCCCTTCTTTGCTGGAACGAGACGCTTGTAAAGCGGGCCATCCTTTTGGGTATTTTCGTGGAACATTCTGGTCTCAATAGCAGCAGCCAACAAGTTGTTTGCAGCTGTGATTGCGTGAATATCACCTGTCAAATGGAGGTTGAATTCATCCATAGGAATGACCTGACTGTATCCACCACCTGCAGCACCTCCCTTGATACCAAAGGTTGGTCCTTGACTTGGTTGCCGAACATTAGCGAAAGCTATGCGATCAAGATGACCGGCAATAGCTTGAGTGAGACCCATAGTAGTCGTAGATTTACCCTCGCCAAGAGGTGTTGGGGTAATACCAGTGACAACAACATAACGTCCGTTGCGGCGGTGTTCAAGACGTTTGAGTAGGCTCAAATCAACTTTACCTTTGTATGCTCCATAAGGTTCAAGTTCGTAACCAGCAATACCAATCTCTTGTGCTACACGTGTGATATGCTTTGGGTGTTGAGCTCTTGAGATAGCAATGTCCGATGGGACTGGGGTTTGGAGCTTCAATGGCAAAGGCTTGATAGCTCTGGCCTTTTGACGCTCGAAATAAGCTGTTGCGGATTCAACAACATTCTGCAATAGCATTGCGATAGTCATTGGTCCTACTCCACCAGGTACTGGTGTGATTTGAGATGCAACTTCGGAAGCCGATTCAAAATCGACATCACCAACAAGTCTCTGCCCAGATTTTTTGGTCTCGTCAGGAATAAAGTTGGTACCGACATCAATGACCACTGCACCTGGCTTCAACCACTCTCCTTTGACGAAGTTGGCCTTTCCGATGGCTGCAACAACAACATCGGCGTTCTTGATGAATTGCTCAAGATTTTGGGTTCTGGAATGGCATACTGTCACAGTAGCGTCGGCATTCTTAAGGAGGTAACTGGCAGGGCTTCCCACAATATCGCTCCGTCCAAGAACGACTGCATTCTTGCCCTTTAAGTCAACTCCACTCTCTTCGAGCAAGACCATAACACCTTTTGGTGTACATGGTGTGAAAAGAGGACGCCCGCCACGCTTCGCAAGCTCGCCAATATTCGATGCTCCAAAACCATCTACATCCTTCTCATCAGATACAGCGGAAGTTACGCTGTATTCGGACATGTGTTTTGGAACCGGTAATTGGACAAGAATACCATGAACGGATGGATCATTGTTCAATTGCTCGATTTTGTCGAGAACCTCGGCTTCAGTTGCGCTCTCGGGGAATGGGATAAGTTCGCACTCTATCGCTGCCTAATTACCCATGAATCAGTGTATGCTCGGAAATGATGAGAAATGGTAGCTAACCTCTTGTGCGGCCTTCAACTTCATACGAACATAGGTAGCTGTACCACCATTAGTGAGCCGTTTTTGACAGTTTCCAGTCACAAATACGTACTTGAATCAGAGCGATCACCCACTGTGAAAAATTACATTAGCATAACCTCCTTATCGAATATTTCTAGCAATGTCTTGCGGGCATTTACCTTGGATAATCTTCAATGAAGGCTTAAATCTTGGGTTTGTCTTTTGGGCATCGTCGATTTCAGCATGAATCTTCTCACGAATCTTCTTCGCAATGGCAGTGCCATCGATCTTGGTGGCTGTCATTGTCGCTGGCGTACTTGAGAATTGTCTGGTAGTACTGCTCTGCGGGGTGAAGGGGGATATGGATGAGACCCTTGTGGGGGAGGAAAAAGTTGAGCGGTATGGCTGACCCCGCAATTGGAGTACCTGTTGGGCAGCTTGGACAAATGAAGCTGAAGGGGTTAAAGAACTCAATAGTGCTCGGTGTTGTGTAGGAAGAGAAGCTCTCGATCTAAGAATTGACGAAGAATTGGTAAGAGTGAGGCAATTCAAAGAAGGTAACATGTACACATTGTGAGGATAAACGCGGGCGGCACCACATGCTACTTTGGCTCTTTTGCCGATCAACATTTCTGCACTGCACCGCAAACGAATGAGGTGATTTGATTTGATAGGCGAATGAGTGACAAGATAGAGAGATAGATAGACAGATACAGATATAGTAATAAAATCAAAATTATAACAATAATGAATGAATGATAATTGATGAGCCCGTTGAATGACTACAACAATTTTTTAGTATGTACTTTTAAGCTTTAAAGCTTGCAGTATGAACATATCGGTGAAAGATAAGATGATCAAAGCATTGAGTTAAAAAATGAATAATACACCAAAAAAGCAATCATTTAATCATTCAATCATTCATTCACGCAGATTTCTTCTTTCTTCATGAATTCCCTACCTAGTAGTCTTCTGAAAGGAAAGAATGAGTCAAGGAAATACTCACAGAATGGATAGAATGTCCGGCAATTACCTTATGAAATGTGAAAATCATCCCATTCAAGCTTTCCAGCCTTCTGTGCTCCTCTCTCTACCTATGACTGAAGCATCACTTTATTATTTCTCCCCTCTCTCCCTCCTTCACTCCCCTCAGTAATCAAGTTATTAATATTTTTATGTTGTGTCACAGCTGTGACTCTGTGAGTCTTTGCTACTATTTTTTAAGTGGATCCTCAAACTCGACCCATAGCCAAAGAAGATTTCCTCTCACCAGAGTCACCACACACACCACTTGGCCAAGTCCCGCATCTGTCCGCATCTTCTCTCGCTTATGATTGGTCTTTGATAGCACACATTTGAAGAGTCAAATCCCTAGAGGATATCGAACTTTTTGAGGGGCACAAAGATTATTTCGATCCAACCCTATCTAAATACCAACCGCCAACCTCCAACCTCCATCATATCGCGATTCCAGTACTATCAACACTGAATCGCAAATATGAGGCCCATTCTGTTGCAAGGACATGTCAGTATACATAATGCCCTGCTGGCTTAATATATGACCCCAATTTGCTAACAATCATGTAGGAGCGTGCTCTTACACAAATTAGGTATATAACATCCGTCGAAATAATAAAATACATGCGGTATTGACGAACGAATAGATATAACAGAGATGGCGACATCATCTTCTCAACCGCGAAAGATCAACACATTTGCGCATGGTATGCACACAATGGAGAGAGATTAGGCACCTACCACGGTCATCAGGGAGCTATATGGACAGTCGATGTGGACCCAACAACTACAATCATCGCAAGTGGTGCAGCCGACAACACAGTCAGGTTATGGGACGTCAAGACCGGAAAATGTTTGAAGACTTGGGATTTCAACACTGCTGTCAAGAGAGTCGAATTCAACGAGGACGCTACACAATTGTTGGCTGTTACCGAACAACGTATGGGATTCTTGGGAACGATCGTAGTATTGGACATCAACCTGGACGTAAACGCACCACAATCTGACGACCGAGCTTTGACCATTACTTGCGCGGAGAGCAAGGCTACTGTTGCAGGATGGAGTTATATGTCAAAATACATCATTGCGGGGCACGAAGATGGAAGTGTTTCTCAATATGATGCCAAGGTAAGGATCTAGACTGGTGTTGTATATTCTAGGTACTGACGGGCTTGCTAGACCGGAGAGTTACTCTTCAACACTCAAGTCCACGAACCAGATCTTCAAGTCACAGATCTTCAATGGTCGCCCGATAGAACCTACTTCATCACTGCCTCGAAGGATAAGTCTGCTAAGGTAAATTACATGCACGCTTTCAAGTTTTCAAAACACTAATTCGTACAGCTTGTCAACGCCCGAGATCTCGAAGTCATGAAGACCTACGTAACCGATACTCCTCTCAACAGCGCATCTATCACCCCCAAAAAGGATTTCGTCATTCTCGGTGGTGGACAAGCTGCTATGGATGTCACAACAACGTCCGCCCGCCAGGGTAAATTCGAAGCCAGATTCTACCACAAGATCTTCGAAGAGGAAATCGGTAGAGTCCGTGGACATTTCGGTCCTCTAAACACTGTTGCCGTGGATCCAAACGGAAAGGGATATGCAAGTGGTGGTGAGGATGGTTATGTCAGAGTGCACCAATTTGATAAGGGATATTTCGACTTCACATATGAGGTCGAGAGACAGGCTAGACAACAATAATTTAGTTTATTTGGCTTGTAGGAAAGGTGCATTTGCGGGCGTTTGTGGATCAAATCAAAAGGCTTGTAGAATCCGGAGGAAAGTAGAAAGGATGATTGATGAATCTCTTTCTATAAAGATTTAAATGAGGGAAGCAAGCTTTATTGCAAATAGTCTAGTCTTCACAAGCTGGTGAGATAGATATACTTCTAAAATGAGTATATCATGAAGAATTTAAGCATGACACCACTGTACTTTTCCAATACTTGGTTGGGCAAATGAAATATTCTAGAATAATGTTTCTTGAATGCATAGGATGGACATAAATATATGACTCTAAATTCGTAACAATGAAATGGAGAATCACGAATTCAATAATGAAATGCCACGAGAAAGATTTCAATACGAAGTAGGGATTCTGAGCCGCGCTCTCACCGCCTTCAAAAGCTTTAACTCAATTAGGCATAGCGCCGTGGTCGCAAGAGAATTCTCGTGGAGATAGTTTGGCAAAATCCAAAAATTTTGTTGGACAATCACACTGCATTCTAAAATACTAAAATCCTATCTGCAAAAACATTTATCTATCATATCCACGACACAACCTTTCTAAATAAAACAAGTCGTACGAACTCAAATACAATGGCTGAAATTACAGCACGCAAGCGCAAAGGTATGTATTATTCTATAATGCTTCAATTGATTATTCTGATTTTCAATCATAGCTTCTACTGCTCCTACAGTCCCTGCGGACGAGGTTGCAAAATTAAAGAAGGCGAAGAAGTCACCAAAATCTACTGAAGCCGTCAAGCCCAAAGAAGCCGCCAAACCCAAGGAAGCTGCCAAACCTAAGAAGGCCGCAAAGGTTGTTGAGAAGGTTGTAGAGAAAAAGGTTGTTGAAGAACTTGAAGAACCAGTCGAGGAATCCGAAGAAGAGGAAGAAGAGGATGACCAAACTGAAGCTCTCCTGAAGGGTTTTGAATCGGATAATGATGAGGAAGAGAACGCCAAAGAAGGTGGACTCGAACCCGGTCAAGAAGTTCCAAACGCCCTCGAAAAACTTAGCAAGAAGCAAAAGAAGGCTATCAAGAAGGCTGCTGAAGAAGCTGCCAACGATCTTCCAGGTGTTGTATATATTGGTCGCATTCCTCACGGTTTCTACGAGGCGGAAATGAGAGCTTACTTTTCTCAATTCGGAGATATTCTTAAGATTCGTCTGTCAAGAAATAGAAGAACTGGTGCAAGCAAGCATTATGCATGGATTCAATTCGCCAGTAGGGGTGTCGCAGAAATTGTAGCCAAGACGATGGATAACTATCTATTGTTCAATCACATCTTGAAGGTCAAATTAGTACCTGATGAGCAACTCCCTGAAGATTTGTTCAAGGGTGCCAACCGTCGTTTCAAGAAGGTTCCTTGGAACAAGATTGAGGGCCGCAGATTAGAGCAAGGTGCTGGAGAAGAGCAATGGGAGAAGAGAAGAGAAAAGGCTGAGAAGAAGCGCGAGATCGCCTCGGAGAAATTGAAGCAAATCGGTTACGAATTCGAGGCACCAAAGATAAAATCCGCAAAGGGTGTTTCCAAGAAGCCAGTCAAGGAGATTGAGAATGGCGAAGATGAAGTTGCCGGAGACGGAGATGTTGTCATGGCCATTGAAGCTGCCCCTGCAGTTGAGGAGCCAGTCAAGGCCAAGAAGGTCAAGAAGACCAAGGTCGTCGAGGAGACTCCTACTGCCACGATCACCACAGAGGAAACCACCATCACAACCGAAGCTGCTCCAGTCGAGAAGCCAAAGAAGGGAAAGAAGGCCGCAAAGGCAAAGGCTGTCGAAGCTCCCGTCGAGCCCGTAGCCGAAGTCGAAGCCGAAGCACCAGTTGGAAGAAAGACAAGATCTAAGAAGGCCGCCGTCAAGGTCGTCGAAACCCCTGCTGAAGTTGAGGTTGAAGCCGAGATCGAAACCCCAGCAAAGAAGGTCACCAAGGCTAAGAAAGCCAAGAAGTCCAAGGCTTAAGCTCAAGCTTTCGATTTCTGCGTTTCTCTCTTTTCTTGTAAATTGCTGCTTTGATGATATTCCCCGGTGTTATGGTCACATAAAAGAATCGTCGTTCGTATGTTTCAGAGGGAATGCTTTTAGACATGTCGCTTACTTGCTTGCTGTATTACTTTGATCTGGCTTGCTTGTATTGAGAAGAATATGGCTCGGATGCTCTGATACTTAGTAGGCTAGGCTTAATATAAATGAATAACATATGACATATATGTTATATGCGATGCACTTTTTGTGATTGATCGTAGGTATGTCTTGAGCATATTGGTATTGTGAGATACGACTGAGAAGTTGAATAGTGGTATGAAGTGTAGTGATGAATTTTATATGCGGGGCATTGAAACCTGGACCATGGAACAACAGTAAGAGAGCCAGATAACCAAAATCCAATCTAGAATATAGAGAATCATTTAGCAAAGCTCATCAATATCTATTAAACATGTTATACACTATATTCTATCTACCATATAAGACCCCATCCCATCTATCCTACCAATCGCATTTCGTCACTCCCCCTTCATTCAGAATCATTTTTTTCGACGCCTGGAAAAGACTAATAAGCATGACCGCGCCCCCAAACGCTACACACGCGCCCGCCATCCACGTTCTCCACGTTCTTGTCGTTAATTTTATATAGCATAACGGTGGTAATATATAAGCCAAGGCACACGCACTCGTTGCGCCGATTAATTCGAACACTGCGCCGAGGTCGCAGGTTACGAGACTGAGGATCATAGCGCTGACGACGAGGGCGGAGGTGAAGATGAGATGGAGATGCATGTTGAATGGTTCGCCGGGGAACCAGTAGTTGAACATGACTTCGCGACAGACGAAGGCTTCGAGGGGGAGAGTGGTGAGCATGTTGAGGCCAAAGCAGAGACGGGCGAGGTTGACGAGGGGGTTTGTGGCGGGGAAGTTGTTGAGGACGTTGCCGAGGGTTTTGGAACCGAAGGTTAGGAAGCCTGAGAGGGCCATTAGGAGACAGGCGACCATGGAGATGGAGGTGCTGTAGTGAGTTACGGTGGAGAATCGGTCGATGGTGGGGGTTTGGAGGGAGCCGTAGATTAGGAGGGAGTTGTGGTGGCAGACGAAGGCTGGGGTATGTTAGTTGAGTTGAATTGAATTCGAGAGGGGTGGAAATAAGGGGGTGGAGGCTAACCGAAGGATATTACGCCAATGGCTTGGAAGATGCCATCGTTTATGGTGAGGAGGGGTGTGGTGAATTCCCCTCTATCTTCTTGGGGTACCATAAATCCTTGTGTTACAACTGTGAATAGAATGATCATCATACTGATCAGTGCCAAAGTGCTTGCTTTCGCCAACTGTTGCGAATTAGCATGACTCCTGAATGTTGTCTAGAAAATGTACCTTAGCGATATCCCGATATAAACTCAAAGGATAACTTATTCCCAACACGAAAACTACAATAACAGCCCTCCTGTTCGCCAGTAGCCCCAGCACTGGCACATCTCTTAATCCTGGGAAAACCGCAGTCAAAACATGCGGTATCGAATCTCCCACGATGATACAAAATGCTATCATACCCCCAAACGCAAAAGCCCATTGCGCAACACTAATAGCAATCAATCCCGTCCTCCCAAAACAAAACTCCACTGTCCCCTGGAAACTATCTCGTCCACTCAGCTTCGAATTGATAACAATGAGTCTAATGGTCCAGTCTACCGTAATCGTAAGTGCAATCAGAAGAATAACTCCAGCCAAGAGTCCAGCTTGACGAAATGCGTAAGGTTGTCCGATGATACCGGCTCCGATTATACTATTCGCCATATTCATAAATGCATTCCGCAGATTCGACTTCGGTCGAGATCGTTCGCGTTCAGCCCATGTATGTACATCTTCGTCGTCGTCCCAAGGACTAGAGGCAACAGTTACGGAGGGTGCTTCGATGCCTGTTAGGAGGGGTGTAAAAGATTGAGTTCGAGATGAGGGATGTGCACGTATTTCATCATCATAGACAGGCGGCGCTCCATTACTCGCATTCAATTCGCCATTCGGCGACGGTGGTAAATCGAATCGTACACGATTGGGCGTTCGAGGTGTATGTGTTTCATTATGTCCTTGTTCGTGTGCCTGTCCAGAATGGACTATGATATCTTCATCTTCACTTCCTGCTTCTTCAGCGAGAAGTCCAACATCTTCTTCCGGATTGCGATTCGATGACTCTTCGTTTCTGCGATTGCTGTGCGATTTGGCTTTTGCCATTTTTGCTATCGTGGTAGCATGTTGTGAGTGAGATATTGGATTGGGAGGATTCAATGGTTTGGCCAGAATGCTTTCGTAGCTCAATGCGCCGGTAAATGCGGCCGCAATGCTGCATGCGGGCCTTAGCGTATTTCCAATAATAGCTTGACAGTGAACCCTTCTCATCCATAAACTCTACAACCCTAAATTAAAATCCTACAATTGTTCTTTGCTTATGGGTTGTGTGAAATTATACTCCTGAATATTCACACTCAATTTCGTAAATTATCGACTATCATGCGAAAAGTACTTTGGAGAGGAAATCACACTCTAAAATTTCGATCCTGTCGTTTGTGTCAGAGATGGTCTTCCGTGAGCTATATCTCTGGAATCCGCCAATACTCAGCAAGGCCACTAGAGAGAGTTTTTGCTAGAACTAACCAGCTAATATCTGCACTTAAATCTACGTTACTTGACTCGACTAGACATCATCAAGATGTATCTCGTTCGAAAGTCAAGCAAGCGGACACAAGAGATTTCAATTATTTGAGGTATGGAATAAAGCTCGTATTTCGTCAATTTTCTATCCTCATTTTTGCTATTTGAATGCAGTGTGTTCCTTGATGAGAGCTAGGCTTTTGATGAAGAATGCTACATTCAATGTTGCAAAGAGCTGTTTCTTTTCCCGAATATTTGGTTAAGAAGGTGCGGTCAAATGTGCTGGCTACGCTTTAGTTGAGCTATCCAGAAATAAGTTCACAGCCTTGCTTGATCTTGAAGTAATAGCTATGATGAAATGGACCTTAAGTTCGTCCTCATTATTGGTCGAGTCTAGAGATATCTTTCAAACTTACCAGATTTGCAAGTAGACTGTCCAATTTCGTGCACAAATAATCTACATTGAGACATTACCAAGTGGCACTTCATTGTAGATACACTTCTTTCATTAGCCTCTGAACGAGACTTCATTTTCCATAATTCATCTATTAGATTCACTTCAATATTGTCTCAAGAAAGGCAGGAAAAAATACATAATCAGAGGCTTGGCTATGATCAAATTACGTTGTTAAGCAAATGAATAACCTGTTCCTCATTCATAGAGCCTTACCATCCAGTGGCCATGCGATGTTTTGATGAAATCTCGCATGACTTTATTGAGAGGACGTAAGTATTCATTGACCCAAGTGTTCTTTGGATTCTCTTATAATATGAGAAGACAGGGACTGGAGTGATGAGTTCTCGAGGTAGTGCTTTGAGCAGAATTAGCTGGTCGGAACTCACCATGATTGCCAAAGTGCCTTTGATGGGCAAACATGTGGGAGATTCTCTCTTGGAGATTGGGTCTGACAGAGAGTCATTTTACTTCCAGATATGTTTGTCCATTTGAATACATCAAACCGAATATGTTCGCTACTCTTCTTAATTCCCCACAAAGACAGCTTAAAAAGAGCCTAAAAATTATTTGTGGAGCTCTTTTCCATTTAAGGTTAGTTTATGGGCTTTCCTTGGCACTAACACTAAGCACATTGGCACTTCATGAAACTTCATCTTGTTGTTGATCATAAACGCTGACAAGGAAGATCTAGACTCACTGGAAAGGCTATTTTCAACGCACCAAAAATTATTTATACAATCATAGATCGTATTAAAGCTCTTACCACTGGAGTCAAAGAAATGAATATTTCTACTATCCCCGCAATCAGTCTTACCGACACTGCCGAGGGTATCATCGAACTCATCGACTCACTGGGCCACAGTGATCTGCCCACTAGTCCGCCATCTGTATATATCGACCTAGAGGGAATCAACGTTGGTCGTAAAGGCTCAATTGCGATCCTCCAAGTCTATATCCTCCCGGTCAAAAAGACCTTTCTCGTGGATGTTCACAATCTCCGTGAACGAGCATTTTCCACTCCCAATTCATCTGGTCTTACCTTGAAAGCAATTTTGGAGTCTGAATTCATTCCAAAGGTCATATTCGACGTCAGAAATGACTCAGATGCTCTGTATAGCCACTTCGGCGTAAAACTACAAGGGGTCATCGATCTTCAACTCATGGAGCTTGCAACTCGATCTCACAGTCAGAAATTTCTCAGCGGGCTTGGAAGATGCATGGATCAAGATCTCGTACAGACTCCTGAAGAGCTCGAATTCCGAAGCGCCATAAAGAAGCGCGGAGTACAACTATTTGCGCCAGAAAAGGGGGGAAGATACGAGGTCTTCAATGACAGGCCGCTTGATCCAGCAATCGTGGATTATTGTGTTCAAGATGTCCAACTCATGCCACAGTTATGGAACATTTACAATGCAAAGCTTACTTTAATGGATAAGAGATGGACTACCAAAATTGAGCGTGAAACAAAGGCTAGGCTTCTGTTATCTCAGAGTCCAGACTTTAATGGGAAGGGACAGCATATGGCAAAAGCGCCACCCACGTGGTAGTATATTGTTGGTATTGTTGGTATCGTTGGTAAACAAAATTTTTGTATAGACATTAGATTCTAGCCCTTGGTTGGGAGGTGTGTGTCTGCAGTTAGATTGCTGTGGCCTGTTACTACTACTGTAATGATTCATCGCCACATTCGAGAATAATTTAAATAGAATATGCAATTTACCGCCAAGTGTCTTATCTTCTTGGTTCCTATAGAGACTTTGCGAGGTCATTTTTTTTAGGCCGAGGAATGAATTTCAATGATGTTGCCCTTCAACAATGGGGACGATGTTATGAAATAACAACGAATATTTGAAGCAATCGGGTCAATAGTACTAGCACAAGACTCATGGTTCTCCCATGCTCTTACTTTATCCCTTTGACATACAATCGAGCTTTGTGGGTACTTGCGAGTGCGATTCTTACAATTTCGTCTTATAAAGTGTAGTCCAAACGGTAATGGGTTCTCCCTAAACTGGAAGGGTTTCCCGATCAGTCGAACTTTCCGTTATCATATATGTACCTCCTCCTTTGTACTTTCCCAAATGCTAGGCACACGTTAAGTAGAATTAAGATCTAAATCTTTTCACATATTTCGTTTTGCAATAACAAAACAAAACACAATTCTGGATTACCATAAAATTTTGGTTTCATTGAATTAGTTATAATCCCATCTCGCCCCCGTGGCCTGGGTGAAGATGGGTTCCTCCACTTGTTGTACCAGTCGTCAACCTCCTTCTCCCGATGTAGTCTCACCTCGTCCTGTACGATCACCATCTCTTACTCCAGTTAACACTCTAAGGAAGTCTCCAAGAAAAACGTCCAATTCCAGGATTGGGGAGCTACAAACACAAGTCACTGCATGGAGCTCGGCTACAAAAATGAAAGATAAAACAGAAATCAAAGCCGTTTCCGAAGGAGAGTGTTTCCATGATAGTGATAAAGAAAACGAAATTGTGGTGGTCGGCGAAGCAGATAGTGCCGACGATAGCGTGAACGAAAGGCGACAGGGGGTCAAGCCAATGCTCAGTTCCAACACACTCAAATCCGTTAAAAGCCGTTTAATAAAGACGTTTTCCCGCGAACCTGGAATCGCAAAGGCCGATAAAAGAAAAAGTATAGGGACCAGTCAGGAAGAAGTCGAGCGAAGAAAGGAACTGAGAAGGATAAGGCAAAAGAGAATTGAAGAGGAATTAAGTTATGATGATGGATATGATGAGGATGCTCGGTCTACGAGTACAGTAGATTGTCCTGCTATGCGGACCGACAAGGCTCAGAAGAAGCGATCTGTTCTACCAGAGGACAGTGGCAACTTTCCAATTTTTCGGAAGTGAGTACATTCTTGAAGGTTGACAAAAAAGCACAATTTTAATTGGCTATTCTAGGCAGAGCTCTTCCTTTGGATCGGAGGCAGTTAGCAATGGCAGCAATATCTCCCTTTCTACAAGCAATAATGACAACACAAGTAGAATATCGCTATCAGCTACCAAGCTTGATGACACCAGTAAAGTATCCCTTCTAAAATCAGCAGATCGAGGAAAGTCTCGAACATATTTAGGTCCTGGTGACCCAAACTCTAATCTTCTCAAACCAGTCAATACTCCACCGCGCAGATACAGCTCCCCTGGCCCTTGTCCTACGCCCAGTGAAACCGACTTATTCCAGCCTGGAAAACACCACCTCAGGCAAACAGACAGTGAAGTTTCTGCAATACCTTCAGCATCTCTAGTAGAGGCTCAAAGCCTGCCAAGTTCTGCTACCCTTGATCCGAGCACGGCTTCGAGCTGGCGATTATCATATACTTCTCATCAAAGTAATCGTGGTGCGCATCTTCGAAGGTTAAGTCAACAATTTGAGGCTCCAATTCAATCAGCGACGGATGTTGCAAACGTAGGAACTCAAACACTTCCACGTTGGCTAAAAACTCATGGGCTCCGATCGTCTTCGCAGGCTATCACTACTTCGGAAGGTAGCACTTTACCAAAAGAGCCATCATTCATGCGTCCTCCACGTTCAGATACTGGATTTGGTGGGGTTGATGGAAGTGGAAGCTTTTCAAATATGCATTTGCAGGATATGGATATCTCTAAACGTCTTCTGCAGAGCTCTTGCTCGTCACCACAGCTAGCCAGCTGGGAGGAGCATCACCGTGAAGCTTCCGGAATTAGTACTGCGACACAAAGTCGTGCTAGATATATGCGAAACCCATCGGAAACAATATCAATACCTTCATGCCCATCAATTGCCTTGAGCGAGCTAGTCCCACCAAATTGGGGAAAATTACCAAATGATGGAACTTCCTCATTTTACCCTACCGTACCCAACAGCATCCAGCCTTCACCAGAATGTTCACGGTTTGAGCTATCTCCTTTCATGTCCACAAACAGAAGTATCCCTACAATGGTAGAGCCACAAGGTATGAGTTATTTTGGCATTGCAACGTATTGTTCACTAACATAATAGCAAGTAACTGATGGGATTATGACTCCTCTTCGCTCGCCACTAATGCCAGCAGCATTAGGGAGCGACACCCCTACCACAATCAATGTATCTTTAACGAGCCTTCAAGCCCCTCTAAGCAGATATTCCGCCAAACAAATTGATGAGAGCTCGCTTTTTGCTTCTGAAACCACCAGTTTTCGAGAACGAGAATTGGAATTAAGTCATATCCAAGCACGGTTTGCTTCGTCCGATTCGCATAGACCTCCAAGTACACCAATATCAAGCAAGTTCCGCGAAGAATTCGATATTTCGCTCACTCCTCAACCTAAATCTCCTTTTCAGAAGCTTGTCAGGGCTTGCTCGCTGAATAGAAGTCGTGATGTTGTGGAAGAGGATCCATTACTTGCTCCTCCACCGCATAGATCAGGATTTGGGTATCGATTTATCTCTACTCCCACATCACTAAGTAGAAGGAGTACTGCGCGTCATTCGACACCAACGAAGAAAACTACAGAAAGAAGAAGAACCCCAAATGTTGATGATTCGATCGATACTCCAGTAAAAGGTAAATTCTCTGCATTTCGCAGATTTAAGCGTCTGGCTAGTTTGGGTGGGTACGATGGTCCGGCAGATGATCATAGAGGCAGTAGATCCGAGTCTGGCACTGCACGAAGACCATCTGCGTTGGATGCTAGGCTAGGCTTGGGTGCCGAGATGACCGCAAAGGAGGCTCAACGGAAAATATCCATACCTCCTGGCATACCATCCATCACATTGCCCACTCCCGAGTCTCCAAGTATTAACACAGCTGACACTCATGAACCTGGTGTTTTGGCTCGCATGGCTACAACTATGCATGTCCCGACTCCGGAAATTCACTTACCTGGCCATCTTGGCCGCATGGCCACAACTATGCATATCCCAAATCCGGAACTTCATATGCCTGATACTCTTGCTCGTATTGGTACTGCTATGCATATTGACTTACCTACACCTCACTTTCCTGATGCCTCATCGATTCTTCATACCCCCCATATTGATATTCCAACCCCTCACCTTCCCAGCATTCCCCATATCAGTTTTGGTCATCAAGATTCAGATTCTCCCCCAAAAGAAAAGAAGGGCTTCAATGCAGCACCTGCAATCGCTCCAATTGCTGCACCGAAATCAAAAGTCCAAAGGCCTAGCAATGATCCTGGAGCACCACAGTGGAGAGGCCCACGAGCTAGAAATCGCTCCACGACTAGGGAGGATAGTAGGAGAAGAATGGACACTAGTCAGGATGATTCCGCAGCTGTTTGGATGAGAGCAGTGAAAGGTGCGGTATCAGATAGTTCGAAAGCACGCAAGGATAATCAAGACGGAGACGATATCTTTGGAGATTGGGAGGCACAACTAGCTGGAGTTGCATCTAAATCCAAATACGAAAGCCGAAAATTTGGCTCGAGAGGCAAACCAAAGATCCATCAAATTGAACAATTTCCAGAAACTTGGTGTAGATTTCCCAGCCACGAAAGGAATGCCAGGGGGCATGAAAGTGCGGGTGTAGAGTCAGCTGTTGAAGCAAAGGATTTTGCCATTTTGAGGCCGGGAAATGAGAGTTTGGGAAGATCGGAGCATTCTTATGGTACAAGAAGGAGAAGAAGACCAGGCATGTATGCTGAGAATAGTAGTGATCCCAGTAATTTTCAAGGATTATCTGATGAGGAGCTGGATGCAATTGAAGCTGCAGAGCCGTTCTACAAACGGTGGAGTCATAAAATTAAAATTGCCTGGATGGACTATAGAATTGAGGATGCACAAAAGAAACACGCATTTCATTCGGGGAGCTTGGGAAGGAGAGGTTCAATGACTATGGATGGAAAAGTACCATTTCCCGAACTTGAATTGTTACCAATGAGGGCACCCCTTCCGCCAAGTGAGGTGGTAGATGACGAAGCGGATGATATTGAGGCGGAAAGAAAAAGAGTGGAAGCGATCCAAAAAGCTAAAATTAAGCCGCATTATGAGGCGGCAGATTTGACTCAGAGCAAGGGAGGTGTAAGTGATCTGTTGGATATTTTTAGTTCAGGACCTGAGGAGCCAGCTGAACCAAAGATGCCTGTTAAAAAGAAAGGTCCGAAAGCAAAGAAAGTTAGAGACCCTTATGCATTGGATGAAGATGATGACTTAGGTGGTGGTGGCGGTGGGGATAAGGGCGATGAGGACGAAATACCCAAGAAAAAAGGAAAGAAGGTCAGGGATCCCTATGCAATTGATGAAGATGATGATGAGGATCTGCCATCCGCTCCAAAAAAGAAGGAAAAGGCGAAGAACCCATACGCAATTGATAATGATGAAAATGAGGAGATGCCGCCTATTCCGAAGAAAAAGGGCAAGGCGAAAGACCCATATGCTATCGATGACGATAAGGACGGCTCATCAGACTTTGGTTATGGAGACGAATTGGGCAAAATTGATCAAATCGTGATGAAAGAGGTGCTAAGTGATGATGACACGATTGACCATACACGATTTGAAGACTCGGTCATTAGTTTTCGTGATCCTGAATTCTATCAGGATTGTTTGGTGATGCCCAAAGAACCAAGTCCTGTGCATGTTAAAGAATGTTCTGTACTATCTAGTCATGGAATCATTGAAGAGGAAATCGAGAACCCATCCAAGAACGGCGTGGGCATTGAAGTACAAGTTAAAGAGATTGGCGAGGGGGTTGTCAAGCAGATTGAGAAGTTCAAAACTTGGAATGGCAAAGATTGGGAGAAGGAAATGGGAGGATTCTTGAAAAGAAGAGACACTAGTGTAGGAAGAGATAGCATGAGAAGCGCGAGATCAGCATGGAGTATGGGGAGTCAGGGATCGAGAAATACAGTGAGGAGTGTTGGAGTAGAAGTCAAGAGACTAGAGGATTTAGAGAGGGAAAGAAAAGCTTTGAGAAAGGATGGTGGTCACTTGACAGGAGGTGTGCCGAGGAGGGTCAGAGGAAATAGAGGGTGGGACAATGAGAGAGGACACGAAAGGAGCGCTAGCTTAGGAGGAAGAGTTGTGGGATTCGAGGGACTAAGTGGCTCGAGTGAAACCAGGGGAAGGAGGTTAACGTTTGGAAGTGGAAGGTAGATGGTTGGCTGATACAAAGGGTTAGGTATAGCGCCTTCAAAAGGATTCTAAGCTAGCTAGATCTTTAGTTGGGGAGAAAGCTTTAGCTCTTTTGTTCTCGGAAATCGGGACCGATAATCATTTTCGAAGTGGTCCAGGCCAGGTGCAACGTTTCGTCGGGCGTGGGTGGATATTAACTTGATGCTTTACTGATTGTTAAGGCATTACTTATAAGGCTGAATCCATGTATTAGAGATATTGAGTCTTGAGGACTTAACGATTATTAGGTTTTAAGTGGTATAGCTACCTAGGTTTTAGGCGGAGATCGAGAAGGTCTGGAGGATTTTGGTTGGTATTGTTTTGTTATGCAAGTTATACTTAAGTAGTTGTATAATTCATAGAGGCCACATAGATAGATAAATGATATCTTGTTATAATATATTAAGTTGACGTTGAGTGAGTGTATTCGTGATGATCGTATGACAGATGACGGCTCAAGGGCTATGCTGTAATCGATTGACTATTGGTTGTTGTGGGTGGGGATTAGTCATAGACTGCTGTTGATTGAACGGACTGACATGTCATGAGACCTGTAACATGTACTGATGTTGAAATGCCTAAATGGGGTTTCATGCTTTCACATAAAAATTAGCAGAATTTTCTCCGCCAATCAATGGACGGTTATCAGGAGTTTGATTCGTCAACCATCTGCAGTTACTACTATCAGCCTGGGGCGAATATCTCACCCATGTACAACAAGGGCCCCCCACATTTACGGTGTTGGCCATCGTGTTGGAACTTCAACCATACTGTATCTTCGTCACAACTTCCTGCGGCAAACAAGTTCAAGTCTCTATACGCGAAATTCTGCGTCATGTCTCAGTCTCTTTATTCGTCGCTTTCGCTGGAGTCTAACACAATTAGATTGCTTCGCATATTACCGAATGAGAACGGGGAGGCCGGTATCAACTGTACGCTCTTTGTGTACCCACTGCATGATTCGGGAAGAGGTACTCATCGATATGAAGCTTTATCTTATGTATGGGGAGATACAGATAACGCTCGCTCCATTTGCGTAAATAGGCATCGTTTGACTGTCAGGGCAAACCTTCATATCGCCCTCTCGCGCCTTCGAGATCCTATTTTAGACCGCATTATATGGATAGATGCTATTTGTATCAATCAAGAGGACTTAAATGAGTAAGGCCATCGGGTTCAGCTCATGGCGAAGATATACAGCAAAGAAAGTCAAGTGGTAATTTGGCTGGGAGAGGCGGCAGACAATAGTGATCGAGCTCTTGAAGGAATAGTTATTGCCGCAAGCCAATCTGAAATCTCTTCAAATGGAATAACGCGGATGGCAGTTATTGCACTAGTTCAACGTCCCTGGTTTCGGCGCATTTGGGTAAGGGAATATCGCTTGATAGTATTTTAACTGTTACTAAAAGCTGGTATAGGTGATACAAGAAGTTGCCGCAGCTCGACACATACTAATCATGTGTGGTCTTGTTGAGATCGGTGGGTACGCGTTCTGTTCAGGGTTAAATTTATGGAAAGACTCTCTCGAAGCTTATCCAAAATTGCAAAGATTGATTCGTTCGGTGATTTACCTCATGAAGGAAGTAAACTTTCGGCCCAAATATGCAAAAAGTAGCTCGGACAATTTCTCCCTTGATATTCGCCCTTTAAGCGAGCTGATAGAAACATATTATACCCGGGAATCGACCGATGTCCTTGATAAAGTGTATGCTTTACTCGCCATGTGCTCCGATAATCCTACCTCAGCAGGCTTACTCCCCGACTATACCATTCTATGGGAACAACTCTTTCAGCAGCTTGTCCAGTTAATTCTTTGTAAAGAGATAGAAGTGATAATCCCGCAAGACAGAAAGAAAGCAATATTCAAAAGCAAAGGTTGTGTTCTTGGCTTGGTGAGTTCAGTGTACGTTGATGCTGCTTGGAATGACACGCAAAAGGTGAACATCGTTTTCACAGATGCTTTTGAGTATTTGGAAAGCGAAATGAGAATGCAGACTACTTGGAATATCCCAATGATGGAAAAAAACATACAGCGAGGTGACATCTTCTGTATTTTACAAGGGGTTTCAAAGCCAACGATTATCAGGCCTTGTGATGATTATTTCTCTGTCATTATGATTGCAGCAACTTCTATGGATTTCACATTAGAATTGAAATCAGAGTGGTACAAAATTTTGCGTTCAATAACAACTTTCCCACGGGACTTACTACTTGCATGGAACTTGGGGGGGGTCTCGGAAGAAGTTGGTTAGTCTGGAATCTGAGGACTTGAGAGTGCCTATCAGTCCAAACTCAATGCTCGAGGAAGATTCAGAGACGGATGGGACTCAAGAGGCGAAGAAAGATATAGAATCAAGCGAAGAGACACGTAACAGTTTTGAGGTGAAGATTCACGTAAAGGCGAAGGGCTGTTCAGAATCTGGACAGAATTCAGAGGCGAAGGAGAATTCCGATATTGATGAGCATTCGACAGCAGAAGAGTATTCGACAGCAGAAGAGTATTCGACAGCAGAAGAGTATTCGACAGCAGAAGAGTATTCGACAGCAGAAGAGTATTCGACAGCAGAAGAGTATTCGACAGCAGAAGAGTATTCGACAGCAGAAGAGTATTGGAAAGCAAAGGAGTGTTCATATATGAGTGAGAATTCAGAAGCAGGAGAATATCTAAACCTGGATGGGTATTCAGAGACTGGGTCGAGAATATGGGATAACGCAATTAGATTGCATGACGTAGCTCTGATATTGAAAGACTTGAGACTGTATGATGATGCAGAAGTGTTATTTCTGCGACTGATAAAGACAAGAAAACAACTACAAGGAGTCGAACACCCACAAACACTACTCAGTATAGCTGATCTGCAGTTATATTATCGAGAGCGAGGACTCTTGAGGGAGACAGAAGAGTTAGAAGCAATGAAGCATCTCCTTGAGACAGGAGAAAGCGCCGCTCAAGTTTCAGAAGAAGAGGTGGTCGAAATTGCGTCATCATCATCTTGCAAAGCAATGATACTCTTACTCGAGCGGAGAAATGGGCATATTCCGATCACAGAAGAGGTAGTCAAGACAGCAGCAGCTAATTACGAATGCGGAACTGATATAATGAAGCTATTGCTCAGAGAAAGAGAGGATCTTTCAATTGCAGAAAAAGTTGTTCGAATTGTAGCAGGAAATAGGAAGGGATATGAAATGATGAAACTTCTATTTGATAAAATAGGGGACTTTTTGATTACAGAAGATGTTGTTCGAATCGCGGCAGAAAATAAAAACGAAGGATATGAGATAATGAAACTTCTATTTGATAAAAAGAAAGACCTTTTGATTACAGAAGAGACAGTTGGAATCGCAGCAGGAAATTTGAAATATGGAAAATTTCTATTGAAACTGCTCTTTCAGTAAAGAGGAGATCTGATTCCGATTACAAAAGAGATAATTAAAGAAGCAGTAGGGGATGAGAAATGTGGATTCCCTATAATGGAACTACTATTTGAAGAAAGAGGGGATCAGATTTTAATCACAGAGGAAATAGTCAAGAAAGTAGTAGAAAACAAGGGTTGCAGTCCATCTCTAATGCAACTGCTATTTAAAAAAAGGGGGGATCAGATCCCAATCACAGAAGAGACGATGAAAGAAATAGTAGGGAGTATAGATGATGGATTTTCCGTATTGGAATTACTATTCCAAAAAAAGGGGGATCAGATCTTAATCACCCAAGAGATAGTCGAAGTAGCGGCGGGTCGCTTGGTGCAGGGATATGAGACAATGAAGTTTCTCCTGGAAAGAAGAGGGGATCAGATTCTGATCACTGAAAAAATTCTAAAAATCGCAGCAGGGAATTTTTGCAGTGGGCTGAAAATAATACAACTTCTCTTTAAAAAAAGAGGAGATCAATTTCTGATTACAAAAGATATAATTAAAGAAGCAGCAGGGAATAGCTCGCAAGGACCTGAAGTAATGAAGTTTCTTTTAGAAATGAGAGGAGATCAAATTTTGATCACAGAAGAAATATTGAAAATCGCAGCACAGAATAGATGGACAGGATCTGATGTTATACAACTTCTCTTTGAAGAAAGAGAAGATCAAATTCTGATTACAGAAGATATAGTTAAAGAAGCGGCAGGGAATAGGCGGAGAGGATATGATATCCTACAACTTCTCTTGGAAAAAAGAGGGGACCAAATTCCGATCACAGAAGAAGTATTAAGAGTTGCAGCAGGAAATGATGGAACTGGATTTGATATAATACAACTTCTCTTTGAAAAAAGAGAAGATCAAATTCTGATTACAGAAGATATAGTTAAAAAAGCAGCAGGGAATAGCTACAAAGGAGATTGTATAATAAAGCTATTCTTTGAAAAAAAAGGAAATCGAATTCCAGTTACAGAAGAAATATTAAAAATCGCAACAAGGAATGAGGGATACGAGGCACGAGATATGATGTCAAGTTTCTTTGAAAGGCTGGGGGAGCAATTTCCAATCACAGAGGAGACTTTGAAAGAAATATTAGAACTGGCAGCGACGAAGTGGAAGCCATCTTTGGTAAAGCGCCTTTCCACATGGAAACTGAAAGGCCATGGGTAACTAGGGGCGTTCAAGTTGGATTTCTTTTTAAATAGGCTCTATATACACGTCTTTGGGTTGTGAATCGGACGGGTCAGAAGATTTAAATGCCATGGAAATATGCAACTCATCCCACCTGTTGAACCCGTTCATTCCATCTCGCTTTCTGGTGTCTTCTTTTCTTTCTCCTATTCCCCTGAAAACTGATTAGGATAGGGAGTTGATTTAGTTGCATTAATCAGCCATTCTTTAGCTTCATTTCCCCTCCTCCTCACTCCCCTCCCTCCAGTCTACTACGACTCTTCTACATGAACAAACGGAATGAATCATATCATTGAAATAGCCCATTAGATACTAATCTATATAGCTCACACCTTGATTCACATCTTCCGAAAGCCCAAGTTTATCATTCACCCATTTTACTATTTAGATCACAATGTGATGCAATGGATAGATTCTTTCCCTTCTCTAACTGGCTCGGAGAATAACAGCAAGAACATTCATAGAAAAGCTAGGAAAAATAAATGATTTTCAAGTGTGCAGAAAAACAACAAAGAAAATCAAAGGTAAGAACCATAAACGGACAGTAGATAATATATGAGCCGACTGAGAGAGATAAGAAATCCTATGCATACGACCTAGATACTTCCAGTCGTTGTATACCTCACCTCACCTTTCTTCACAAAATGAAGTACGCACAATCCATTCATCAATCCACCACGGAAACATGACTTTCACCCCCCAAGTACTCTACTCCTTTCCCCTCTCAATGCCCGCCCCACTCGTCCCCCTCCCCCCTACTCCTCTCCCCTCCCCCCCACTTAGAACTCTCCTTCATATTCTCCATTTTCCTTTCACCTTCAACAAAAAACGGGCTTGTGGTTTAGTGGTATAATGTTCCCTTAGCATGGGAGAGGTCCGGCGTTCGATTCGCCGCTAGTCCAGTTCACTTCTACATCTTGTCATCTCGCGTCGTCAAAAAATTTACAGTTGATGAACTGTCTTTTTTAGCAAATTTTCTAAGCGAGATTTTTTTTTTTTGCATTTTTCATGTTTTATGTGGGGGACTCCACTATCTCAGAGATTCACAGGGATCAGTGTGCCATGGAAATTTGGACGAATAGATAGGAAGGTTTATTTTAGCCGTCGAATTTTATTTCTATTTTAATCTGTGTGGTCGAAGTGCTGCTCGAAGTGGTGAGGAATTAAGGTTGTTTTGGCGAAGTGCATGATCACTCGGTTGAATTTTCGCCTAGAGTAGCTCGAGTAGTTAAGGCGGCTTTCATTCAGGGGCGTTAGTCTTCATTTCATCTCGATGGCTGGTTCTAATTCTAGATCCATTTGAGAAAATTCAGATTACAAGTAATTTCATGCATCGGTAGGAGGTAATGAGAGTGGAAATTCAAATTTATATTGTCATCGTCTTTCGATGTTTAAATGATCAGAGGACATAACGCCGAATTTCATGGAACTGGCCTGTTTAACGCTTTTATTCTACCCCAAAACTATTTACAATTTACACATAAAAGCGTGAGTTAATTTGATCCATTCAAAACCTCCCCATCAATACCACCTGCAACTCCCTTATCCTGTATTTCCATCTTCTCCTTTGCAGCCTCACCCCCTACTAGTGTGTATTTCGCAGGTACGATATTTTTGAGAGGTGGTAACAGACTCCTTGAGGTTTGACGGGCTTGTTGTGCCATTAATGCATCGATGACTGTGAGAGCTGCCATTGCCTCTACAATAGGTACTGCACGAGGAACAACGCATGGATCATGACGACCCTTGGCTTCGAGAATACCGGAACCACTGCCGTCATAAGTGGCAGTTTGTTGGGCTTGACCAATGGTGGCTGCTGGTTTGAAAGCTACACGGAAATATATGGGTGCACCATTTGTGATACCTCCTTGAATACCAGCAGAATTGTTGGTCTTAGTTGTTAACTTAGGACGAGGAATTCCATTCTTTGATGCACCAGTCTCGAGAGGTGGTACTTCAGTAGCAAGAATAAATGGATCATTGTGTTTGGAACCTGGGACTTCACAGCCACCGAATCCGGATCCGATTTCGAAACCTTTCGAGGCTGGGATACTGAGCATAGCATGGGCGAGCATTGCTTCCATTTTATCGAAACAAGGTTCACCAAGGCCAGAAGGAACATTACGGATTACGCAAGTAACAGTTCCTCCAATGCTATCTTGTTTATCTCTGTATTCTGCGATAATTTCGGCCATTTTCTCGGATGCTTTGGCGTCAGGGCAGCGGACTGGGACGAATTCGTCAACACGTTCACGTGTTACGTCTTGTATCAATGAAAGGAAAGCGGGGTTTGTGGAGGGACTTGGGTGTTCGACGGTTGGAGGGAACATGTGGGTACTGCCGACGGAAGAGACGAATGCGACAATTTCAATTCCGTGTGCGAGCCTTAGATATTTCTCAGCAATTGCACTTGCTGCAACTCTACCAATTGTTTCTCTTGCGCTACTTCTTCCACCACCACTGCTAGCCTTGACACCGTACTTCTCGAGGTATGTCCAATCCGCATGAGAAGGGCGAGGGTAAAGGTCCATTGTTTTGTTTCCATAATCGTGTGGTCGTTGATCTTGATTACGAACAATCATTCCAATCGGTGTGCCAAGGGTAATTCCAAATTCTGTTCCAGATTGGATCTCGACTTTATCTTTTTCATCGCGGGGAGTGGTAAGGGCGGATTGACCTGGACGACGACGAGTCATTTGGGGTTGGATATCTGCTTCTGTGAGCTCCATTCCTGGTGGAACTCCATCGACTATACATCCTACAGAGCGACAATGCGACTCTCCGTAACTATGAGAAGGAAGAGAAGTTAGCACTTTTATGCTGAATGCGTGATGGAGGGGTAACTTGGTGTGGAAATGAGTCTGGTGATGGTGTCAATTGAATTGAATGATTTGTACATACGTAGTAACTTTGAAATATTGACCAAATGTAGACATTTTGAAAAGAAGTATGAGGAATATGGAATAAAGTAGAAAAGGGTATCAACAAGAGTCTATATTATATGTAAATAAAAATCAAAAAATGAATTGATGTGATGACTCTTTTGACTCTTTCTTGACTTTTTCCGAGCCCGGACCCGATTCGTCGGGATGATGTGGGATGATGTGAGATGGGAAAAGAAATACCCTGGTCATCGAGAGTCTGGTGGAGGTAATGTGGTAATGTCCCGAAGAATACCCTTGTCAATTTACTAGGAAATCTGGAAATGTCAATTTATCTGAACCATCTCCGAACTTTGTATGAAGAAGTCAACAAATTCAACGTCCGGAGAGTATATTGGGTGCTTGGATGCTTGGGGATTTCCAAATGTACCAAAAATCAATAATCCCTTCGAGAGGATTAATGCGCCAATTCATCTTACGTGGCAGAAGCACGATAAGCAAAGAGTTCTTTGTTCGAAGAAATGTTTCCACTCATAGTAGTGTATCAATAGGAAGATTCGTCCAAGAAGCTACCAATCCAATCAACAAATCCCAAATATATATATCACGAACAAACGATCCATTCATTAACTTATCCATCGAACATTATCTCCTACAAAAGACCCCCGCAGATTCTACCGTCTTATTTCTCTATACCAATGAACGCAGTATTGTTATTGGACGAAACCAAAACCCTTGGAATGAAGTGAATCTTGGTCTACTCGCACAATCCCCAATTGGAGATGTAGCATTGGTTCGACGACGTTCGGGTGGAGGAACAGTCTTTCACGATCTTGGAAATGTCAATTACTGCGTCATATGTCCTACGTCGCATTTCGATCGCGATAAACATGCCGAGATGGTAGTGAGAGCTTTACATAAACTTGGTGTTGATCGGGCTATGGTTAATGCTCGACATGATATAGTATTGAAGCCAACAAACGTGGGTGCAAGCGGGTTCAAAGTATTCAAGGTATCAGGTTCGGCCTATAAGTTAACAAGGGAAAGATCTCTTCACCACGGTACTTGTTTACTAAACTCTCCAAATATTGCAAACATTGGCAAATTCTTGAGATCCCCTGCAATGAGATTCATCACTGCTCGTGGTGTGGAAAGTGTCAGTTCTTCAGTTGCAAATGTCAAGGTCCGAAATAAGGCATTCGAACAAGCGGTAGTAGAGGAGTTTAGTGCGATGTATGGTCCTCAAGAACCAATACTCTTACGGGAGGATGTCAAAGAAGTTCCCGAGATATCTAAAGGTTTGGAAGAGCTTACTGTGCGTGATTAGACCCTTTCATCTTTCCTCCTTTGAAGAACCTTAAGCTGACAGTTTGGAGAACAGTCTTTAGATTGGATATTCTCACAAACTCCCCAATTTTTGTTTTCAGCAGATGCATCAATAAAAAATAAAAGCACGCAGCTTCCGCTTCCCAAAGACTTGCCACCAGATGTGAGTGTAGAACGGAAAATTGAAACATGATCAACATTACTGATGCAGAGATACAGTTCAAGGCCAACTTCACGGCACGAAACGGGGCTATTATTGAGGCTGATGTAGAATATAAAGAAAATGGCGAAACGGTCCAAATTGGAAAGGACCTAGTGAACAAGAAGATACATGAAATCGAATGGAATATGTTCCCTAGTAGTTTTGCTGAGGAACCTTTGAAATGGTTCAGCAGATTATTTTCCCACAAATTTGTGGATTGGAGAAAGGAACGGAGAAGGGACGCTTGAACTTTCACAGTAGAAAGCTTAATGCGCCTCGAGATTCGAACGTTAGTGTCGTCGCACAAAACGTTAGACTACGGTTCCACGAACAAACGTTTCTTTTGCATGTTCAATATACCAAATAGATACCCAATGACAAGTGTCCCTTTTCATCATAGCCGCATTGACACTTTGTCGATACTTTGAAACAACAAATGTTCACCAATTGAGGTTTATCAAAGCGGGAGATCTGCAACCTGATTGTTTCGCGTAATTTCACCCACGTTTCTTAAATCAAGATAACCCCATAATACTTGCAAGGCATACCGAAAGGAGTGGCGTTACAAATCTCGCAAGCATAACGTTAGAGAAATTGGTATAGTATGGAAGCCTGCAAGAAGGTCTGAAAAGTCGGCGAGTTCGATAGTCTAGCCATTTTTGGTCTGATTTCAAAAATAGAAAAATCGTCAGCGAGACAGGATGATTATTGCATTCTCAAGCATGATCTGTTCCAATATATGGGCTCGAGAGCTTTCAAATGATCACAGCCACCTAATTATCCATCTGTTCTCGAGTTCAAGTCAATGGTCCATGGTTTCTTGTCATCCGAAACATGGATTGGCTTCATGTATGTGGGATAATGAATTTGATTTAGTGTGCGAAGTACCGAGTGTCCCGAGTGTCCATATAAGTATTGAAAGTCGCTCACGAGCATTATCTCTTACCTATCACTCATAATATCTTCTTTCACTCCTTCTATACATTTGAATTTCCCGGCAGGTCCGTTTAATATTATATTCTTTTTATCTAGACCGGTTCTATCTTTTTCATAACAATTATGCAATATTCAACAGTTTTTGTCTCTTTCCTCTTCTCCACTGCTGTGGCAGCTCAGGGTTATAATGGAACCCTTACTGAGACACAGACATGCAAGGAAATGTTGAAGTTGAACGCCTTGGTTCAGTTGGCCAGCAACCAAACCAAGGTCGATGCTATCACCGGAAGTAAGTTGTAATCCGTCATTCTCTGGATTTCACCAACCTTCTCAGCTCTCTATAAATCATCCCTAAGATAGTGAAACTAATATATACCAGATAACGCAACAAGAGCTGCTTCTCTCCAAGCTCAAGCTTCCGCCGCTTCTGTGAAACTTACTGAGCTTCAAAGCAATACAACCCTCATGGCTGACTGCGCCGTCATTGATTCAGCAATTATGACCAATTCATCATGCACCCAACAATTTCTCCTCCAAAAATTCGTTGACTTCGCTGCCAACGAAACACTGGTTACCGCCACCGTCAACAATGACATGACCAAAGTAGCAGAAATCGAACTCAAAGCCTCGGACGCCGCTGAAAAACTTCAAACATTACAATCAAATGCTACATTACAAGCAGCTTGTCCTGCAGTCTTCATGGCGGATGAATGTAAAATGGTGGTTGCCCTTCAGAAAATCGCGGATTTAGCCATGGATGATTCGAAATTGAGTAAGATTGCAAAGGGCAATTCGACAAAGGAGGCAAATATTAAGGCCGCGGCTAGTGTGGCTAGTATGCAGGTTATGATGTTGGAGGCCAATGCTACTTTGATGGCGGAGTGTCAGAGTATGGGTATTGAGGTTTCAAATGGTGAGTTCTTTTTTGTTTTGTTTGGGTTCTGGAGAAAGCGAGAGAGAAAGACGACATGAATGAAGACTAATTTTTGGGATTCAATAGCTGCGACGGAAAAATCAACTTCGTCCACTACCGCTAAGTCGACCGCCAGTATTAATCATATAAGTCTTACTGCCCTCTTTATGAGTGTTTTGGCTATGGGCATGGCTACGTTGTAGATTTTCTTAAATGGAATACGGGGATTGGGGGTTGAGATAGGATAGGGATGATGATTTAGATGAGGGTGGGGGTTTTAGAGTATATATATTAGAAATGGAATGGGATTGGGAATGAATAGAATATAATTTACATTCGTTTACGTATCGTAGAATTTGATGGGTAGATGTGATTTTGTGGTTTTGATGGTGTTTAGTGAGGTATGTTAGATAGGAGTGTTTGGCTAGGTTTTTTCTTGATTCGGTTATTGCTTGTTGAGCTTGTTGGACTTGTGGATTGTAGCTTTTCATTTTACTTCGATTTTTAACAAAACCCTTTATCAAATGTGTTGTACATTCTATCCTAAATGCCATATAATCTCTACTATACAGGTACTTCTAGTAATCCCCCAAGAGCTTCTCAATAAACGAAACATATCAGTGCGGTCAGGCGAGCCCAACTGATTCCATCAATCAACATCAATACTGATATATGAGACGCGAATCTTCTTCATGTGATCGATTGATGACATTTTTCTGTGGATTGTTGTTAGCGAATGAATGTGATTATTTATTTATTGGGGGATCTTACTTTTTTATTTATTTATAATAATGACGACAATATTATTAATAACACATCTTTGGAATGGAGTAGGCTGATAGACTGGAGCGAGAGAACAAGAGATGGAAACACTTGATGCGTTACAACGTTGAGTCCAGAAAGAAAATTAAAGAGTTCTTTTTCAAGCTTTTTCAATTCGCCATTGTTCTCGTTAATGTAGTACGCTTCGTGATGGAGCAGTAATCTCTTGCATCAGTATCCATTACCTGCGACTAGGCTTGGGCGATTTCTTGATTATGAGTAGGTTTACAAAGTTAGTGGCGCTCTTCCAAAGTACAAGGTCCCGTGTCTCCCGATACAGTAAAATAAGGGCGTTAATTGCAACTCATGCGGCATTCCCTCGATAGTTCAGCAAATATTCCCACAACGCCTCAAGTGAATCCCAAAGCAAACAAACGTAAACGCCGCATTGTACAAGTACAGTACCAACCAACGTATAATCCGTGAACATAATTTTCAAATGTACATAACCGATTGATCCATAGAAATTTGCCTAAGAGTCAGTGAAAGTCTTCCAAACGACTTCCGTAGATTAGTGGGCCTCATGAAACCTTGGCCTGGGATAATTCCAGGTCCTCCATCCAACTCGCTCCAAAGCACATCTTTTTGTCTCGCGGATAGCAATCCAGTTCCGCTCACTCCAAGGACCAGATTGAGACCGAGATTTTGCTCGATACCCTCTATTATATGTGCCATGATATCGCAGAAGACCATTCCCTGTATGCATGGCTCTGACACAGACAAGCCGCCGAAAGCGAGGCCAGGGAGTTGTACAACAGGATTTGTGGCACTCTGATCAATGCGGATAGCCATGAGTTCAACGCTCAGCTCGCAGAGTGTAATGATTTGGCTGAAGACACTTGTGATGATTAGAGCAAGAGGGGCGAACAAAAGTTCTGAAGAGGGAGGAGAATTTGGTGAATAGATCGACGTTGAATTGCGAGGTTTTCCTAAGTGTGCTTGCGATGATAATGTTAATGACTCCAGCGATTTTGTTTCTGTTGTTTGCGTCGAATACGACATGCCACGCTCCGTTTGCCCGCTGATAATCCGTCTCAAGATAAACTTCAAGTCTTGGGATGCCTTTAACAGGAACTGAGCCAGCGTAAGGTTTTCAATGAACAGCGGGCCTCTTTCATAAACGATGCCGTTGAAATCCAATGTTGCTCTATTTGCTTCCACAGCAACCATACGGATGTGCAAGTTGAGGTTCATCTTGGAAAGCTCAGCCATGGCATCTGCAATTGTGATGAATCGTACTCGACGTGCGCATGGCGCCTGCGAGATATCTTCTTCGGCGCCATGAATACTATCAGCAGGCGATGAGGCTGTTGAGGGGGGCGTATTGAGCGGGGAGGCAGTTGATGAAGCGCTGCTAAAGCTCAAATCGTCGTTGGATAAGAAAAAGTTGCGATCAAGGTCATTGGAAGCATCCCATGCAAGGAGGTTTTGATCAAAAGAGTTTATATCAACAGCTGGCCATACTTGGGCTCCGGAGTAAGTTTCATTGTCTGTTGGAACGAGTGTAGTTATTGAAGTGTCCATTGGAAATTCTATGCCCCAATTCTGGTAATAGCCTTCCTTAACCAAAGAAGCTTCATGAGATGTGGTGGGATTTGCGACATGGTTGTGTACCTTAGCTGGTGCAACTTTCCGATTACTGATAGTTGAGCCTGTGTTATTTCGGTGTTTGTGTGCCTGAGCATCTGCAGTAGGAGCTCTTCGCGGTCTTCCAACTCTCTTTTGTTGTCCTACAATGCAATCTAGGTTGAGAAGCGTGCACCGCGCACATTTGGAGTCGTTTGCATATACGCGTTGACATCTCGCCTTGATCTTTCTACAGCACTCACACGAAAATCGTCTTTGTGATGGATGAACCGAACCGCCCATGTTAAATTTTCCATGCATCAATGAATGTCCAGAATACCTACGTACAGTCAATAGAGAGAGTACTTAGTAAATGTTTACAAACAGATGCATAAAACCCCTGGGTCACGCCCCTCGAAACCCTCCGCGGAGGGTTTTGAGTGTACGTCCGTACGGATTAGTGATCATATCTTGGAGCAGCCGATTGTGGCTATCTTTGGTTCCGCTAAAACTTTATTTCTAATCTTTTTATGGGGCCATGCAGAAACCTTAAATTTTAAGATTGATTTGATGGGGCTCAAACATCTGCTCGCGATCGGATCTCCGTCTCCGAATTTATTTGCTCAAGTCGTGGCACGTCATCGCGACCGCCCTCTCTGCCAAGCTTACTCCCATGTCATACTCACGTGACTTTAGCCATTGATATGAATGGCTGCTTGTAAAGCCGCCCTCTGCCGTGGACATGATGAGCTAGTGCATTCTCGATGGTATTGCCAGAGAGTGGTTTCGAGCATGTACTATATTCCAAGGCTGCCAAATGATGGATCCCCTTCTTCCACAGATATATTCCCATGCTGAGTATTAGCTTGCAAGCTTGTCTTTGGTAGTCAGAGGTCAAGCCTGAATATGATGTGACACAACATCAGCGCTTCTTTGCATTTCCCGAGTGTGATCAATAATTGTATGCAGAGCATAGTTCCAACATGGCAGATTTTAGACAGGGATTTATGCCTGAATGTTCACAAATTGCATGCCAAATTCAGTTATCCGAGGATCGCGATCTCTTATCTTACGTGTACGTACCTACTTGCTATGTGCATATGGTTCACCATTCTCTGATAGGGTCACGAAACCGATATTAGCTCTTTTGTGACACAAAATGCTGTCTACCCTCACTTTGTCAGATCTTTCATGGGCGAATGGGTCTTGATCTTCTTGTCAAAGGAGACTCATTCCGCCCCCTCCCCCCCCATCCCAAATGGTCTTTCATGCCTATTTGTATCACGAATAGCAAGGACGGGATAATTTCAGACGATATCCTCAGATGCAAAAATCTGCTCCGCGACATAAGTACAACTGAAAGTTCGGCACCATATCCTCGAGTCAACTCCTTCGTTTACTACGATCAGGTGTGTGGGAAGATAGGCTGCATTCAGATTTTTTCTACAATAGGATACCAGACCAAATTAGTGATTTAGCATTGTGTATGTGGATAGCCACAGGGACAGTCTTCATCTGAAATCTTTTAGCTACAGGTTTTCCTATGTTGATGTTCGTGGAGGATGTTTTAATAGAATTCAACTTAATTCTGTAGCAAATCTACTAGCTATCGAGAATGCTTGACGATGTGGACCCACGTCCTGCACAAAATCTGATAAGGGGCCAAGAGGATTGCTCAGATCTTATTCAAAGGGTATCTTGAGAGCTTATTCCAAGCGGTCAGCAGACAAAGGGCGATTTCTTGAATACCTGCCGGAATTATCCAAGATCTTTGGTTATGAAAGGATCAATCAAGAACTGCCGTACCCCGAAATTGTACACGATTTCGTCTTCTAACAAACAGGCTGATCTAGGAATTTCTCATGGCGCCAATCCTAAAGAACAATTGATTGGGTTCAATTACAAGGTAAAATGCCAGAGTCGACGAGCTGGGGAGCTGAAAGTCTACTCATCATCGTGCGAATTCCTTTGTCTAAACGCAATTTGAAAACCGCATGGGCGGATTTGACACGTTTCCTCGAGAATACCATCTGCGAAAGCGTCATTGTGCAAGGACAAACGGGCGCGGGGGACGTACCAGTCCGAGTCGGACTTTTCGATCTGCTGCTTGGTAGAAAAAGGAAACAAGGTTGACTGGTACGAATATATAATGGTTCAAGACGGAGAATAGTTTAGTCCATGCCGGAGAATGATTGTTCTAATCCTCAACAACTTGACTAACGCAAGCGGGCGGTGTTCTCTCTGTTGTGCTTTTCTACAGAATTGAAAGTTTCGAGGCTCACTGATCCCTATGCTCTGATTGCATCAGAGTACACATCGAGGTTCCTAGTGGGGCTTCTAATATCATTAAATCGCTTGTCATTCGCTGCGGAGGGTTTTGACTGCCCTGAAGCTTTTAACGTACTTAAGATTTCCACCCCCACATTTTTCGGAGGCTTTAAAGATCTGCATGAATTGTCCACATATTGGGTCTGGATAAGACGAAAATGCAATACTGTAAGAGCCATCCGCCTTCACCTACGGAAGGTTCTCTAAGATACCCATTCATCATGGTACGGACGTATCAAAGAACCGATATGCTTTTAAGATTATGATTTCTAATTCCACAATCTTCGCTATATATGTATCCCGCATGTGGCCATCTTGTAGAATTCTTGTACATAAAACCACCTGATTCATATCTCTCCTTCCAATTACAGTTTTCCACCTTTGACTAACACCCTATTCGTCAATAATGAAAGCGAACCCAGTTTCGAGGATGGAACATCTAATATTACCAAAGTTGAGGATATGGAAGTAACAAGAGTCATGTCACGGAATGAAAGGACATGGCACATGGCATCAGAAGTACAAGAAATCAAAGACCGAGACGAAGCAGGTGGACAGCTTCCCAGAAAGCTAGGTGTAACCTGGCAAAACCTCACCGTTAAGGGCATCAGCAGCGACGCCACATTTAATGAAAATGTTCTCTCCCAGATGTATCCATTCCACAAGACAGCTAAAGAAAGTCCGATGAAAACGATCATCGACAACTCATCTGGCTGCGTCAAGCCAGGCGAGATGATGCTGGTCCTTGGACGGCCTGGCTCAGGTTGCACGACATTGCTCAATGTGCTCTCGAATAACCGACTAGGCTACGAAGAAATCACAGGAGATGTTAGCTTTGGCAATATGTCAGCTAAAGAAGCTAAGCAATATCGTGGCCAGATCATCATGAATAACGAAGAGGAAATCATGTTTCCCACTCTCTCAGTCGAGGATACCATCATCTTTGCCGCTCGCATGAAAACACCCTACCAATTGCCGCCTGGTATCAAGACGGCCGAGGAGTACGCCCAATTCAACAAGGATTTTCTCCTACGATCGGTGGGTATTTCTCACACTGCCTCTACAAAAGTTGGCGACGCCTTCATCAGAGGTGTTTCTGGAGGAGAAAGGAAGCGCGTGTCAATCATTGAATGCTTAACAACTCGAGCCAGTGTTTTCTGCTGGGATAACTCAACAAGAGGACTTGACGCTAGCACAGCTTTAGATTGGATCAAGGCAATTCGAGTCATGACCGACGTCTTGGGGCTCACAACTATTGTCACTCTTTACCAGGCTGGCAACGGTATCTACGATCATTTCGACAAAGTTCTTGTCCTTGACGAGGGCAAACAAATCTTTTACGGAAAACAGAATGATGCTGTTCCTTTCATGGAAAGCCTAGGATTCGCTCGGGATTCTGGTTCTAATCGGTCAGATTTTTTGACCGGTGTGACTGTACCCACCGAACGTCGCATTGCTCCTGGCTTTGAGAAATCCTTTCCACGTACAGCCAGTGAGGTCCGTACCGCGTACGAGCAATCAGAAATCAAATCTCAGATGTTGGCAGAGTGCCAAAGTTATGTGACAAGTGAAGAAGCTAAGAAAAATACATCAGTGTTCAAAGAGATGGTACGCCTTGAGAAGCACAAAGGAGTGTCCGAAACTTCTCCAGTTACTACCGACTTTATTACCCAGATTAAGGCTGCTGTCACCAGGCAGTACCAGATTATGTGGGGTGATAAGGCAACACTCATTATGAAGCAAGGCGCCACAGTCATTCAAGCATTGGTTGGTGGCTCACTCTTCTATGCCGCTCCAGAAAATTCAGCAGGCCTTTTCCTCAAGGGTGGCGCCCTATTTTTTTCGATCCTATACAACGGTCTTCTAGCTCTTTCGGAAGTCACAGATTCGTTCACAAGCAGGCCAATCTTGGCTAAGCATCGTGGTTTCGCTCTATATCACCCAGCAGCTGTTTGCCTTGCCCAGATTATTGCCGACTTTCCTATTCTAATGTTCCAGGTCACTCACTTTGGTATTGTTTTTTACTTCATGGTTGGTCTGAAAACAACAGCTGGTGCATTTTTTACCTACTTGATCGTCAATTTCATGACTGCCATGTCTATGACATCTCTCTTCCGGTTTATCGGCGCCGCTTTCCCTACCTTTGATGCTGCAACTAAAGTCTCAGGTCTTACAACGGTCGGCCTGTTCTCATATATGGGCTACATGATTACTAAGCCTGACATGCATCCGTGGTTCGTTTGGATCTACTGGATCAACCCTATGGCGTACGATTTCGAATCTCTTCTTGGAAATGAGTTTCATGGGCAACAATTGGATTGTGTTGGCCCTTATCTCATTCCAAGTGGTCCTGGATATGCACCTGGTGATGGTGGACAGTCATGCATTGGTGTCAAGGGAGCAGTCACTGGAGCCACGAGCGTCACAGGTGATGAATATCTTGCATCTATGTCCTTCAGTAATAGCCACTTATGGCGCAACTTTGGCATCGTCTGTGCATGGTGGGTATTCTTCGTTGGGCTTACGATGTTCTTCACTTCCAAATGGAAACTTCTAGGAGAAGGTGGTCGGAGTCTTCTTGTGCCTCGAGAACAACAGCAAAAGTCGAAGCATCTGTTACAACCTAAAGATGAGGAGGTACAAGCTCTTGAAAAGCCTCTACCTGAGTCTGCGTCCGCCTCTGGAACTGACACGCCTGGTGGGAGCGTCAACAAAGACCTTATCCGCAACAAGAGCATTTTTACATGGAAGAATCTAACATACACTGTCAAAACCCCTAGTGGTGGCCGAGTTCTTCTTGATAACATTCAAGGATATGTGAAACCTGCCATGCTTGGAGCTCTAATGGGCTCTTCTGGTGCGGGCAAGACAACTCTTCTTGATGTCTTGGCACAGCGCAAAACGGAAGGCACTATTCAGGGATCTGTACTAGTTGATGGTCGGCCCATCCCCATCTCATTCCAACGTTCTGCTGGTTATGTTGAACAACTAGATGTTCATGAGTCTTTGGCAACCGTTCGAGAGGCCCTTGAATTTTCAGCCCTTTTGCGCCAGTCTCGCGACACTCCTGATGAGGAAAAGCTACGATATGTGGACACGATCATCGATCTTCTTGAACTGAATGACCTTGAACATACACTTGTCGGCCGTCCTGGTGCTGGACTTTCAGTTGAACAACGAAAGCGTCTTACCATCGGTGTCGAGTTGGTAGCAAAACCAAGCATCCTTATCTTTCTCGACGAACCCACATCGGGCCTTGACGGACAATCTGCTTACAACACTGTCCGCTTCCTCCGAAAACTTGCAAGAGCTGGACAAGCTGTCTTGGTCACTATTCATCAGCCTTCGGCTCAATTGTTTGCACAGTTTGACACCCTTCTGTTACTTGCGAAAGGTGGCAAGACTGTCTACTTTGGTGATATCGGTGAAAACGCTAGCACTTTGAAGGAATACTTCGGACGCCATGGAGAGCCTTGTCCCCCAGAAGCCAATCCAGCAGAGCACATGATCGATGTTGTATCAGGGCTGGGAAATTCGGATAAAAGCCGGGATTGGAACCAAGTCTGGTTGCAATCTCCAGAACACGAGAAGCTCTCCCAGACATTGGACACCATGGTCAGCGAAGCAGCCGCAAGGCCCGTAGACGACAATGTTAATGGTTACGAATTTGCGGCTTCCATGTGGACACAAATTAAGCATGTGACACATCGCATGAATATCTCACTCTTTCGAAACACCGAATACCTGAACAACAAGTTTGCTATGCATGTCAGTCTAGCTCTTCTCAACGGCTTTTCGTTTTGGATGATCGGAGACCATCTTACAGATCTTCAGCGCAATCTTTTCACTGTTTTCAGCTTCATTTTTGTGGCGCCAGGTGTCATTGCCCAGCTTCAGCCTCTTTTTATCGATCGTCGCGACATCTACGAGGCACGGGAAAAGAAGAGTAAGATGTACCATTGGGCTCCCTTTGTCACAGGGCTTATTGTCTCGGAGTTCCCTTACTTAATTGTCTGCGCCTTATTGTACTATGTCTGTTGGTATTTCACAGCTGGTCTTCCCTCTGGAGCAAACTCCGCTGGCAGTGTGTTCTTTGTCGTGGTAAGTCTTTTCTGGCCCAGCACTCTTTTTCTACACAACTGTCGACTAACCTGAACTCAGATAATGTATGAGCTTTTATATACTGCTATCGGACAGGCGATTGCCGCTTACGCACCCAACGCTGTCTTTGCATCACTTGTCAACCCATTGGTCATTACAACTCTGGTTTCGTTCTGCGGGGTTATGGTACCATACAGTCAAATTGAACCTTTCTGGAAATACTGGTAAGCTTTATATTCATTTTGGCACTGAAAATCTTGACTTGTGCAGAATCTAACAGTCTTTCTCTGCAGGATGTACTACCTCGACCCTTACAATTATCTCATGAGCGCCCTGCTCATATTCACATCTTGGGATAAGTCTGTCCACTGCACAACCGATGAACTCGACATCTTTGATCCGTCTCCAAATCAAACATGCGGCGAGTATCTTGATATCTATCAGCGTGGCATGGGTCCAGGGATCAATATCTTGAATCCAGAAGCCACCGCTGATTGTCGTGTATGCCAATACACTCACGGTGGGGATTATCTGAAGACTCTGAATCTTGCGGAAAAATCATACGGATGGAGAAATGCCGGTATTGTTGTGGCGTTCGTCGTTGGTATCTATGCATTGGTATATTTCATGATGAAGCTCAGAACAAAGGCCACGAAGAAAGCCGAGTCTTGAAAAAGTCGTCGAAAAGTTACAGTAGTACTCCACTGGATGTCCTCTCGCTTTTCTCTACCTCTTAGATTTCTTTACCCTTTTGCCGTCGTTCCTGTTTTGTTTGGCAATTACAATTAGATTTTCTTACTTCTCGGGATCATTATTACTCAATCCCGATGTGGTTTAATTTGTTTTCTTTATCGTTAGATGGTAGATGGTTATTGGGTTATCGATTCTATGACTACATATGAGGGTTTTAATGTAGCTAGCGAGCAGCTAGCAGAGCTTATCTATAGAACTAGCTTCCTGCAAATTCAATTTAAAAAGTATTACAATACGAATATATATTCAAGCATAGGTTACTCCGGTGTATCTGCAAAGTAGTCAAAAATGTGAAACGAGGGGTCGAGTAGTAAGCTTAGGACATGATATACTAGGAAATTCAGTATCAGTACGCGTTTCCTTGAGCGAAATGCATCAAAGATAATTTCTCAGTACTTGCACATTTTAGATTGCTCTGTTATTCTTCCTGGTACTTGCGTTGACAGAACACAAATATTTGCAGGAAATGAGGTGAGAACTGGATGAGAAACTTGGTGAATAATGACGGATTAGATTACTGTCTAATCACAACAGGGCTCTAGGGAGATTTGACAGTAGGATATAGATAATTTGCGGAATGAAGATGATGGGACTGGTTTTACGGGTTGTTTGACTGTTTGACTATCATATCACTGGGGAGATGAGCTTACTCTTTTTATCATATCAACAAATATATATGTCATTTAACAATGCACTTAGAGCTACTCAGACAAAAGACTACCTAATATCTATCTCTATGCTACAATTCCACACACCTACTTCTAACCATATCCTGAGCTAATTGCCCCCAAAGAGTGAATAATATCCAGTGAAAATCACACTAGCACCTACAAACTACTTGTCTCTAATGAGTTTGTTCCTCATAATTTCTAGCAAATGAAAGTACCTGTTTGTACAACCTACTGATTGTACAATCTCAAACATAACCCAAAGAGAAATTCAAATACATAGGTTCTAAGTTTTCCGTCTTACTTCCTGAGAATCTGACTTTATAACGTCTTCTCACATCACTCACCCAATAAACATCACGGTGATCAATCCGCAGTTATGGATACTCCAAGTACCCCCCAATCACACGCTGGTATGTCATCTCCCAGACTCCCATATGTATTTCCATCCACAGATAACTAACACACCTCACCACCACAGCCGCATCCGCAGCCTCAGCCTCCAAAACCATCACACCATCACAAATCCCCCTCCCCTCTACCCCAACCCCCACCGCAATCTCAACCCCCAACCCAGCCGCCAAGGTTCCTCTCCCAGAAACGCCCATCCCAAACACACCATCCTCTCTCGAAAAACTTAAACTCGCAGCGGATATTCCTCTCCCGGAGACGCCGACGCCTGCTGCTGCAATTTCTGAGAGTAAGGTGAATGATGGATGTTCTGTTACCTCTGAGACTATCGAGGTTCTCGAGGTTTCTTCTGCAGGTATGATCGCTTCCATCCCATTTCGTTATCGTGTATAGATTCCCTACACAAAATATACTTATCTCTCAATCATAACCTTAATATCCATAAACCACAACCTCAAAACTAACCTCAACCCTCTAGTTCCCAGCGATCCCACCTCTCACCTTCTAAGCGAACCTCTCAGTAAAATTCCCAGCAAACTCACCTCCTCCTTCCTCGATCACCCCATCCCAACCCCCGAAATCTCGCCTCTAAAACTCGCTCCGAATTCTCAATCTCCATCTCGTCTCGCAGATTTCACAACTTCTTCGATTCCCCAAGCTGGATCTATGGTTTTAGAAGAAATACCTTCACTAGCGAAGAATGAGAAAAAGGAGAAGTAGAAAAGACATAACGTATTCACACAAGTATCTTCCTCCAAGCTTATCAGCAGAAAATTAGACTGGGAGGTATGAATTAGGGAAGATTTACTAGCTGGCTGGCTGGCAGTATTGCGTTACCATCTCATCTATAAATTCCTCGCTTGAGCACTTTTCACAGGAGATCTAGGATCAAATCATGGGATTAGATTTACTGAATGGCATTCGCAGAACTAGATCATCCAAATGAATCTAATATAATGCATCTGTCCTTGGCCAAGTTTTAAACATCATGTATGCGTGAGTGAAATGGTTCAGTTGAAGTGATGGGAATGTAACCTTACCTCTGTATACTACTACTTTCATCCATTTTTCCTTCAACTCGCAAATCATGATGTCCTACACGTAATACGTATAAAATCTCATACTATACTCTATTATACACTATAAGATATATTAATCCCAGGGATTGATAGAAATTATTACACTTTTGATAGTCACTTCAATTTTGTCACTAAATTCAGTATTGCATTTAACACATCAAGCTGTAAAATGAAGAACATGGATGTAGAGTTATTTTGTAGATGTAGGTAATTGTGGTGCATTCTTTGTATAACCGCCAGGCCTATCTTTGTGACGCTCCTTTCTGATCATCACCAGAAATCTCCGCGGACAAGCGAGGAATACCATTTATGTAGAGCAAATTAATGACGAGGATTCCATCCAGATAGATGATCTTAGATGGCGTCTGTCTCGAACTTGCGAGTTGCAAAAGTGCCATCCTTTTCTTCAACCAACAATTTCTTCTTCAAGGATTCCTTGATGAGATCATTCTCACAGATCAAGAATCTGACGATGCCCTGGAGATTTGAAAGAGAGGTTTTTTGATGATATCGATATGTTTTGCAAATTCTAGCTGATTTCCATGTATCATTTCCAGACCACAGTGCTTCCAGAACCACTGTATGACGACGAGGTTCTTCTCAAGAAGCTCTATGATGATTCTTTGAGCTTCGCAAGCTGAAAGTCTGTCAAAGGCTTGGATTAAAGCTTCTTGTTCCATTGTTTCTCTCTCTTGAATACCGTTAAGACCGCTTTGGATATGCTTGAAAGTGACCTTTCCGTCCTTGATAAGGTTCGCAATGTTTATACCAAGCTGCCATGGAGATTGACCGGCTGTTGAACGATCCATCAGTTGTCAAAATTCGAAACTCAAGAGAAATGATACTGACCAAGATTGAGATTGGCATGACCAGCTTCAAGATCAGTGCATGGCGAGCCAGATTCGGGTTCAGCGCCATTGCAAAATAGACTTGGCATATTTGACGCTCCTTGTTCAGATGGTAAAGAAGACCAAAATTTACCATTAGCAACTACTTTCAACTAGATCTCTTCAGAGTACATGCCATTTTGACACCACTCTTCAAAAGGATGTCATGAAAAAATTAGGGTTGAAACGAGCTGAAAATGCGGTGGTATTACTGGGCTCAATGGCGAAAGGTGGGCTAGACCAAGTTGGAACAAATTTTACCTTTGACACTCACCTTCAGAATACTGCATTTTTGTTCATAGATATTCATACTACATACCTGAGGAGATATGTAGGTGCTCTTAGTTATGTGTTTATATCAAGACGAACAGTAGATAAAGTCACATCGTAAGTCATAATGTGTCGAAGAGCAAAAAGCTATCAGTTTGGTCTGGCTGGATGAGATTGTCAATTTGGGATCTAATCTAGTTATCGACTAGTTAAATTTGAGTACCACAGCACAAAACGGTTTATCAACATAATGACTAGTGTCAGATCTGCATTCTCCTACCCCTTCATCAAATCTTCTCTCAAACCTCCCCATCCCATCCTCAACTCCTCCACACGCTTCGCGATATCCCCATCCAGAAACCTCCTCACCTCCCACCTCCCATCCTCCACCTTTCGCAACAACAGACCCGTCAACAATTCCCTCACAATCCTATTCCCTACCACCAACTCCTCCACCACATCTCTCCACCTATACTCCACGACCTTCCCCTCTCTCCTCATCATCTCCTCTGCACCATCTAGCAAATTCTGCACCCACAATCTGACCCAGCGATTCCAACTCAGGAAGATTCCGATTTCCTTGACTTCATATGAGGAGCATGTATCAATTGTTTTCAAAATGAGATATTGTCTCGTTGATTCTTCTCCCGTGGCAATACCGATGTTGTTGCTATCCGGATTTGGGATACCGCTTGCGCGCTCGTTGATCTGAGAAAGGATCTTGTTGTGGGTTTCTTGGTAGAGGAAGTATTCTTCGTCTTTTTGACGGGTGGTGAGGAGGGTTGGGGGAGAGGGAGTGGAGGATCGTGCTCTCCTCGGTGAAGGGGGTTGAGATCCAGATGGTGAGATGGAGGAGGATGAGGACCAGGATGATGATGGTCTGGTTCTTGGGGGAGATGGAGCTACTTGCTCATTCTGATGATCGGAGTGTATGGTAATAGAGTTTACAGGAGCGCTAACGGCCAAACCATTCGTGTTATTCTGCATTGTGAAGTGCTTTGGATGTATGTTACTAACATGCGCAAATCTTGATATAGTGGAATAATTAGACGCGGATCTTGTTGGATGCGGCTGGAATGAACCAAGTAGTGGTTTCTTGAAGTTTGATACAGAGAAGGATTGTGAAGATATATTTAAAGACTTTGAAGTGGGAGATTAGCAAAACAATACTATGTTAATACAGCCAACTCAAGTCTTGTTGCTGCACTAATGTATGGGATCCAGAAGAATGATACCACCGTAAACACTCATTTACAGTGAGGTTCAAACACTGCTAATGCGTTCGACGTCAAGAGCGATATGACTTTATACCTCCACCCTCAAAAGCCAGGAGTTCGCACAAATGGTGATACATTTGCTCGGATTTATGGTGTCGAACGGAAGACTGCCAACAAATTTCGATTTTTGAGTTCTGTCTTCGAAATTCGGCGAACAAATATGCTTTGGCAAAAGTTATCAATATGGATGTCATCGAAGAGCTATGCCGTCAGCTACAATTTCTTCATCCAAAGTACGCCGAAGCTAAAACCTACAACACAGATCTAGCAAAGAAGATAGCACTCACAAAGCCAATAAATGGCATCAGTAAGAAGATTCGGGCTTGCAAGACGGAGTTTGACATCGCAGCCAGAACAGATTCTGCAACTAGAGAAGAGATAATTACTCCTGTAAATTTGGCAGCACATAGTGCGGACGTGATTATAAACGCTCATCTGGTCGTTGAATATGACCCTAAGCCTGGATCCTCTTCCCGTACTGCAGAAATGAACCATAGCCGATATCCTGGATTTGGAGAACAATACCTATTGAATCATATTATCCCGCCAGAATATATGGTCGAGTTCTCGCTACCCAGCATGGATGAAAAATCAGTATTCTGGCACTTCATCGACTGTTGGTTTCACTTGGTGGCTGTGAAGTGTAAGTGCTTAATTCTTTGCATGGTCATGTCTGATTAGAAACTAGCTACGTAGATGGGAAACTATAAATGTGCGTGCGTGGAACACTAGCGCCAATCGCTTGCTTTTTTATGCCGAGGAAGAGATTGTGTAGAAAGGCGGTCAACTTTTAAATCATCTTTCTGAAATAGAAGTGAACAGCGCAATACTATGCACCGTAGCAGGGATTGTAACACACTTCATACTCCATATTTAATCTCAACTGCGAATGCTAGAAAGTCCTGGAATGCGAATAATATGCAGCTGTGCGGCCCGATCCTTATTGACTCATGGAGTGACAGCGAGAGATCATGATTGACTAACCTACGGAGCAGCGTTGTAATCACGCCCAGCTAAAACTCTCAATGTCTTGGCTCCGGCTGTTTGCTTCCTTTGGATTACATCCCTCATGGAATAGATTTGACTTTTTAATACTTTACAGAAAGGAAAAAGTTGCGGACACATAGCTGTGTATGAAGAGCACAAAATTGTAGAAATTGCCAACGAATAGAATTGTAGAGTGTACAGAATTAACTAAATTGGGCAAACTCGTTTGCTTACCAGGGTCTAACCCGATGTGTCCACCCCTTTGCTTCACAGATCATGTAAGACCTACGCCCCGGAATGATCATCTCAGTTAGATGCATGGATTATTTTGGTATTAGACTGGGAAAATACTAATGGACACTAATTTACCTTGTCCGTTCAAAATGAGCTGACATATTCCTGTTTGCAGATGGTTTCATCCTAGTTCGCTGCGTAGTGTCGCATCATACCCCTGACAATTAATGGTGCTTTCCTCGCTTAATATTAGTTGCCTCTCAGTACAGCACATACCAACAGTTGGTGTACGGCCTGATGCAACACCAGCCCTCGAAATTCTTAGCTCTGAAGCCTGTTGGTGAGTTCACTGTCATTCCTTTTGTATTGCTAGTTAAGAGGAAGTATTTAAATAATATCACGAACTATGAAGATTCATCCAAAAGATGCCTAATGCGATGTCGCTTGCTTTCAAAAATCACTGCAGTTTCAGAATTACGTTGATAGCTGTGAGCTACGTGCTGGGAAAGGGACCAAGACCTAACTGTCCTTTCTTTTGGCTAGATAACATACCATACCTCCAGATTATACTGGAGGTATGATCATGGTGAGTTGCTGACGTGAAGACAGCATGAGAGAACATAAGACTGATAATGATAGAAGTTTTTTTGGCTCAAATAAATTGCTTTCAAGGTCTGTAATTTTCAATATCTAGACCTACTCAAAATTCTGGTACCCTCTCTGGAAGAAAATTCACCAACAGTTCACTTAAGTCGGTTCTCTTCTGGTACGACTAAGACTTCACGATATCTCATTTTTCCTTCCTTTAATACTCCGAAAGCTTCAACAATACCATCACGGTCCATCAAAAACTTGTGTACTTTTGGCTTTACGCCTTTAGCGGCAGCAAAATCCAGCATGCGCTTGTGCACATTTGTAGGTGCTAACACACTTCCTTGAATCGTGATACCATTTAACAATAGTGGCATATTGGGTAGTGCGAGATTTCCAGGCCCAATAGGGAGTGCAAAGATCTTAGCTTTGGGAGCCAAGAAAGGGAGGTAGATACCCCAGTTTGGTAGGGCGGGAGCAGTCACAATGAGGACGTCAAGAGCGCCACCGAGGCTGGCCTCTTTGGTATTTAAATCATTGTAATAAGCGCTAGCGCCAAAAGCTAGAGCATCAGATTCTTTGGATTGAGTGCTGGAGAAGGCAATGACTTCATTGCCCATTTTCGATGCAAACTAAAGAAGAGAAAATCAGTATGGGATAAAGAGGGGATATCTGATCATCTTACTTGAATAGCTAGATGGCCGAGTCCACCAACACCGATGACACCTATGCGATCAGTTGGTTTCACGTCGTAGGTGTCGAGCACATTGAAGACCGTAGCTCCAGCACACTAATCGCCACATTAAATGAGCGAAATTGAAGAAACGAAGAAGCTTTATTTTGCAAAATGAGACCTAAGGGGTAGATTACGGAGTTCTGACATACCATTAAGGGTGCTACTTCTTCATCGGAAAGCTCTTTAGGAATCAGAAACAGTCGGCTCTCCTTCTTGACAATGCCGTAAGCCAGACTACCCTGATCAAGGTCTGAGCGGCCGTACATCTTTCGCTCCGGGCAGAACACGTCAGTTCCGCACTCGCATTGCTTGCATTTGCACAGGTATCTTGTAAAAATCCCCATCCTACGCGAACGCCTTTTGTGAGACTTTGGACTTCCGGGCCAGTTGCAACGACGACACCAACACCTTCGTGTCCAAGAGTCATCTGGAGCATTCAGTTAGCGTATTCTATGAAGATAGGATACGACAAGCCTTACATCATTGTGCTTGAACAGCAAATCACCACCGCAAAGACCGGACGCAGAAACAGAGATCAAGACTTGATCACCACTCAAAGCTGGACGTTTTGAATCGGACTCGATGATATCCCCAGCTTTAGAACCTTTGAACACATTAAAAACTATGCTGTCATGAGGAGACATGGTATGGTATGGTTTGGAAGTGCGATGTCTCGTAGATCGAAAAGTCAGCTTGAGAGAGAAAACGGGAAGGGAGTTGCCGAGTTGAATTTCACTCTTGGATAAGCAGCCTGCCAGAAAGAGAGGATGGATTGTTAAAGCTCGAGATTATTCGGATTACTGCGGGGTAAATGAGTTTCTGTCGGGGCCTCGTTACTTCATCGAGCTTTCCAAGCTTTGCCTGATTATAATTTTAACTCCACAGCCCAATTTTCAGCCCACTGACAACACATTTTTCGGACAATGGAGTCTCAAGGTTGTCACTCTGTTGGCTGCTCACTAGATTCCAACAGTGGGTGCACAGACTCATATTGAAGTCCCCGAACCACTGAGTGAACAGGAATATTCCCTAAACAAACTAGTACTCATTGCCTAGGTATCTACGCATCTGATTTAAACGGAATTCCACAATTAACCGAATCCCCCTGTAAAGATCTTCTACTCCGTAATATCCGACGGTCACCTGACAAGAGCTCGCTGCCGCCGGCACAAAGCCGCTTCGTAAGCCATTCAGCAAATCAATATGGCGTCAGCTGATGAGTACCGTGATAATAAAAATCTTGTAACATTTGATAACAAAGGTGGAAATTTCTAGTGAAATGAACTTATAGCAATAATCACCTAGATGTATGAACAGCGTGGATGTTGTCCCCTGGACTTTCTCTTTTGAATTCTCTTCCCATATTTATGAAATATGAATTTATTGTGATGATAAGCAAGAGATGTGCCAATTTCCGTTCCTCTATACTCACAGGAAAGGAGTCATTGCCAGAGAAAGTAGAGCAAGCAATGTAGTTGCCCATTGATATCCTGGCTTGTTAAACACTATGGGCCGCTTGTCAGTCAGGGAGCAATAGAAGAAACCGGAAACCTGCTTACTTTGATTCTCAAACAATGGGAAAGCAGCCGCAAAAGAGCTTCTAGCGAAACTATTTGCGGCGAGAGCACTTGCAGCATACAAAGGACTGTGAACAGAGTTAGCATCCGAATTCGCAAATATTGGCTATGAGTCGGTGCTTCATGGGTATAATTTTGCTGGAGAAATATCGATGTGAGAACATTGAGTCCAGTGGAAGGCATCTCGATAGTTTATATCACCAAGTAAAACAGGGTTGTAACTTACTCCGCATCCACCAGGAATGCGAAAACACCAGAGAACACGAGAGTCATTCCCATACCAAATATGCTCGATCCAATGATTGGGACGATCCAGTGGGATTGAGGAGAACCTACGAGCTGTTAAAATTCATGGTGACTCCAGGTTTACTGCGTCCATCCGGGCCAAAACAGCCCAACCGCTACCAGAGGACCTCCTAGAATGGCACTTGAAAATGTTAGCTGCCCTTCATCATATCAAACTGGTCGATACATCTTTCTGATGATTCTAATCACAATTCGAAGCATTTGAAGACACATAGTGCGGTCTAATGGAATTTGAGATGAGTTCAAGTCAGGGCAATAGGCTTACGGTGGTAATCAGAATTCAGGCTCTGACACCGGTAGGGTACCATCTCCTGCATTGCTATTCCTTTCCACTAGACGGGAATAATGATCCTGCCACAACAGAGTTGAAGCCATTGCTATCATCATTTCTACGCCAATTCCAAGGAAAGATAGTCCCACTTCATGCAGGTAAAAGTCGTGATTTCTCTTGAAAACAAGACCGAAAGCACTAAGAAGAGATAAAAAATGCCCAGAAGCTTGGAGTGTTAACTAATATTCACAATTCATACTCTATATCGCTTATCAAAGCCGAGTATACACACAGATTAAGACGTATTGGCTCCAACACCAGAAGCACAAAGGGACGATAGGATGATCTCAAGATAGTCTATTCCTGCGTCAGCTTATACCTTTCGGATAGTTTGATCATTCAGGATTTGCTCGCTACCAAGATAGATTTGTTCAATTTTTCAATCTGGGCATGCCACCGCTCATCTCCTGTCTCACGACGAAGACTTCGTGCCTTTTTTCGCAACAGCACAGGATGATGTATCTCAGGGACGATTATTGATACCAATAGTAATTGAACACCACTTCATATCAAGAGAGTTCAAAAAAACCATTGCCTGTGTTAATTAGATCCAGTTTCCTCCACAGCGTAGTAAATCACTTACTAAATATTTAATTTTTGTTTTTCAATTTTTGTTTTTCAATTGTCCAAATACACATTCACCAACTACACACACAAAAAAAAGGGAGATATCTCTAAATATTTCACAAAAACAAAGATCAATACACAGAACAAAATTAACAAACACATCTATCTATCTATCTATAAACCTAAAGAACAAACATCTAATACCCAAAACCCACCTAGATCTACCAATCCTATCCAAATTAAAGAAAATCAAGAAAAAAATAGAAGAATTAAGCGACGCCCGCCTCCCCCCTCCCCTCCACAAAACAAAACAAAACAAACTATAAAGACCAAGACCAAGACCAAACTCAAACTCAAATCCATCTCTACCAACCACCACCTATTACCTACCAGAATACGTCACCCAACAAACAAAAAGAACCACCAAATACGTCATCTAACCCTAAGAGAGCATCCCCATCCCATCACCCCACTTTCAACCTTCTAGAAGCACGCAATTAAGCAAGCGAGCAAGCAAGCAAGCCGTTCCTGATTCCGCGCGCGGCTAGAATCGTCGATCATTTTTATCCACGTATCCACACATCGAACTGTTCCATGCTATGCCATGCTGTCCCATTACAATTCAATGCAATCTAGCATATTCCATCTGATCAAAAAAATCCCCTTCTTTTCCTCTTCCCCTCCCCATCGCCACTCCTCATCGCTACCCTCCACACACTCACTGACCCAACCAAACTCAATCAAATCCCTACCCAAAATCCCTTCCCGAACATCCATCCACCCACCCAGCCTTCCAACCTTTCAACCTTCCAGAAGTCTCACAGAACCACAAAACCACAAAACCACAAAACCACAAAAACCACAAAATCCCAACATCCCAGAATCCCCATCCACGAATGAACGAACAAACAATCATACGATCTCATCATACCTCATGTCACCTCCCTCACCTCCCCCCCTCAACTCAGGTCCCTACCCCTCCCCCACCCAACCCCTACTCACCCCCCATACCCTTCCCGATCTCCCTCGTCCCTCATCAAGTACCGACGATCGCGCACCAAACATCCAAACCTCTTTTACAAGTAAGAAGGGTCTTTCTCTCCTTCTTTCCTTCACGATTCTTACCTGCATGCACGCATGTATGCATACAACCCGATATAAGATTGAACCCCTACCCTACCCCAAATGGACCCCTAAAACCCCCAGATATCTATCTAGTATCTACCAATAAGATTCCCTGAGTCTGTTCTTGTAATCTCCATACATTTACATTAACTAAGTAAGGAAGTAGAAGTGGGTTTGTTGCGGTGACGAGTAATACAATGCGATACAAGAATATGAAAATTGAAAATTGGATTGAATCAAGACTCCAATCTATTCTCCAGAAGGAGACTACATGGGGCTAAACTACCCACTCACCCACCTGTCCAGATGGAGCATCTTCGGGATATCCGGGATTATTTCTAATTATCAATATCAAAGTGGTAAATATGATGAAACATGATACAAATATGTATGTAAGAGAATGAAAAATATTTAAATTTACAATTAGTTACAGTTACAGTTACAATCGCATAAGTAAATTAGCATAAATTCAAACATCCCCGAGAAGGAACATATGTATGCAATCCACTCCTCCGCGAAATGAAGGAATCGCGTGTAGGATGAGGCGGGGAAGATGATCCATCGCCGTTTTCTACTCAACCAATTACGACGCGGGGATGAAATTGAGCCAATGAGACGGATGTGACGTGAGGGAACTACCTAGGTCTAACATGTGATTTTCATGTATATATACGGGTTGGAGATGAACATTTAGTAATTAACTGCGACGTGAAATATAAAAAAATATAAATGTAAAACACTAGATGAGATGAGATGATGAGGGAACGGGAAATTGATTCGGACAATTGATTCGGGGATAAAGAGTTGGGTACTGCCGATGGGGATGATTATGAAGATGAGGATGAGGTGAGAATGTAATTGAGTACTACTCATAGGTGTTTATTTAGTCCGAATTTCTAGGCCCGAAACGATAAAGGCCGAGCGCGAAGTGTGTTTGTAGGGCCGAGGAAAAATCCATATCTATCGGAGATGAATGAATAATCACAGGACGAAATACACCTAGGAGGTATATGCATATGTAATTTGAGTTACTGAGACAACGAGAATGTAAGGCGAGAAGTACCTACTCATGTGACATCCATCACATGTCATGAAACTCATCATGATCTACCAGGTACTCTACCCTACCCCTCTTCTCAAAACCATCAATCAATGCATCAAAAAGGGGGAAACCTTCTTCCCACCGCCTCGCGCTCCTCATCAAGAAATGCGGTATTGATCGGTCTTCACTCGAAGCCCCCAGAATCAACTATCTGGCCCCTACTATAGCACCCAAAATCGAATGATGTATACATTCTCATCACAAACCCCTCGAATCCCACCTCCCGTCCGAACTGCAAACCGAAGATCGCCTTACCAACCATCCAAGCGAGATCAAGCACCTTATTTAGGTACTTACTGCGAAGCCGAACCTGAAAATCATGACACATTTCAATCCCAATCTGTACCCGTGAAGCGTACCTGAAATCTTCACATACCACACGCACAATGATTTCTGCAGCGGAAAATTATCTAGTTATCTACCAGTCAGGTACCAAAAAAACACGTGTTGCTTGTTTCTGGTAGGTGTGAGTGAATACATCCATACATCTCTTAGTATGCGCGGAGACGATATGCATCTAGAGGATGATACATAGGTACGAACACGCATTTGAAAACCAAAAACAACGACGGGCGTTGAAGAATACCAATTAGGTATTGCGATGTCATTTATCGGTCTGTCTTGCATTTGGTATTGTGCATTATTTTCTCTCCCTTATGAGCCAAGCATCGTAATGAGAAGGTTGTACCAAGTTTGTTATTTTGAGCGGTCTGGATTTAGGTCGGTTAGTCCTCCTGCAGGCTTGGGCGTGAGCGGGTCGCATGGAAAATTGTATGGAGGGCGTATACTCCTTAGGTAGGTAGAGGTAAAATTGATAGATGGTATCGTAAGCGCCCAATTAACATCCTTTACCCTAACCTTCCATTCGGCATTCACGCCGATATGGAGCCTATTCTCAGCCCTCTTTGACCATTCCCTTCCAAGCAAACTCTAATAAAGCTAAAAGACTCACATCAATCAATATTCATTCACCATCACCAAGTCAAAGTCAGCAAGCGCCATAACGGAAATCAAGACATCCCAAAGCCCGTAAGGCCGTCCGTCCATGGTCCATCTGCTCTCGATAGCATCGACCAACCCAAAACCCCACCTCGCACA